CGTTTAGTATATTAGGATTTTTGTATTTTTGTTTGTTTTATTTGGTGTTTTTAATTGTTTTTGGTTTCGTTTGGTAGTCTCCCTATTAGTCATTGGGGCGGTCTGTGCGTTCTCGAAGATTTTCGCATTTCGAACACGTCGCAAGAATACCGACAATACCCCCTCTAGCACCTCAACGAGAGGGCTGCACACATTAGAGGTGGCGTAAATCGGTTTCTCGCGACGTGTTACCCCTATATCTGATAGAAAATTGACGAGTTTTGATGAAAGATTTCTGCTTAAAAGTTGGTGTGTGTGGTGGTGGTGGTTGTGGGGCTGGAAAACACATGTTCACTCCCCCCAAGGTGATCCCCCCCTTGGTTGGTGTACTTATCAGCCTCGGCATCACGTCGTAGATCTTTGAAAAGAAAACAATTGAAAATGAGATAGTCGATCTGGTAAGAGTGAGGGGCTGGATTTCAGCCGAGGTTCAAATGGTGAATGGTTGTTGCATGGGGAGATTAGGATTAATCTTGCTGAAATCTGATTGTTCGTCTAGTAGATCAGGGCTGATACCACGTATCTATCCGACAATGGATCTTGACAAATAGAACCAGGAGAATGCATCGACGCGATTAATCATCGACAGTTGTGGCTGTTACAAGGCCTTGCCCTCTGGCGTGCAGTTCCAGGCATGTTCAAATGCCTGCCACCCTCCTTCCGGCTCCTCGCACATCTTCATGTCGCTGACAACAAAGTCGTAGTATCCATCGGCAGGCAGCTTTCCCTGGTTGACTGTTCCGCCCATGGCAATGTTGATGAGGATCCTGAAATCTTCCATACGACGGGTGCCCTCTGGGATAGTGCCTTTCATAACAGGGCGACCATCAATGTACCAGATCATGCGCCCTCTCCACCCAGGTATGCCCTCTTCTTCTTTCCATGCGAAGCCATATGTGTGTGGTTGGCGGGCCAGGTCGTGTAGCTGCGTCTTGACCACACGGTGTTTTTGAGCATCTTCGCCGGTGTATGAGCCCCAGTGCAGGCACGAGTGGTTTTCCGTCTCGGCGTTCCAGCTCTCAGCGATATCAATCTCGCCGTCGGTTGGCCATTTGAATGGATCAGCTGGCAGCATCCAGTAAGCAGGCCATATGCCTGGTGCAGAAGGAGGTAAACACGTTGCCGTCAGGTAGCCACAGGGTCGCGACAGCGTTTGGTGCGATGTCAAACGCGCAGAGGTCCAGCTGCCATTGCCGACCAATGCACGCACTATGAGGCGGTTGTCGTAATGGAACGAGTTAGCCGGGTCGTCCGTGTACATCTGCTTCTCGTTGTTGCCCCAGCCATGGTCGCCAATCTCGTGGCGGAAGTTTTGCGACACCGGCGTCGAAGCGTCGAATGATGGCTTCCAGTATACCCTCTCCTGATACGGCGGAGGAATGTTTTGTGGCGGAGGCGGGGGCGGGGGCGGGGGCGGGGGTGCGGGTTGCGCAGAATGGGGGCGATTCCCTGGTACGGGCGGAGGACTGCCAGGTTGCGGCGTATGGGGCTTACTGCCCTGAGGAATGGGGGGCGGTGCGAAGGATTGCTGCTGCTGCGGAGGGGGCGGGCCCCATTGCTGTTGTTGCTGGCCCCATGTCTGGTTTTGCGGCGGGTACTGGGGCGGATACTGGATGCCCGAATACTGGCCTGGGCTTGGTGGAGGATAGCCCGGTGGCTGCTGTTGGTAGCCTTGAGGTGGCGGGTAGCCTTGTTGTTGCTGGCCCGGGTAGCCTTGCTGGTAATGGCCGCCGGACGGGCCTGTAAACTCTGAGAGTTTCGCCTTGCCTTTGGCCAGGAGTTTGTCAAACGTGCCGGACATTGTGGCTGATGCAGTAGGTCGAAAGATGATCAACAGTGCAACGTCTTTCCCGCCTAAGCCGAGCCGCTATGACGCAAGCGGGGCTGTTTGGTGATGGCGCACAACCACCATCCTTCATCGCCGTACCTGGAACGTCCACCAACAATGGACTTGAGGAACACATCGCGCAAACGTTATCTCTATCCATATTGTTTGTATTCATTTTAGACGTGTCATGTTCTAAGTTTGAGTCCACAACAGGCTCCTGTCTTTCTTGCTGTACAGAGGAGACCTCAGCACACAAGACACCATGTCCCTCGACTTGACATATAAGTGCCAACGCATATTTTTAAGAACGTATTGCTGAAAAGACACATTATTCTGCCAGTCCACCCCCTTCACGAACAAATATTTCTGTAGCTAATGCAGTATACACGTCTCCCCTTGTCTGCAAACAGGCGTTCACGTCCACGTTCATCCCCATCACACAAGTGACGTCATATTCCCACCGGCCTGAATGCCCCCATTCACCCACCCAATCACCCAGAGTTACATTTCCAAGAGCAGGGCTTCGCAATCTAGAACAAGCAGGCAGCGACGCCCAAAAAAATAAGAAACAAGGTCTCTGCGTCGTTTCCACGTATGCGCGGCGTCATTTCCTCCAGACCGTGAACAGACCACTACAACCACCACCCGAACCTGTTCTTCACTCAAAGAGCATAACTCACCATAGCTAGCTCCTAGGCTTTTGTTTCCTCGCGCCTCACCACTTCGACAATCCTCGCATTCCACGTCTCTTATCTGCAGCCCAACAACCTGGCATCAACCTTCAGCCTTCAAGAGATCACAACATGTCGTCGATACTCCATGCGCTCAACGACCTCTTCGCATCCCTGGCCGAACTAGCATGGTCCTTCGTCACGACCGCGGGCTCGCTCGTCGAGAAAACAGGCCAGTTTTTCGTCAACTTTGTATCCGAGTTCCTGAGCCTCATTGCCAACTTCATCCGGGGTCTCGTTGATCTCGCCGGTGGCATCGTTGGCTTCGTGCTTGGTGAGTCTTTACAGAAAGAGCATGCTTAGAAGAGAGATGGATGACTAACGGTGCAAAAATCAAGGCAATGTCCTTATGCTGGGTGTTGTTGCCGCCGCTGTCTTTGGCTTCTTGCATTACCAGCGCAGCCAGGGCAAGCAGGTTACGGTTGGAAACAAGAAGCTGAATTAGCTGTTGCTGCTACGATGCAAGCGGTGTGATCGAGGGGGGAGGAGAACGTCTCTTTGGTGCTGCAGATTGTCATGATACCCTTTACCGCAGCATTGGCCATAGTACTGTCAGCTAGCTGGTATGACGGGACAGCCTATGGTAATAAATCAGTTATTCATTATACTTGACCTCGAACAACAGTTTCTTTACTCAGAGTTTATTAGTCAAAGGTAATCAAGATTTGTTTCGTGGTTTATTGGAGTGGCGTGCTGCAGAGGTGCGACTCGCAATGGTGTACACTACACATATAGCACGTTGGATTCATCAGTGTATCAGCTTGAACACACACAGACGAGCACACAACCACACTTGAGACCAGCAAAAAGGCAGAAAGTTGTAACAGTTGAAAAAAAAGTTCGCTTATTCAGGCAAGACCAGCCCTGTAATCCTCGACCATCGTATCTTTCATCTATCGTACACATCGTGTTCATGCCCCCCAAAGCCCTGACATCTCAAAGTCTCAAAGTCGCTGCTAAAAAAACTAAACAATGAAGATTTAAAAGAAAAGAGAAAAAAACTGTATCTACAGAATACTGTTATCGGCACAAGTAAACGCACCATTAACTTTTGTCGTGGCAAAAGTATGCAGCAGCGCATCGATACTAGCGTACATTCCCGGGCCGACCATGAAGAGCGTCACGCACATGATCAAGACGTTGAAAGCGGCCGTGAGAGACTTTTTCCAGGTAGAGCGCCACCTGCCGTTCTTGTTGAGGTCAAACCAGAACAGAACCGTGATGCCCCAGGTGAACCATGAGAGCAGCAGCGCGGCAGAGATGTTGAGCAGCGAGCTGAAGACGGGGATGGCGTTGGCGAGAATCCAGACGACGACCCAGAAAAGACTGACGGAAAAGATCCAGCTGAACCATTCCGTCTTCTTGCCGACGTCGGGGGTGGAGACGGAGAGGCGACGGCCGGCCGAAGTCTTTTCGGAAGAAGACATGTTGACGGTGGTCCCGCTGTTTTTCTTGGCCTGACGCTCACTGACCTTGCGAAGGAAGTAGACGTGGAGGTAGCGGGCTGCTGTCATGCCAAAGACTAGACCGGTTCCGAGGAGTCCGATGAAGATGACGCCGTAGGAGGCCTTGGCCATGATTGTGCGCAGAGAGCCGAGGGCAGGTGACGCGACCTGCTCGCCAGACAGTGCGTAGACGACGGCAGCGACGATCACGTAGATCGTGATCGACGAACACTTCTCGATGATGATAGCCTTGGGGTAGTCGCGGGAAGGGTTCTCCATTTCGGCCAAGACGGTAGGAAAGGCTTGGTTGCCGCTGAAAGCAAAAGCAATGTTGAGGAACGCAGAGGTTGCTTGGGTAAAAGTCGGGTTTCCGATCGCCCTGAGGTTGAGCGGAGCTTCAGGGTTGCGCGGACCCTGAACACCCAATGTGATCATGACGATCATGACGGTGGAGAAGATGGAGATTGTGCAAGGCCAAGACGCCCACGATACGAAGCGCATGCTGTGAGGCACGCACATGGCCCACATGGCAACGGCGGCGACGACGGTAAAGGCAACTGTGCAGGTCGCATGATCGCTAACGGTGTTGAGACCGATCGAAATGGTGACGACTGCCGAGGCACTGATGAGGGCCATGTTGATCAAGAAGCCAATGGCGAAAACTGCCTCGAGCCAGGGACCGCCAAGAACGCGACCGTAGTCAACAATGTTCAGCATGTAGGGATACTTTCGCCAGTACTGGACCAGGTTGTACGCAGTGTACAGACTGAGGAGACCCATGCCAATGATACAAACGATGCCTGGGAAGAAACCGAGCGTGTTGAGGGCGCTCGGCAAGGACAGGATACCAATTCCAATTTCGTTGGTCATGAAGATGATGACGGTTTGTGTCGTGTTGAGCTTCTTGCTGTTTGTGTCGTTGGGGCGGTTACTGGCATTCTGGATGTCTGCAACGTCGCCCAAGTTTGTGTCGTCTCCGGAGGATGCCGCGTCGTACTTGTCCGAGTTTGCTATGTCCTTGTGTCGCAAAGGGTCTTCCGGGTCGTGTGTCGGGTCTGCTGCAAGGGCAATGGTGGGTCGGTGGGCAGATACAGGGAGCGTATCGGTAGCGTTGGGCTTGGTGTCGACTTCATATGTTTGTTGCATGGGAGTGTCGCCATGGGCAGCCGTAACAGGTTTGTGGTCCATGATTTCAAGAGGCAACCAAGCACTTACTTCTGCATGAACAGCGTCTGCGGGATAGTTTGACAAAAGACAAAGGGGGTGGCAAAGATGGACATGAACAGGCCAGATGAGATGGGGAGCGGGGGAGATGTGGACATGCTATGTAGATGGATGTAGAGCGAGATTAAAGGCATGGCAGCTCAGCGTGGAGTAGCCCGAGGACATGGAGAATTACGTACTACGAACATTGGTGCAGGACAGTAGTTGGTGGTAGCGCGGTCGCGTAGACGGTCAACCCGAATCTGGGGCTGTGCGCCCAGTGGCCAGATAGTGAGTAAAACAGGGTCTCTTGGGTGCGTGGAGACGAATGGTTCTTTTACCCACTTTCGGTATGTGGGCCTCGACAGTGGGCGTGGCGATTTAAGCTGTTAGTAAAAGAACAAACAACACGGCATTGTGATTCGTGTACGCCATGCAACGCGCGCTGCTTTTGACACCGTGCCCAATGACCCCAAGGTGACAAGACGTGGTGATTGGTGATGCGGAGAAAAGCGACCGAGTGACGTCTGGTGTTGATCTTTTTCGGGAGTGACCGCCCTAGCGAGAGCCGCACGAGAGGGTGCTTGATCCGCGCCGAAGCAAGCCGGTCTTGGCCTTGCAGTTTAATTTAGGGTCCCAGAAATGGGCACCGTCGTCATATCTCCGGCCAGCCAAGAGCGGCCATCTGGTTCTCTGGCAGCCTCAGCCGCATACAAGCAGGCCAACAAGCAAGGCTCGAGCCGTCAACGAGTTGGATTCGGGAGCGCCAGAGGGATCAGCAACTGCCGCTGCGCTATTTTCTTCCAGAAGATGGAGCGAAGGCAGACGTTGCAACGTTGTGCATTGATCTTGGGGTCAAATTTTTTTAGACGGTAAAACATCGGCCAGCGTCGCATGAACCGACGGGTGTCGCATCCAGTCAAAAGTGAGGCGCTGAGTGCCAAGATGGTGGGAGGACTTGGACATGCAGCCAAAGAGCCAAGCAGACCTCACAGTGGCCTCACACCCAGCCAGTGCGATATTGCTAAATGTAAAAGTAGGGATGCGAGCGCTGGCACTCTGGTGGGCACGCCGAAATTCTTTCCAGAGAAATATCCAAGGTGGACGAACGATGTAACGGCACTGAGTCGTGGGACGATGGTTGCTCGATTCAGCAGATTCTCGATACCCATCGCGTGCGGTGGAGAAGTGCAGCGGCAGTCGCGTGAGGAATGCACAGGATGGGGAGGTCCACATGGAAACGATACGCGGGATAAATCTGGGTCCGGAGCATCCTTTTATTATTCTGGGGGTGTGTGGTCAGGTACACGGTCGCTGCATCTCTGGGGTCGCATAGGGTGGCAGTGCGTGGGTACTGGAGTATACAGAGAGTCAGCCATGACATTGGTAGAGTTGTTGCTGTGGGAGTCGCTGTCGCTGTCGCTGTGACTGTGACTGTGACTGTTGCTGGCGCGGCAATGTGTTGCTCATGGCTCCAGATGCTGTCATGTTAGCAAGCACGTGACGACCGAAGCGACAACGATTGGCCCGAGGTGAGGGCGCGGTGCTTCATCATAGCCATCGAATCAGGATGTATATCAGAGACGATGACCAGTGACAGGCGTGATGGCAGTCTGCGTTGCTCGCGTTGTGTGTCTTGGGGGAAGATGGTGTGGAGAGTGGTGGAGGTGCAGGTGGGCAGGTTACGCGTGCACGTGAGTCCGTGCATTGGTGCGCGGTCCGAAGTCGCCCGGGCGCCAAGCGCGCTCTCCCCAAGCGGAGAGGGAATAGGACAGGCATAGCACTGGCACCAGCACAATGTGTGCTAGCACATACATAGGTGTATGGCGCAGGCGGCAATAGTGCATCGCATTTGGGGGCCACAGCATTCCCATGCTGGGCTCAGGCGTGGCTGGTGCTGGGGGCCAATGCCGGCTGTCGTCATTCCCGGCCGTGATTCCGGCTGGGGCGCCCCCCAAGAGGCTTGGCACCTCATCATGCTCCCCAAGGCCATCCCACACACAGGCGCCCGTCGACCAGCTGCCAGCACCCAGCACCCAGCACGGCCATTCCCTGCTTGGCATGTGGGAGAGACGCGCAGCCCTCCCCCCCCCGACGCTCATTTCTTGAAACCCGGGCGGGCAATGGCCCTGCTCCACTCGGACTCGACTTGCCTCTGCCACAGCTCTGCCTGTCCGCTCCATCTTTTTTCCACCCCGTCACCGTCATCGAGCCTGCACCTGCAAGTTATCGATCGACCTCATCCGCGTCTTCTGCCCTCCCACTCCATTCCGCCGCCCGTCGCTCTGCGTCATTCCTGTTTCTGCCCAGTCGCTCGTTCGGTCAGCCGCTCCTGCTAGCTCCTGGCCTTCTCCGCGCTCACCATGATACCCCGGACCGCCCTCTCGGCGCTTCTCTACACGACCACCGTCATCGCCGTGTGCACCAAGCTCGAAGACTGTCCCCAGTATGAGCCTCTCAAGACGGACGAGTGCCAGCCCTTTCACCACTTCCTCGCACGCGGCTCCACCTCGCCCTACCCTGGCCACGTAATCGAGACAGTCGGCAAGGTCTGCAATGCCCTCAACACGCAGGAGAATCCAAAGGCCTGCGGCTACGAGGACGTGCAGTACTGGGCCATGAACGGCGGCGAGAAATGGTGCATATCGTCGCACGAGGGTGCAGTCAATGGCGCCGCGCAGATGAGAAACTATACCGAGCGCTGCCCAGACAGCCATCTGATTGTCATGGGATTCAGTCAGGGTGGCAGCGTTATGCTCGACGTCCTCGGCGGCGGCGGCGGTCCTCTTTGGGGGTGCGACCAGGCATCGAATCCGAGCATGAACATTACCAGCGCTCCAGGCTCCAAGGGTATGCACCTTGAGTATCGTCGGTCGCGGTGTAAATACTAACTTGCCTACAGTTGCAGCTGCACTCGTCTTCGGTCCCACGAGGCGCTCCGCGAACCAGACCTGGACCCGTGGCGGTGGCCAAGTCTCAGATGGCGGCGCTCCTCGAACGCCCGAACAGAATGCTGGTCTGAAGCCCTATGCCGACGCCGGTATCCTTCGCGAATACTGCCAGCCGGGAGACCCCATCTGCGCTCCCCACACGGACAACAAAGACATGTCCAAGCACCTTGACTACTTTGACATCTACGGTGACGAGGCAGCCAACTGGGTCATCGAACTCGCCAGGAAGGCTGAGCGCAAAGATCAGACGTCGGGGGCCAAGAGCATGCTACACCAGACCATTTCGCACTCCATCGCCAACGTCTTCATTGTCATCTTTGTGCTCTGCGCACTGTAGTAAGTCCATCTCTTTCTCTGTCCCAGATGTAGCATAGATGCGCAATAGACGTTTGGGGCTTTGAAAACGTGAACACGACCCGCCAGTACATGCATGGGTGCTTATACTGTCCAGTTTTGCCGTCAGGAAATTCGCTGTGTGGAAAACGACTCGCTTCCCTTCGTATTCGCGCGTCGACACTGCCGAAACCGTATGAGGGCGATATGCACATACAAGCAAATGCTCGTCTTGGACTATGCTTGGCACCAACAAAAGGGTATGCCGTGCCGCGCACCCGCCCAACCAAAACCAAAAGAGGAGCAAGCGCCGGGGGCGCAACAGACTCCACACGCACACTGTACGGACATGATGGAGGGAAGAGTGCGTAAGTAACCAAGTCTCTGAAAAAGAGGAGACACTTCTACATATAGGCATTTGGCGGGGAAAAGCGCCAAGTTCTCTTCTCACTGCATCCTGTTGTATACATATAGCACCCTTTATTACCAGCCGACCGGCTCGGCGAATCAGCATTAGCATAGCGAATTTTCAATCAACCGGTTTCTCTCTTGTCCCGTTGATTTCAGTCTCGAATAGTCTCAAGTTTAGATTGTGGGCTGCTGAGGGTGTCTTGGCGTTGATAACGCAGCTTTTACGGTGAGCCAATCAAGATGCATTCAACGGCGAAGAAACAATGTCCTCAACATATTTCTTTCTTCCTGTCTTTACGTACTTGTACAGTCTACCCATGCTTTTTGTATCTGTAGCTGTTATTGTTCACCGCCCCCAGACGTACTGCTGGTAAATATGTTGGCCACATAAGCACGTGACCGAAACAGCAGCCAGTACATGGTGATGGAGATGGAAAAAATGAAAATGACCACTGCGAAGTCGTTGATTGGCCATGCAAATAAGCATATGTAGAATTCTATAATAATAGCAGTGCTTGGCAGCCAGGAAGGAGGGTGTTGCGGTAATAATAGTAGCGCTTACATATAGCGTTCGTGTTCGTCTTGGTCCCCTTCCCTTGTTTAGTTAGCTGGTCGTCACGTGCTCACGCGACAGCATGGGGTGGGCACGAGGCTAAGTGAGGCGGGTGCCAAGATCAGACTTGTGTGTATGTAAGCAGAGAGAGAGAGAGACCAAACACGATGACAGGAATAGCAACAACAACAACAACAACAACAAGAAAAAAAGTGGTTTATACTATGCAAATACTCGGTAGATCCGATACCCGCATCTTGGAATTGGAATTCCGGAGTGTGTTTTACCGCAGTACTTAATGGTACGTTTCTTTTTTCAAATTATAGAATGACTATTGCTGTATTTGAGTGTATGCTTGCATGCAAATAGTCCTTGCGCTGGATTTGGGAATCGCAACCTGGTGCTAGAGTTCCGGGATAGAGCAGTACGCTTAGTACGTCTTGTAAGTTTTTTTTTTTTTGGATTGCTGGCTTGATTCTACTAACAAGACTTCGGTTGCTGCGTTGCGTTCAAGGACGCAGCGCTCAGACGCCGTGCCATGCCCGTGCGCACACGCCATAACACGTGGGCCGTGGGCGGATAGATTGATTGCATCACGTCACGGCTGGAGCCGTGTATGACAAGGAAGACAGAAAAAAACCGAGACAAGAGCTGTGCTATTGTTATATGCGTTCCCTTGAACAAAGTGTATGTGTGTGTGAGAGAGAGGACCACAAGGTTTTGCTCCAAGTATGGGGATGATGATCATGCGAGTGTGGCGTATGCAAAGGGGGGGGGGTGCAAGCCAAGTAAAGGGGGCAAATTAAAAAGAGGGGGAAAATAGCCATTGGGTTTTCAGCCATGGAGGCCTTGTTACCGTCGCACTCTCTCAAGAGTTTAGAGAGGCGACGGAGCTGACAATAGAGTTTCGCTACGCGCAGCTCGGGTTAGCTGTGGCGAGACACGATGCTGCTGGTTGGTGTCTTTTTTTTTCTGTCAGCCTCCCCTCGGCTGGGTAAGCATGGCGGTCGACCGACTTGGTTAAATGCCGCATATGCCGCCGCGTTTTCAAGGCCTCACAATGCTTCGTGGAAGGGAAATGCTCAGGCAGTAGCAACAGACACGGTTCACGTCGCTTGTCAGAAATCCTGAAACTCGTACATGGCTGTCAGTTGTCGCCGACGCGGGATCAATGGCACTAGCAACACCTCGTTGGAACCTACATGTACATGCGCGCATGCCCTTTGTTCGGCTGCAAGACTAGACATGTATGGAGACAAGTCGTCTTACTCATGGTGACGGTTCACGGCGATTCGTGTAATGGCTCGCTTTTGAAAGCACCGGACGGCATGCGGGCATCTGACATACATAGTATACATGCACAAAAGATGCATTTCCCCCTACACCTATAGTAAACTGGAATTATGAAACTAGATCGATCTGCGAAAAAGACGTCATATGCGGCCAAAAGTCCAGAGATCCATTGCCGATACGGGCCACATGTAATCTCTGGGGGGGGGGTGAGCGAGTCATGTGCGGTGCTTACCACACAGACCTTTCTGACGCTGAGACACTGTCTGTCCATTTTTTATGTTGGGCCCTGGTGTGGGGACCGAGTTATGCATACACACACACCCACAGCCAAGAGAGAGAGGTGTGAGATCTCACAGCAACGGCGGGAGAAGGGGTGGGCGTGTTCGGAAATTTCTCTGCGCGCGCACGCAACGAATGGGGGCGCTAGCTGAACTCTCGCGTCGGGTGCTAAACCCAAAGTTCGGCGTCGACAGTGAACTAGGCGAGGGCCGTGGGCACTCTGTGTGAAACTTGATGGGCGAACTACGCGTGCAAGTAGCCAAGGTCATCCCGTCTTGCGGTTGTTGCCCACGAGGCTGGCTGGTCAGTTAGACTTTGCGGGTGTGTTATCGACGCGTCCAGGGCCCGAGGATAAGGGTCACATGCCGATAAGATAAGAGGTGAAGGTGGAGATGATGGTGGTGATCAGGGGTAACGCACGGGCGCCGAATCGGCCATGCCTGGGTCATAGTATTCACAATCGTCAGTCTTATTTGCCCATTTGGTTTCATAACAGGTGCAAATGGGTTAGCCCTTGGTCGTCACTAGTGCCCTCATTCCACGCAGAGGGAGAAGCATATTAGCTCGCAGGGGCCCCAAAAGACCATTGCGCCGGTTTTCTTACTTTCACTCAGGTTTGCCCACCTCCTACTCTTTAACATATCCCTACGCCTCCGCGCGAAGGAGGGAGAAGCACCCGCCAGCCATGTCCTTTGCCAGCGCCCTCTCCGACCTGTTCAGCTGCGGACGGTCGAGAAAGCAGCGCGAAGCCGAGAGCGGAACGCTGGAGCACGACGACAACGCCGCTGCGTCCGAGCCTACCGCCCACCAAGCACCAGCTACACCCGCCGCACCACCCGTTGAAGAAAAAACAAGTCTCAAGCTCGACGACCACGCGCTACCTGCGCAAGAAGATGCCAGCCGCATTCCCTACACCGCGCTCCCGGACATCCGGCCCACCACGGCAACAAACTGGATTGGCGACTTTGCAGAAGACCGGGAGGTCGAGCTATCGGTAGTGCCGGAGAAGGCGAAGCCCAGCGCCGGATGGGTCGTCGAGAAGAGGGTGCTCGTCACTGCAAAGTCTTCGTCTACCACCAAAGACACAGACGAGGCCAAAACATCCGTGCCCCAACCAGAACCAGAGACTACCTACGTCGCCCCGCCTGTTCGCTGCCCCACGCCCGAGCAAGAGCCCTGGAACTCTACGCCAGCCGCTCGCTCGCCCACCCCCGAGCCTGTGTCTCAGCCTCAGCCCGAGGTACGCAGTGTGTCGCCGGTTGCTCGTGTCGCCACGCCCGAGCTCGAGTCTGAGCTCGAGGTACGTAGCGTGTCGCCAGTTGCCCGTGCCGCCACCCCCGAGGCCAAGCTGGAGCCGGAGCTTGAGGCCCAGTTTCTGGCGGACCCGTTTGAGTTTGCGCCTTTCTGGAGCGATGAGACCGCGCTGGAGCTCGAGGTCAAGCAATTCACCATGCCTGCCGAGGACAAGGTCGTTGAGCCTGTTGCTGAACCCGAGATTGTTGAGCCTACAGTTACTGAGACCGTAGTCGTTGAGCCCGTTGCTGAGCCTACAGTCGTTGAGCCCACAGTCGCCGAGCCAGTCGTTGAGCCTACCGTCGTTGAGCCCACTGTTGTTGAGCCCCAAATCGTAGCGCCTGTCATCTTGGCTCCCAAGAAGACTACACCACCACCAACTCTTCTTAACATGCCTCCCGGTACGTCGACAGCTTAGTAATTCGCGAAACACACTAACAACATGCAGAGGTACGAAACAAGATTTACGAAAAAATGAGCGAGGAGGGACCCATCCGAATGTGCCGCCATGACGACCCTGCGTTGGTGCTCCGTGATGGTGAATCTGCACGTGCTCCCAAGCGTCAGTTTTACAACTTCACCCAGGTGTGCCGGGCCATCCGGAATGAGTTCTTGCCCGTGTACGCGCGCAAGACACAATACATCATCGACCTATGGGGCCAGAAGTCGAACCTGGACAAGGTGGAGAATCTCAAGGGTGAGGTCCACATGGACATTGACGCCGCTTGCTTCGACATGGAGCCCATTGATTTGCTGCCATTGCTTCGCAGCCTTAACCGCACCGGCCGGACCGACTACCGCTTTACATCGACCGAGGGCGTGGTCTTCAGGAGCATTTCCGAAATCGTCGGTGAGCTGAACAAGCTCCTCCCCGCCACCAACGGCAGCAACAAGAACTGGCTTGCTGCTGTTGACGGACCGATGAAGAGGATCGATCTCCATCTCTTCCCCCACGACGACATTCGCCAGTACTACCGATTCCGGGGTGCCGAGCCGCTGGTCCGCGTAGTGTACCCATCGGCCAAGAGCGAGGAATGGATGAAGCAGGCTTCAAAATCCGCAGAATACGAGGCGTACCTGCGCAAAACGGGCCTCGAAAAGTTCCAAATGCACGTCGTCATTGGCCATGCCTCTCGACGAACCATCAACGAGGGTCGTCTGCCGCTGGACTGGCGAATGAGCTACCAGCTCCCCCGACCATCCACCGACCGCACCCCTCGCATCTCCATGGACATTGCCGCAGCCCGCATGTCCATTGACCGATCTGCTCTCAACTAAAGCTTTTCGACGACACGAAAAAAAAACATGCCCTTGGAGTGGGACGTAACCTTTTTCTTTTCTCTCCTTCTGATGATTAAGACTTTTATGTATGAGTCAAGGACACCAAATGTGCGCCTTGTGGGGATACGAAGGCGTCGGGTGCTTAAACAAACGCCCTCAGTAACTTGTAATGTACTATAGGGAGCGTTGCTACGGCGCGCATTGTTTCAGATACCTTTGTTTTTTTTGCGGCGGATTACCCTTTTTAGGCGAGTTCCTATTATGGCTGATGACGAGTCGTCTGCAGCCGTTGTAGGCGGCCTCATTTGCATCTCATCCTATTTAATCCTTGTCTACAACCCCCCACACCTGGAGGCTATCTTGAGCTATTATGAATGTGCTGTGACTTGTATTGATGGCTGATGCACAGCGTACAGACCAACAGCACACGCCGCAATCGTGCATCCCGACGTGGGATACCGATGACCCGCTCCAACAGCAGGTCTCGGCTCTTCTCAAGCGTCTCCCACGCGACATCTGCGGCGTCATAGCCCTAGGCGACGACGGCGTCCTGCGCAGCCTGACTGCAGACCGCAAGGTCCTTGCAGCCGAAGGCTTGAGTAAGTCGTATAACCTCCCCACTCTCCCTCTATATTTAGTAGTGAGGCTGAAACTACTAACACAATGCCCAACCCAACCCAACAGCTCCGGAGCTCACAGCAGCCTTCCTAAGCCGCTTCCCGCCAGACTACCGAAGCAAAGTCACGGTGCTGGCTACCGCTGATGGCACAAGGGTTCCCAGGGAAAAGTGGTTTGCGCCCGCTGCGGGCATCTTGCCTGCGCCTTTGCCGCGGGAGCGTGTCGATGAGATGAGAAGCTATAGTGAGGAGAGGAAAGCTGTGTTGAGGAAATATATCGCGGACAATGAGAAGTAAGTGGTGGTGTGCTGGGGGAGAGGTGAGAAGGGGATGCTGATGCTGATGCTGATGCTGATTTAGTGCCGTGGATGTAGATGCGGTGCTTGATTGATAGCTGGGTGTTTGCATAAATTCGAGAGTGATGATAATGTATAGGCCATAGTGATGGAGAATGCCATAATGCGTGGTGTGGGTGCTCGATGGCACCAAATCTTACGCTCCTGTAGCTCAAACTGTAGTACGTTCATGTCAGTGCTGTCAATTTTTTTTGAATACGTGCCCGGTTGTAAGTAGTTCACGCTTGTCGGTCTGACAATGCTTTTCGCTTTTTGAAACACGCCAGGCAGCCCTGAGAGGTGACCATTTAACGTTTCTGGTAATCTTTTGTTTTTGTTCTCCCGTCTAGACTGTTGGAAAAGGAAAGGAAGAAAATTTCAAAGTATTGGATGCAGGGAAGATACAGAAAAGGAATTGGGGGGAAAACGAAGTTTCTTAGTTGACTACCTTGACAATAAGCTGCTTCTTTTTTTTCCGTTCTCGTGTGTTTTGTACAGTAAGTATGCATGTTATGAATCGAGTGGAATAACTCTCAGACCGTGTTATAGTGACCAAGACTATCCAAGTTTGAGCAAAATTGTCGTGCCATGATTTAATATGCTGTGGACGATCAATGCCCTTCTGGGCAATGGACTTGTTGGTGCAAAGTGACGTGTTAGGATAGTGGCCGCCGCGAGCCGCGAAGGGTTGGCGTGCCATGAACTTCACCACTCTGGCGGGGCCACCCCACAACAAAAACACCACCACGTGCGCAGCTTCAGTGATCCACTCTGCCTCTCTTATCACCTCAAAGTTAATATAATTTAGACAGCCCGTCAAGCCAAGCCTTTACCTGCCTCTTTTGTAGTCAATCCGCCCCCCGGATTCTGCCGGCGCGTATTGTTTTCCGAGCACCCGCATGGCGAGATTCCCACCATAGAGGTGCGGAAATGCATCGCTTGCCCTGGATTTTCCTTTGACCGTTTAGCAGCGCCGCAAGGCCCACCAATGGCCATGGAATACATGGTGTTGCCGTACATCTGGATTAAACTCGTTTCGCGGCTTTCCGAGACGTGGACATCTTCGTTCGGATGGCGCCCGAGAGCACCCATGTACGCCTCTACTCGTTCTAGTAAGTCCTCCAATGGCACACTTTACTTGTTCTTGGCAACGCGGGATGATCATTTTGGTGGCAGCCCTTGTAAATAAGCACAATGAGAGATGGGAAGCCAAGGTACAGTCAATGAAATAGCTTGTACTTCGCCCTCAAGTCCCGCTTTCTGAGGCTGTCGGATTCCCATCTGCGCCTACTTACATTGAGGGCATCTCTTTGCGCCTTTCTTTGGCAGCCACTTGGTCGAGATGCGTTGCCTCGCTACTCTCACGGCTTTCCTTCTTGCTCCAGCTGCCGTCTTTGCGGCCTGGGGCTACACGGATGATGGAAGGAACTATGTCATTGACACCAACGCAAACCTCATCGTCAAGGTCAGCAAGACCAATGGCGACATGACGTCGATCAACTACCGCGGCGTTGAGTACAATGGTCAAAATGGCAAAAACTCGCACGTCGAGTCTGGACTGGGCGCAGGCACCGTTACCATTAAGCAGTACACAAGCCCGGCCAACATCATCAAGGTCACGGTGAACGTCGGGACGCTGGTACATACGCTGGTATTCCGCTACGGCAATGCAAACGTGTACATCTTCATGAACAAGAAGGATACCAGCATCACCGTGTCACGATACATTGTCCGCATACCCGGAAACATCTTCACCAACAACCCCAACGAGGATACTGACTGGGTTCCGGATGGTGCTGGAGCCATCGAGTCCGGCGACATCAATGGCATAAACGGTCAAACATGGTCGAAACATTACTCGGGTAAACTGTACGGCCGTACAATGGACTACGACTGGGTCGGCTATACCAACCGCAATGTTGGCATGTACTTGATTCGCTCGAACCACGAGAAAGCCTCCGGCGGTCCTTTCTTCAGGAGTCTCGTGCGTCGCGGCGGCTCCGGCGGACCAGATCTTTATGATATCTATCACTACAATATGGGTAAGCTTTCTTTCTTCTGCATTCTTGGAAAATTGACTAACATGTTACAGGCCACACGGATGTGATGCGTTTCGGTCTTCAGGGCCCTTCGGTGCTTCATTTCACTGACAATGGTGCTGCGCCAAACTCCAACCTCTTTGCTCGCAATGCAAACTGGGACTGGTTTGATGCCCTCGAGATCGACGGCTGGGTTCCTGCTAGCAGACGTGGCGCTGTTGCCGGCGTGGGTCTGGCCAACATGAAGAGTGGATTTCAGTATGTGGTTGGCTTGAAGAGCGATCAGGCGCAGTACTGGACTGCGACGACCGGTGCTTGGAGGATTGGCAACGTCCTTCCAGGAACCTATACCTTGACAGTGTACAAAGGCGTACGTAATCTTTGGAGGATGATTCTCACATCACATGCTGATCTAGTCTTTAGGAACTGGAGGTCCATACAAGTACTGTTAGCATTGCTGCCGGCAGCACTGCGACCCGCAACACAATCACGTGCAACGACCCCACCGATGTCACAGCCATCTGGCGCATCGGAGAGTGGGACGGAACACCCAAGGGATTCTTGAACTTTGGAGACACACCCATGAAGCCAACATACATGCACCCATCCGACACCCGTCTTGCGAACTGGGATGCCGGAAACTTCATCATTGGCACTACTCCCGTCTCAAGCTTCCCCGGATACATGTGGAAAGACATCAACAACGACCACATTGTTTACTTCCGCCTGAACGACGCCCAGCTGACCAAGGGCGTCAAGATCCGCATCGGAGTCACGGAAGGCCAGGCCGGTGGACGGCCCACGATCACTATGAACAGCTGGGCCGCAAAGCTGCAGTCGGACAAAGGACAAGGCGACACCAGGAGTTTGACCGTGGGCACCTACCGCGGCAACAACTACATCTACGAATTCGATGTCCCGGCAAGTGCGTGGGTGCAGAGTACGAGAGAGTACCAGCTGTTGAAGATTAGCGTTATTTCAGGGAAGACGGCGTCGGGATACCTGAGTCCTGGTGTTAGTTTCGATGCGATTGACATGATTTCTGCTTGAGCGGGCGCTGCTTCGTACTGGTCGGCCGTCTGCTTTGTTTTTGAGAGTCATGCCGATATATAGCAAATTAGTCATTCACTGCGGGCAATCTAGCTCCTCTGTGTTTTTAAAGCTGGAGAATCTCTGCACTGAATCACTGACGACAAGTTGGAAATCTCGTGATTAATCCGTTTCCTCGGTTCTGACTTTACAGCCGATTGGTAGTTCAAAATAGTACCGCCGCGTTTGTGAAGAAGACCAATGTCGTGAACGAGGATGACGCTGAACCATCTCCTTTCGTGCGGCTCCCATCAGGTAAGGCACTCTGCTGCTATACTATTCTAGCAATTACCACTCAACCCGAAATGCGCAACCGCGTGTAAAATGGTGCACTGTCTAATGTCTCTAAGTCGATCCGATCCGCCTTCTCTATAAACTTGCAGAGCAACATGGTAAAATACAATACGGACAACGCGCTAGTACATATCCAACTCAAACGTTAGTCACCCGGGAATTCATTACATACATTCCTGACCACCTCGCCATCATGCCGGTCAGCCGGGAAATACAGAACAACATTTGTCGCATGATTTTAGAGATATTTTTTTTTCCATGCGTATTCAAGTCTCAACGACGCTGTGGCTTTCGTCTTCACATTTTTCACCATGAACAGACACACTGAATGCAGCAGCCATGCAGAACGTGAGCGTGAAACCCCCCCAAAAAAGAAAAGTACAGTGCTGTTGGAAACCTTTTTCGGCGTGCGAATACGCTGATAGGACGGATATACTTCCCGCGCGTGAGCCTGCCGTCGTCATCGGCGCCGTGGCTCTGGTTTTCCCACACACACACACTCAGAGGCAAAGTAGGCGACAGGATCACTGGCTAGTCGTGGTAAAACAACATCTCCGATACTACCCATAACCCAGCGTTCACTTGTGCTCGTGTACAAGAGCAACATGCAGACATCCAATTGCAGAGATTTTCTCAGCACAGTTTCCAGTTCAGTCAGACTTGGTGCCGCAATATTCGCCGTGCAAAATCAAGATGCAGGATAGGGAACGGCGAAAGGGGAGCTACCTATGCAGACTACTGGCTATGGATCTAGTAGGGACACTGGCGTGATGAAGGATGATAGCTGCAAAGCAGTCAAGGCTATTGAAAATGAGGCGGACGATGTATGATGCACTCATGACAACTACACCTACACCTACAAGCCAGTCTCGAGTACCACCGTCATTGCCACTGCCACTGCCACTTTCCCCCAGGCAAGCCGTATGCACAGTGATGTAGCATGACGCAGACATGAGACCGTACATCCAGCCAAGCAACAGCAACAGCAGTGGCATTGGCAAGCTTATGCATCGTAACGTCAGAAGAGACCAGCTCGATGTATCTTTTTCCTTCTCCAGAAACCAGGAAGGAAATGTTACCACCACAAGTCCTTGTCTCACCAACGAACGGAAGCAAACGAAGTAATGCCACGTCACGACGACGAGGACACTGGATTTTTTTCTCTTTCTTTCTCTCAATGCAAACCAGTCAGATAAGCAGATGAGCATAGAATTTGCATCTGAATTGGGGAATATGTAAACTATACAAGACAAAATTTCCAAAAAAAAACGAACGAACTGTGGCTATGCGCAGAGACAAAGGCAAAAAAAAAAGAAGAATGAAATAAAGGCTCAACGCTGAATGCTCAACAGTGCTAAAAACGCGGTGCTCTCCCCTTTAGGAGGAAAAATGGGGGGGAAAAAAAGAAAGAAAGAAAACTCCTGGGGACGTGATACGCTACTCTTTAAAAAAAACACTGATCAAGTGTACATACATACATACATGGGGCTTGGTTGGTCGTTGACTTGCTTGCTTACTTGCTTTCCTCCGAAAAAATACATAGGATGATGGTAGTAACCACTGTGATGAATCTAAAGTTTCTTCTAATAAGTGTGTGTCGTGTTTCTGTCTCTCTCTCTCATTGTTGTCACGACACCCGCACTGTCATTACCGGTTGCAGTCTTTTGTCCTTGTCCTTGTCCTTCCTCTTCAAACGTCATAACCTTTGCAGCTCCTGGGCCCAGCTCTGCTGTGTCTGGCCCTCGGGGAACATGCTGGTCACCACCTTTCCAGTCTTAAGATCTAGATGGGCCCCTGGAGGTAGCTGGGTGTGGAGCCCAGGGCTACTGCCACCGTTGTTGTTGCCGTTCTGTCTGGGATCTAAGAACTGGCCGTCCCCGTTGGGCGCGGGAGGGGGAGGCTGGGAATTTGACCTGGTTCGCCAGTGTTGCTCGTGTCCACCGGTGAAATGTTGGTGTGAGTTGGGTGTGAGGCCATCAGGCTGGAAGGTTGATGCGCGTGGTGGTGCGTAAGGGGGATTCCATTGGCTCCTTCCTGTTGCCTTTTCGACGTAATACCATCGCTGGCTCTGGGCGTCGTAGTCTTGGATCCAGCCCTCGGGCAGCGAGGGGCTAGGTGGTGGTGGGTGTTGGCCAGCGAACGAGGCCGGGCTGCCAGGGTAGCCACCCTGTGAGGGCGCCCGGCCGTGCTGTTGGTAATGTGACATTTGGTGGTAGCCGTTGGCACGAGGGGGAGACCGGTTGCCGCGCTTCTGTTGCTCGAACTTGTGGATTTGCTTTGTAATGTAATCGTCGGCCCGCTGAATGTAGGCTTCGAATGCCATCCTGGCGTCCTTCCGATGCTTAGCCAATTTGAGACTGAGATGGGTGAGCACGATAAACGAAGATGGGACCGGGAATAGTAGTCGACAGATGTGTTTCACAGCCACAGCTGGGGGGGCATGCTGGAGCATATATAATGGCTCCAGGACGTCCCCCCCCGCCCGCGCACACGCGTCAGCCACCTGTTAGTGTTAGCCACATGGATCCGACAGCACCACCTCCCAAAGCTTGTGAGCCGCGCCATCACCACGCAGCAATTTCCTCAAGCGGCGCCACATTTCCCTGTATTAGTATAAGTGGTATGGCGTCAAACATGGTCCGATTGGTGCAGACAGGGGCGGTGCGGAAAGAACGGAACTGTGGCTTTCAATCATGTGGCTTTCGCGCCTCGGCTAAGACCAGCTAGCTTGCCGGTTTCCGTGGCGCATGCAACAGTGGATATGGCAGCCAGTGCTAGGCGTATAAGTCATTGCAGACTGTGGCTCAAAGGATTATTTTTTCCTATTTCCAGTTGTGTGCACGCTGGCAATCAGGTCTTGTCCTGGTCGAAAGACCCTCTTCGGCTTCTTCTCGGCGGCTCCCATTCACCCCGCCACTGTGTCACTCTTTATAATCTCGCACAACCGGATGAAGATAAACGGACCGTACTCGAAGAGGCTCAAGGGAAACCTGCTCACTTAGTACGTATCAATCTCGAACAATGTACGGCTTACACGACCATGGATCTCCGTCAGCGACTAGGAATGGTCCCTTCTTTTCCCGGTGGTAATCGGTCGGCGAATACCCCCATCCGGTGAGATTGGGCCTTGACGAGGAACACGAGGGCATAAAGTAGCAGCATGTGAGGATGCTGTTTCAGCACCCCACCTCGATATCTGCCATCTGACAAATAGCATCGCAGCCAGCATGTGCGTTACACCCACTTTCTGTTACAAAGCTAGTCTCAAAGTGTGGCGCTGAGTGTTTGACTGAATTCCCACGTGTGGCGCTAACTGCGAGGTAGAACGAAGATCTCGAGTGACCCGGGGGTATTTCCGGAGTTTGATCGCCGATTACGACGATTTCTTTTTGTTCATGTTATGCCCGCTCTCCATATCTCCTTTTGAACGCACTGGCATGGAAGTTGTGCTTGGCGCCGCTTATCTGTGTGAATGCTGCGAACGGTCGATGAGTGTCAAGTCGCATTTTCGCCCAGTCGAACCGGTGCTTTCAATCGATACGCGTCTCGGAAAGATTCCACGTCGGTCGAGGCCACATGTCTACGACAATGCTGCACTGTTGCCTCCACACCGCCGTGGCCATGGGCCCTGACGCTAGACTCTGGCAGCTTCACACGAGCGGCCGGAACGGTGCAAGATGCGCTCCAAGCGCCGCGATCTGTGAGACGGGAGGGACTCCCCCAGAACTGTCATGAGCATTAAGCCTCCGCGCGTTCACCGGTATGAGCTTGTTAGGTGGAGAAAGGACCCCAGACCTGCTGTGGCTTGTTGTCGAAATGCGGAGACTGGTTCAGGTTAGATTCAATGTCGAGTCCAAGTCTGCTTATGGCGCAGTATGCACCTAATAATAAGCATGCCTGCGAGCTGTCTGCATGGAAGCCCGGGCAACGACTCGTACCAGTTGATGGCGGCAGCTTATTCTGACCGGGTGTGAACAGGCCTCCATCTTCCGCTGCAAATGTAATTCGCTGTTTGCCAGCAGCGAAACCAAGGAATGTATTTTCAACATCCAAACGTTGGAAGACTTAGACGAGATCGTTGGTGCAGCGATGACGTGGACGGTAGCTCCGGAAGCGATATGGGTTAGTGAATCTGGACAGCATGGCGCCCTTCTACGCAATGCTCGCTTATTGTGGTGTTAGCCTCGTACGTTGGCGCATGGGTGGGACGAGGTGCTAGCGATCTGGAACCGCCGGCCGTCATAAGCTTCAGTGTGTACTCCGAGTACGTGTTGGGTGTATGTAATGCGCAGCGTTGTGGCCTAGTGCACAAATCTGTCGCGTCACGTGCATGACATCAGCGTCACGTGCGTTTGCACTAGCCGTTGGTTCAAACATGAGTATGTTTCTCCCATTGCTCCTTTTGATTCAAGGAAAAACTAGCCATTTTAATAGGCATCAAGTATCACGTACATTATTTCGATGCCCTCATAAAGTCGCCACGGAGCCACTTTGGTGCACCCCGTCTGACAAAGATCATGTCGTTTTCCGTATCAAGCCCCAGTGAACTAAACCACTCAAGCGCTTCCTCTGGCACATGCGGTAGCCTGGTGACAGATATGGCGCATTGCTTGATCCAGTAAGTCGGGCATTTTGGGTCCAGGACCAGCTTCATGCCGAACAGACTTGGCTCCTTCAACTCGACGCTCTTCAGCTCGTTGTTGACTGCCGCTCTCCACTCGGATTCGTAGCCAAGAAACAGCTCATTGAAGACACTGCCGCCTTTTCCAAAGAATTCAAAGTCCAGCCCGGGGGTGTTGAAGAGTCTGAGTAGAAGCGGTCGAATTTCGATAGGCGTGTCATATTTGCCGCGGCGCTCCACTTCGGTGCGGATGGTGAGCCAGATGGAGATGGCATCACGAGCAATGGCAAAGTGACCAAAGGTAGGATAGATGGCTTCCAGGTAGTCTTCCGCATCACGGATGTGTACGGAGATGGCGCGATCCTTCAGGTACAGTGGGCGAAACTCCTTGCGCGTCTGGCGAGAGGCCTGTGTCAGGCTGTAGTAGCCACGGACCTCCCAGAAAGCGTCACTTGTGGTGGCTGCATTGCGCCGACTGACTTCCTTCTCCACAAGACGGTCCTTGTCGTATGCGCAAATAGCATATATCCTGTTGCGCACCTCTGCGCGCTTGTAAGCTGAGAACGGAATGTGCCGAGGTTGTTTTCTGTACCTAGTGGGAGGTCGGCAAAGCCCAACGTCCTCCGGTGATTAACCGTGGAAGGGTTCGATGACATTGTGACACTCATGGTCCAGCAGCCGAATCCTTTTTTGACGCGCAAAGGATCTCCTGGGGGTTTGCAAAGTCAGAAAGGTATTGTAGAAAGGGACGCGCATAGAGGAGGGCGGCCAGCAGAGGATCCCGCGACTAACGTGAATTAGGCAGGACGTAATATAGCGCAGTCAGAAAGATACGTAATTTCCTTGTCGACTGCACAACCACAACGCTTCTTTGTACATGACGCCCAGGCGGCAACGCATCAGTTCTGAACGATACACACTGTGCTCTCCAGCGAATTCTGCTCTCGTTTTTGCAACCTGGCCAGGGAATCTGTCTCTGTACATGAAGGAGTACCTACAAGAATGTTCAGCCCGTAGCTGATTGATCATCATCGGCTTCCTTAGCCCGATTTCTGCGGCGCCTTCTAGAACGACACAGCCACCAACTGCTGCCAATAAAAGATCTTTTCCTCAGTTTTTGTCCGGCCTCGATGTATAAAGCCTTGGCAAAAAGGCGTACATCGTGCGGGGCATGTAATGTGCCAAGGATGCATGTCACTTGAGCCCAGGACAGCGGTTCGCTCTGGGCAAGTGGCAAAGTAACGAGGAATTCCTTGGCACACGGAGGCATGTATTCACAGGGCTGGTAGTGACTTCGGAGTAAAGGGAAGGATCGCTTTGGACTGCAGTGGCAGTATCGTTGGCTGGTGTCGTCAATCAACCTTGGCCTGCAGCTACCACACGCGAACGTTACTTACACGGGTTTCCTCTTGGCTAGCACGAAGACTTTCGATATCCCATGACTATGTGCTATTCACGGCGACAGTATAACCGTCACCCTATTGCTAGCGCTCATTCGCTACATATCACATAGAGCAGCACTCCAACAACAGTTATCATGGCAGAAGCGTCGGCCAATATTTCCAATGAGCCAACATGCCAAGCCAGTGAAAGTCCAGCAAACCCAGAGCAACCAGAAGAAGCGAACCAACCCGAAAAACACGGGGCACGCTCATTGGATAATGAAGAAGCAGCTCTGCCTGGGAAACAGAAGATAGATAAACTGCCCCTACCTCCAGGTAAAAACATCATAATACCCCAGCTCAACTCTCCCGTCCTTGGTTTGAAGAAAAAGAAAAAAAACTTACTTTTACTCAGAATTCCGCTCCCTCCTCAAGTACGATACTACGAGTGAATTCATCTTCATCGACTACTACGACCTAGAAGCGTACGTCATCATATCCCGCAACAGCCACGACTGCACTTTACCGGCGACACAGAGCACCACCAACAACAACAACAACAACAACAACGACAACAACGACAACAACGACGACAACAACAGCAGCAGCACAGTAAAAGACGAAACGACTACTACCGAGGAGAAGGAGGATGAGCCCATGATCGTCGTAGACCTAACCGTACTCGACCACCAGCACGGCTACGGCACCCATCTCGATATTTTCCCCTACATCTTCGTCTACCTGCACTCCGAGCACGTGCGCTTCAGCCTCAAAGCCGCGCGGAACGACGACATGCTGCTATGCGTGGATTTCATGAACAGCGTCGTGATGCCAAACTAGGTGCATTGGAAAAAGTGGGTTGCCGACAAGCTGTATGTGCGCCACGTGCTGCTGTGGCTCGCGCAGAACAGCGTCGATGTCGTGCTCGAGCCAGATTGTCGCTGGGCGCGCCAATGGCATTCCAAGCAGTTCAGGAATTTAAAGACCGTGTTGGGGTTGCGGGGGGGAAGAGGAGGGGTTTGGACTGGCTGGGTTGTTGTGGCTAGTGTAGAGGATTAGCTGGTGCGGATATGATGGGGTAGGTTATCTCTACTCTTATGCCACCCTGGTTATGTATCGTTGAATCAACCATCTTCAAATGCCTTGGCTGTGCTCTGAGAGCACCGTGTGGTTGTAGTGGACTCGGCTACTGATCAGCCCTGGCCCGTCAAGCATGTGTTGGATATGCAAAACTTCCAATCAATATTGCGTGATGAATCATCAATGCGCAAGATAAAGATTTCACAATGGCCTGAATACTAGCTCTTGCCATAAGATTTACGTATTATTCTACAGAAACATCTACCGTAAACACTACCGTACATAAACCCCTGAGTCAGGGTGCATTTGGGGCCTCCAGACTTTCCGCCACATTGAAATCGTTTCGTGAATCAAAGATTAAATGATTCTCGACGCCACAAGCCCGCTGTTTGGACCCCAGAGGTTGCTCATACGTGTAGTAAGCAGACCCTGTACCACCATCGATACCGCATTTTGCTATTGTGCTATCCTCAGTCCTTGTTCCATCAATGAGAAGCTCCGAGATTCGATACCAACTGTCCAGCGTTAAAGCAAATCGTATCAGGAAATAATAGGGCATAAAATTTAAGCCCGGGCTTTCAGAGAAGCCATTGGATCCCTTCCCGCGGTCCTTTCACCGTACATCCAGTTAACAACTCGCGCCATGTACATTCGCCCCTCTTCAGACAAACGGCTCTTAAATGCCGTGAGCCATTGCTGCGCACGTTCCCGTTTCTGCACATCAGCTTCCGTAGTAAGCTTTGAATCCTGGTTGGTAAGCACGAGACATTGCCACACCTGGGGTATGTAACGATTAAGGGTTGCTCTGAGCTGGGCTGAGGCTTGAGATGGTATGGCTGCGGTGTCACGGGCCGATGTCGGAGACTGCTGTCCGGATGGAGGTTTCGATGGCGAGGTATGGCCGTATTGAGTCACTTGTGGTTGGCTCTGCTTGGACAGATGATACAGGGAATTTACAGTCATATGGCACAATGACTGTCCAGTTTGTTGGGATGGTTTATGACCAGTCGGATAAGGAAAGGCTGGTTGAGTTGATGCGAAGGCGGGCGATGAGCAGGGCTGAGAAAACTTTCGCTGATCTTGTACCGGCTCCATGCGACCCGATTGCTGTTGGTACGATGACTCTTGTCGTTGTACTTGCGATCCTGAGACATTCATAGTTGTCTGTCCGCTGCCAGGCTGTACAACACCTGCTTCCACAGACTTGGTTTTGTCACGTACAGTCATGCTAAAGCTCCTAATGCTTAAGAGTGCTTCTGCCCTTTGGTTCGAGTCGGGATGGTGACTTGCAATGTGCCAACATGCGGAGAGGTAATTTCGAATCTGGTCGCGCTCCTGAGGATTGAAGCATAGGTAGCGCGGATCACGAACAATATCATCGGGCTGAAGCATGGCGACTTGTAAAACATGTTGCATGGAAGGAAACCCCTGTTGTTGCGTAGTAGCATGAATATTCTTCACAAGGGTTTTAATTAGTGTCGAGATTCAAGAAGTGGCAGAGGCAGACTCACGGAGTGGAGTGGTATCGACAAAGTAGAGGCTGGTGTCGAAGTTCCGCTGAGCTTCTGATGTGACTCGGTATGAATCGGTTCTTCCTTGACATCAGTGGCGGAAGACGAATGAAGGTGCGGAGTTTGTGGAGGCTCTTGTGCTGTAGGTGTAGAGTGCTTTGTCGAATTCTTTGACTGTGACCACTGCGTGTCCGCTTTTGTTGGCTTTGATCCTGCATTTTGTGAAGGTGCTGACTTGGACTGGCGGTGATTTCGCTGCTGGCCCTTTGCCTGGCTCTTTGCCTCTTCTTTTTCGGAAACAGTGCGAAGCGCTCGGGAAGGAGGCGACGGGTCCACAGACATTGCCGTCTGAGAAAGCACGTCGACCCCAGGTGTGACATTGTCGATATTCTTGTTTACATTACCATTGATCTGGCCATCATTTGAAGAAGACTGAAGCGCAATACTAGCGGCGTTTGGAAGTCCCGTATGAACCATCCTATACAACCCGGATCGCGACGCCTTCTTGGTAGCATACCGAACTGTTTGTGGAGCGTGCACTGGGTAAACCAGAGGGTGCAATCCGGGCTCTTGAGTGACTACGAGACGTTTATCTGGGCCGTAAAGATAGTCGCTATAGGCTGGGAAGATGTCGCAGTCGCGCTGCAGCTCTTCCCATTCCTCGTCGCGAAATGGCATGGTCGCTGTGAGTGAGCTGCGGTCTCGCTGGCGATGCAGATGGAACGGCAGTAGCGAGTTCAATCAACGATATTGCGGGTGGTTCGGTGTTTGGGACTAGATTAGCTGATTTGAGTAGGCTCAATCTGCAGTAAGTAGAAGTGGAGAGGTGGAGAGGTGGAGAGGTGTAGCCTGGAAGCGCGCGGTGAGTGTAAACAGGGAAAGCGCGGTGGAGCAGTGCGACTAGAGGCACTCACAGTCTAGAACACAGAGGTGAAAGCACGCCATTGGTACATGGGAACCTCTCTGGGACCAAGTTGTAGCCACTCGCAAAACGTTTGACATTTGAGCAATGCGGCCTTGCTGTGCCACACTTGAGCGCGATCGGTCGAATATGACATGTGCGCATATTACCAAAACATAGACTTGTACCAGCCAATTCCTATGCAGTTGGGGCATTGAGTTTCTGTGGAAAGACCATTGCACCGCTGCAGACGACTTCTTGTCTCCGAGTTCATATACAAACAATACTCACGCACTTCATGTTGCAGAAGGACGACCTTAGTGACTGGAAAAGATGAGTAATGTCAAGATGCTAGAGGTGCAAGAATCTCAAGAATGAAATGAAGTACAAACGAGAAGTTCACATGGAGGTGACAAGCCGGGGCAGCATTCATCTTCTAGCTTTATGTTCAAACAGCATGAACGAATAATCTTAGCATTTCAGACAGCAATGGTAGTCTGGAATACATAACGGGAGTTCAAGCAACAGTCTCAGTATGCGTATCCAGATTGGCCAATATTCGGTCTAGATGGGTAGGGAACAGACACGACAAGAATGAGATAATCGGGTGATGTGAACTTGAAGAAAACTGCATTACGTCAAGATGAAACGAGAAAAATTAAAAAGAGGCAATGCAAGGGATAAACAGTTGACCGATGTTAGAGAGACCGCTCAAGTCCAGCGTCGGCAAAACCTTGATCCGAGACTCCAAGAGATGACGCTGATTCCCCACGACCCCACCATGCTCGCGTCGATCTTTGAACCTTGCAACCACAGTCTTTACAGCAACCTCTGCTTTCGCTCTTCCGTGTCGCAATCATTCCGCAGGTACGAATTGCGTTTTCGCAATGGCCGACGCATCACCTGCACCCGAAGCCGAAACCCTAGAAGCACTCCAAGCCCGTCATCGCAAAGAACAACGCGATCTTGTCTCGCGTACGACACAAAAGAAGAAGCAAGCGAGCAAGAAAACACGAAAGGGCGTCAACGAAGAGTGCGAGCGGCTAGAGAGGGAATTGAAGGAGCGACAGGAGCATGAATTGGCGCTTCTGAATGGAGAGGTCGTGCAGCAGGACCACGAAGACGTCGATTTGCCTTCGGACGACGAGACACAGAAGGTCCAAGAAGTTGCAAAACTCAATATTGGTGGAAACACCGCTGGATCCAGAGAAGACGACAACCAGGAAGACGCTGCAGCACCCAAGTCAAAGAAGCCTAATCGCGCCAAAGCCCGTCTCGCCCGGCGGGCTGCCGAACAAGCATCGATGATCGCTGATGCGCAGCGCGAGGCTGCAAATGCACCAAATCCACGAGAGCTTGAGCGGGAACGCATGGCGACACAACTAGAGAAACATGGCCTGGTACTGCATGAGATACGGGCAGATGGGCATTGTTTGTATGCTGCTGTCGCGGATCAATTGCAAACAAGAGAGCTAGGCTTGAAACCGAGGATAGAGGTTACAATGGCTAAAACTGATGGCAAAGATGATACCGAGAAAAAAGAGAGCTACAAGGCGGTCCGGCACGCAGCAGCAGACTGGATACAAGGCCACGCCGACGACTTTTCCGGCTTCATGGAAGACCCGCTACCTGAACATGTTCGCAAGATTAGGGAAACTGGTGAGTGGGGCGGGCACCTGGAGCTTCTTGCGCTGGCTAGATCGTACGGATTGAGAATATGCGTGCTGCACAGTGACGGGAGAGTTGACAAAATAGAGGCCGAAGACGGCGGCGTACACGAGATTTGGCTGGGCTACTACAAGCATAGTCATGGTTTGGGAGAACACTACAACTCGCTGCGAAAAGTTGGGTGAGAGACATCTATGGGTCGAAGAGTGCATCCGGCACATATCCGGTGCCTTCAATGCCACCTTTGCTCGTCTGGGCAGTCCACCTTGTGGCGCCACATACTCACACAGTCCCTTACCACGCCTTTGATGACGCCAATCTCGTGAGTCCGCCGAGGCGTCCAATGCGCAATCTTGACCAGCGCATTGTCTGTCTCCTCTCTGTCCGTCTTTGTTACCACGCCTTGGTCGTCATATGATATATCCTGGCCCGGTTGTTCCAGTAGCTCCGTGTGTACGAGGGGTGGCAGCGACCACGGAGGTCCACCGGAGGAAACAGGCTTGTGTGTTGGGAACTCGAGACAGATTAAAACGCCACCGGAGGACTTGGTGTTTGGAGGTGCCCGTCGGAGAATATCCGTCATACGTGATGCCCACTTTGGACGCAGGGAGGGCGGAAGGGCACATAGGAACTATTTGACGTCAGACCCATCACTAGCAGGTATTGGAATACCATGAATAGCACTCACGGTATTGTCATAGATAATATCAAAACCCTCGTCTCCCTCCCAGCCATCCACATGCTTGAACCATGCGTCGTCGAAAAAGTCGGCGCAGATGATCTTGATGGCTCCTTTGCCCGTCTTTTCGTCCTTTACCGCATACTCGCCCTCCAACGGGCCTTTTCCTGGATCCTGTAGATATTTCCGCGCAACCTCAGCTGCATGTGGTGACACCTCCAGCCCATAGGCATCATAACCGTGTGCTGCAAACAAAGCCACATCATATCCCTTTCCACAGCCCGGCACCAGCGCTCTCCTCCTCTTGCCGTCATCCCTCAGCGGCCCAGGCAGGGATGCGTAACCGGCCGACTCGCTGTTCGGCGGGGGAGCGCCCAGCGAGGGATTTGGGTCTGGGGACGAAAGAGGGCGAGAACGCTCATTAAGAACGTCGATGAGGGCGGGATTGGCGTTGCCCCGGTCCCATGGCAAAAAGGTAGCCTCGCGCCAGAGGTCATCCCATCGATCGCCGTGATCCGACTCGGGGGCGGACGAGAAGAGAGCGCGGAGACGGTCCTGGTTCTGCGTTGCCATTGTGTACTCTACACAGGGCTGGAGCTTTCGCAAGCCTAGATGCGTGTGGTGGTGTTTCGAGCGAAGGTTGACAGAGCTTCGAGCTGATGTTACGAATTGGATAGGCGTAATAGGGCCCTGGTGGTGACGAATGCGGGGCGGGCGACTAGCAGCTCCATGCTTGCTTTTCCCTTGGTTTCTTTTCCTCTGTGCAATGTGGACGCATGTGCGACGTCAACGCTACCGCTGCGGCACCGTTGTTGCACGGGGCAACTGTTTGATCCAGCCCGACATGACTAGACGCAGCGATTAATCCGTGCTCGCATCTGCGCAACTGAGAGCCATGGGAAACGGGCAAACGAGAAGCCTCGGCACACATGGCCGACGTCGCCGCTGTCAACCTGGTTTGTGGCTAGTGTCCCGCTGCCAGCGCTAGAGCCCAAAACGGCGCTAGCGTGTGGCGTAGGGAGTCCGTGCCCACGGAGATATGTCATCGCAACCTCCAATCAAGCCAGACTCAGGCCCAGATCATCACCTCGTTCTAGCGCTACGCTCCCTTCAGCACGAAACAGGCTCCACGGGCAATGATACCTTTTACGATGGGCCTCGTATGGCACGCTAGGAATTGCCCAATCCAGGCTCGCCGGACTGTCGCTTGCATGCATCCTGCCACCCCACTGCGGACTCCAGTGTTGGTGTCAACCATTAATAGGTTCCACACACGTTCTCGCGGTGTAGGCATACACGCGGGTGTAAAACGCCTGCTTCATCACTTGCATCACCACTGTTTGGTCGGCACGGAGGCGGATTTCCATTCTGGATGGTCTGGGCAGCCATGGCACCTCGAAAATCTCCTCCCTTCATCTCCCTTGCCGCTCCGCCTCTGCGTGACGGCAGGGAGGCGAGACATCCATGTGGGGGTCGTGTATGAGCAGAGCTCATGACTCAGCGGCTGCAAGCTTCCGAGGCATTACGACACTGACACGCCGTTCGGATGAGGCGTTGTGCATACCGCGATAGACGGATAATGGCGCTATTCGATGGACCGGATACGCAATATGTGGTCGCTGGAAACTGGCTAGTTTTTTCTTCCTTCCTACATCCTTCTCGCTTGCGACAATCACGGCATCTGGCTCACTGATATCGCAGCCCAGTATGCCACGCGAGGAGCCCACTTCAACGCCACGTGCCGACCTCGACATGGATACCAAGAAAGAAGAGCAGGACTATTCACAAGAGCATGGAGCTGAAGCTGATGCTAAAAGAGAGGAGAAAGATGACATGGCTATTGAGTCTTCGGATGCTTCAGTTACAACGGTTACGGAAGAGCCAGAACCCTCGAAAGCAAGACAACGACCAGTCGAATTAGAGCGAACAACAACAGTAACGCCCGAGGCGGTCGTTGTTCCCCGTTCGCAACGGCGCGGTCTTCTCGCGCGCTTTGCTCTTATTCCCGAAGTCGAGAATCCTACACATTACCCGCGGTCCACCAAATGGTTTCTGACTTTTATCGTCGCCTTCTGTGCTATGGCCGGACCCATGGGCTCTGCAGTTGTCATGCCGGTCCTCAAAGATATCAGCGAAGCCTTTGGCGCGAGTGAGACTATCGCCAACATGTCCGCCGCCGTGTACATGCTCAGCATGGCCATCTTTCCGCTGTGGTGGAGTTCCTTCTCGGAGAGACTGGGACGGCGAACGATCTACATTACTTCGTTTTCTCTCTTTGTTGTTTTTGCAGTACTCGCAGCCATCAGCACGAGCATCAACATGCTGATTGTATTCCGCGTTTTCTCCGGAGGTGCTGCCGCCTCGGTGCAGGCGGTGGGAGCTGGAACCATTGCCGACATCTGGGAGTCGAGAGAGCGAGGTCGAGCAATGGGACTATTTTACCTCGGGCCACTGTGCGGTCCTTTGATTGCCCCAATAGTTGGAGGCGCATTAGGATCGGGACTAGGCTGGCGGAGCACCCAATGGTTTCTGGTTATTTACGGAGGGTTTACCGTTATTTTCATCGTCTTCGCTCTTCCGGAAACACTGCATCGGGGCGAGAAAACGTCCGCCGGCCCGACCGCTCCACGTCTGAGCGACACTAACGAAAAAGCACCAGATGGGGCTCTCGGACCAAGCATTACACGCACGTCGACGGTCCAAAATACCAAAACTCTAATTGTCCATATCCGTCACATCTTTATAGATCCGCTTCGAATCATCGCGTGGCTACGCTTCCCGCCCGTTCTACTTACCGTTTACTACGCTAGCATAACATTCGGCTGCCTCTATGTCCTCAACATCAGTATCCAGAAGCGGTTTGCCATGCCGCCATACTCGTTTTCCACGCTCATCATCGGCCTGCTCTACATACCAAACTCCCTGGGATACCTCCTAGCATCCGTCTTTGGCGGCCGGTGGATCGACTACATCATGTTCCGCGAAGCCCGCAAAGCAGGGCGCTACGACGATAATGGAAAACTGATTTTCCGCCCCTTGGACCGGATGAAGGAAAACGCGTGGCTTGGGGCCTTGCTTTGGCCTGCCTCGTTGATCGTTTTTGGCTGGACATCTGAACGTGGAATCCACTGGATAGTACCCATGATTGCCAATTTCTTCTTCGGCATCGGCAGCATGTTGATTTTCGCCCTCGTTAACACCATGCTAACCGAGTTCATGCCGCGACGCGCTGCAAGCGGTATCGCGCTGAACAACTTTGTCAGGAACATTTTTTCTTTTACTGGCGCTATCGTTGCAGAGCCCATCATCAGTGCAATTGGCAATGGATGGATCATGACGATTTTGGGCATCTGGAGCATAGTCACGGGGTGCATGGCGTTGGGTGCTATGCGAATCTGGGGGGAAAAGTGGAGAGAGTCTATGGTCAAGGTTTTGGGATAATAAGGTCACAACAGGTGGGAGTTTTACATTAATGAGTTACGCATGTCAAAAGTGCTTGTGTGAGCGTTATGAACTAGGTTTGGGTTATTATATGCGCATGAAGCGGGAGTTTTACAATAGATGACGACTTTTCTGATATCATCATGCGCTGAAAGGAAGCTGGTTATTCTCTGACCATTGCTCGTATCCTGTGAAAGACTGCGACTCCAGAATCCGACGTAAGATGAAGTTATCCCCGGTTCCAGAAATTTAGGTTTCGCAACTAAGATTAAGTTTCGATCCGAGGTCCCACCGAGCGTCAATAGAACTGACACGTATTACATGTATCATGTCGGTTAAACACGTACTTAGTAGCTTTTTGCACCATCAACAGCAAAATCTTGGTAATCAGATAAAAAAAACTTCCCCAGTTGAACGATGAGGGGTGCGCTCGCAACAAAAAAAAAGAGAGGGCCTCTTCGATCATCATCACAGTAGTACCAGCGGCGGCCAAAAACAAACTTTTACTTACGACAACCTCGCAGGAAATCATACGATTTCTACGTAGAGTGATAACCTCGTGTACATTGCCCCCCCCCCCGCCCTGGCAACGCGCTAACAAGAAAAGTCAAGAACCGGTGTACACCTACATATGTACCAACTAATCACACGTACACGTAGGTACGTACCCCGGATATCGCGTGCGACAGCAAAGAGGAAAAAAGATAAAATTAAAAGGGAGCGGGGAAAAAAGGGGAGGGGGGGGAAAGAGAACGTAAGTACTGTATTGTGCAATGCGTATGTATGTTAAATTTGCACGTGTAAAAACGAGCACACGAGAGAGTACGAGGCATAAACCGGGAATAAAAGCTCGATAATACATTACTTTCTCTCTCTCTCTCTCTATCTGCCCACTTACTTACCACTACCCACTCACACTTACCACGACGTAGGATGCGCTTCCCCACTCGCCCCTCCCCCCACAAAACAAACTCCCGGGCGTCCCGAGCACGATTGGTTGGGACGGGTGCGCGTAAGCATGCTGTTCCCTTGCTCGCACCGCCTGTGTTTCTAACTCTTAGGCCCTGGTACCAGGGAGTAATGTGTGTTAGTGGTGTACGGGGAGGGGGGTAGATCATGTCTTACTCACCGCTGACAAAGCGCAGCCCGGGATTTGCAGCCTGCCTACCACAGACGTTGTTGTATGCGGGAGATGCTTGTGCTTGTTCGCCCCGCTTCGGAACAGCCAGCTAGCTAGTAGCTAGCCAACAAGCTTGTATGGATGTACATATGTAGGGTACAAGGGGGTAACGGAAAGGAAAAAGCCACTTCGCGTCCCGCACCAGGTGTGTACTAGATGATCTGCGTCCATCCTTGTTTCTCAATACGTTATCTACGGAATTCTGGCCTTGGCGCCACTTTTCCGGAAGTATGTATGTAAGTTATCCTTGTGTCTACGGCACGGCACGGCACTGTGCTGTATCCAAGACTCTGGGTTGGTAACTAGGAGGTGTAGCTGCAACACGTGGTGCGCTGTTCGCCGACTCTGCGCACGTGTTGCGGTCCGAAGTCCTGCCGAGAAAAGACGGTTCGGCAACCCCTTCTTTTTTTTTCCTGGGGGACACCGGTGTCGTTTGCAGTCTCGGTGGCATGCTGTGTGGTGGTTGGTGGCGGGTATTGGGATGGTTGGGTACGTGTGTGGTGTAGGGTTTGTCAGAGGACTTGTAGAGAAGAAAAGAGAGAAGGGTATGAGGACAAGGCTTTGTTTCCTTTCCGTGTTTAACAGGGTTCATTCTTGTGCTTCTACGTACTAGACTGGGAATGTGTGCGTGGGGCTGTGTTCGCTCTTACGTACGTCCATACATCCATAAATACAAGTTTAGAAGTAATACCAACACTTCTTCACCAAGACGCCATTTCACATCCCAACATAAACAAATCAGTCAAAACACACACACACACACACACATGTGCCAAATACAGCTAGTAGTCGGCGCATTTCCTAGTAGTCGGTGGATTTCGCACCAGTTGAGATAACCCCGCCATTTTGCACGCCTAGTCCCTTCCCATCCCCCAAACTTCGCAAGTAGATAGCTAGAAAATCGATGGTGAAATTGTATCCACCATTCTACGGGTTCTTGTTCCCAGCTTTGCAAAGTGAATAGACATGTAAATAGATACTGCCCACTGCCCACTACTATGTACCACATTCTTGGACATACATACACGGCGCTACTCAGCCAGCTAGTAGCCATCGGCGTTACATCACGCGCACTTCATACATGGTATACCCAGCTACATTTCGGCCCCTCACATTCCAGACACACCGGAAGAATCACATGCATCTTGCCATGTAACCGGTCATCGCTCCCTCCTCCAGCTCCCAGCTCCAGCCCCTGATCCTGTAGCGCACACAAGTCCCAATTTCTTCACCATACCAGAACCAGAACCAGTACCTAGCAATACACATGATTCGTATCCATCCCATTCCATGTACTACTCTATTCTCCACAGACAACACCACCACCAACACCAACACTGCGAGCGAAACTAAAAAATAAATAAAAAAAATAAACAGTGCAACAAGTCCAACAAAATAAAATCTAAACACCAATTCAAAGCAAGTAAGCAAACGAGTGATTTATTCCCCACGTAAGTACCTCTACACGTATGTCCCTCGCCCTACCACTTTTCTCTAAAATCCCTGCTTCATGCTTATCCCATCCTGCACCACACACACACGCACACACCACGCAGCACACCAAACAGCAGGGCAGGGTAAACCATGTTTTTCCTGCTTTTAACTTACTTACAAACAACCTAGCCATGCCCCGCCATTCAGCCCCCCCTCCGTCCGGCGCATTGTTCCGCGGAGCGCGCAAGAATCAACGGAGAATTTGGGGCCTGGTAGATACGAATTACCTGTTTAGGATCGTTTGAGGTGTCTAAGTAGCTTGTTTTTTGTTTTTGTTTTTGTTTTGTTGGGCGAGCGCTGGTACGGGTACTGGTACTGGTACTACACCGCGTATAGCTAGGGGTGGCGGTAGGTAGGTGTTGGTGGTACGGATGATGATGATGATGATGATGGTGGTGGTGGTGGTGGTGGTGGTGGAGAAGTAAGTAGTGTAGTTTATGATGGCAGTGGCGCTACTTAAGTATTTAGTTATTGAGCGGAAGCGTGTAAGCGAGCGAGCGAGCGAGCGATAATCAGATCGTTGGTGCGAAATGTGGGGGAAGGGGGGGAGTGGGAGCAAAGCTGAAGGAAGCTGACAGCTGAACTTGTGTAATTCTTTTAAGCTTTCTTTCTTAAGCTGTTTCTTGTTTTTTTTGTGGGTGTGTGTTGCTGGGCTGGGCGTTTCTTGGGAGCTGAAACTCAGCTCGCTGGGTACATACATATGTGTGGATAGATGGATGGTATTGGATTCTACTGTTCTCCCTGTGGAATAATAGTACGAGTGCTGCAGTGCGAGGTTAGAAGGCATGTGAAGATTGAGACATGGGCTGTTTTTCTTCACGTATCAGGACACGATGGGATGCAGTGGGATGCAGTGCAGACAGTGTTAGTGTACATGAGAACATTAATTCGTGATAAAAGATATGTGTACATCGGCGGTCTTTTCTTTGCTTTGGCTACTGGATTGATGTACTCGGGGTGTGTGTGTGAAAACTTTGCTTTCTTACCACCACACAAAAGAGCGCCACAACTGAACGAGAACAGCCGTGTATAGTTGTATTTGTGTGTGCGTGTGCGTGTGTGTGGCGGATGCAGAAGAAGCAAAGATGGTTGAAGAAGTAGAAGAAGAAGAAGAGGAAGAAGAATATAGATGTTGATGATGCACTTTGAGCTCTGCAGTCGGATTCTCTTTTCCTTCTCTTCTCGCATCTAGTCCAACAGGCGTTGCGCCCATGGCGCACTCTCGTACCACGCTCGGATCTTCTTGCCCCAGATGTACAGCGGAAGAACACAGACGGTGACAATGGCGGCAGCAGCAGCCATGGCGGTGAAAACGGGCAACGGTCCAACAACCATGAGCCAATCGATGATGGGGTTGAGCCCGACCGTCACGGCACCAGCTGAGATCAAGTTGATCGAGGCAAAGGCCTGGGCCGAGTGGGCGGGGTGGCAGTCGATGACGTAGGAAATGGCGATTTGAATGACGCCGATGCTGCCGACGTTTGTGACGGTCGACCAGACCAGGATCCACGGCAGAGGCAAGCTGTTTTTGAAAGCGCTGCCGAGGCTGAGGAGGCCCACCATGGTGACTGGTGTTGCGAGGAGAAGAAGTACAAGGCGGAACTCCGGCTCGACCATGCCCTTGCGCGTGCCGTTGTGGCGCGCCAGCAGCTCGACAGAGGCGTCGGACATCCATCCGAAGAGAGGACCGGAGAAGAGACCGACGAGGAAGAGAGGCAGGTTGGTCATGCCAATTTGGCTGGGCTTCAGGTCGTACGGAGGGGCTGCCAAAAGGATCGACATGAAGGTCGACATGCCGACGAGCAGCAAAAAGACGGTGGCGTTGAGGAAGCAGCTGTAAATTACGATTGGGGAGGAGATGAGACCTAGCGGCTTGATCATTCCCTTGAAGAATGACTTGTCTGAGAGGCGACCGCGGTGAAGCGCGAGCTTTTCTCCGTACGTTTGTAGTCGCGGCACCTCGTTCTTCTTCAGGTCATCTTCCAAGCTCCAGACCTCTGACTTCTCAGGTGGATACTCGGTCTGCTCAGCAGACTCGGTCTTTCGATTAAAGTATGCCGATTCGAAAATGGTAAAGTACAGCACAGGGATCAGGGCCGTGTAGATGAGGGCCGTGATGAGGAAGTTTGCGTCTACTCCAAAGGCATCTGTGACGATACCGGCGATGATTTGACTGTGGAAGAGAAGAAATTGAGTTAGTTGGGTTTCTGGGCACAATAGGTGCGGATAACTCACCCGACTTGGGCTCCAGAGTTGAGCAGGAGATTCCACACGGCGATGGATCGGCCTCGCTGGTTGATGAAGAAGATGTCACTGATGGTAGCGGTGAGCAGGGTAAACAAAGGAGCAGAGAAAAGACCTCCAGCCGTTCGCGCAATGGCCAGCATGGTGAACGTCTGTGAGAAGTAGGCAGCAAAGCTGGCCAAGGCTAGTAATACAACACTGTAAACGTAAAAAGGCCTTCTTCCCCAGATGTCTGTTCCTGCGACGGCAACAAAAGCCGCAGCTGATGTCCAAAAGGTAGGCGCAGTGATAAGCCATGTCGAAACTTCACCCTCGGTGCTCTTGAGTGACTCGGTCAGGGGCTCCAGGCCAGGTGTAAGCATGGCGGTTGTTCTGCAAAATCTTAGCGTGAGGCCTTGATACAAATATGGATGTAGGTAGCATACGCATTGGTAATTGCAGACCCAAAGGCTAGGACAAACAGATGAATGCACTTCCATGTCAAGGACCTAAAGTCGTTAGCCCGTCATGTCTTAGACCGCATCTGGGAACTTGCTCACCAATTAAGAGGGTCATTTGGATCGTTGCTTGGCTGTGGAGAGCGCACTGGACCTCCACTCTGGTTGGTGTTGCCTTCTTCAGACGCATTGGACGCATCCTTGCCCCGTACTTCTACGATTGATGTGCCGCGGGGCATTGCCGCACGGCGGCTCTCTAGAATACCCCATCCCATCCTCACTGATTTTGCGATTCAACGCGATTCTTTTTTTTCTGTTTTTTTTTCTGTTAAAGAAACTGCCCGAGTCTCTTGTTGGAATTCGATATAGCGTAAAAAGTAGGATGGACGACCAGCGTTTGGAAGGAATGTAAGAAACGAAAAACAAAAAAAGGGGGGGGGGGTGGTCAAAAACTGGCCAGCAGTTTATTTGTCAAAACTAGCAGGTAACGAATCGAAACAATGAGGGGAAGAAGAAGAAGAAGCAGAAAAAACGAAAACAAAATGAGATCCGGTCTGCAGAGCAAATAGGAAGTGTACTTCAGCCACGGAAGATATTGTCATTTTGAAGACTGACTATCAGTTTATACAAACTGAGCCACAAAAGGAGGATAGTGAATTACCAAGCAGCGTTACGCGTCTGGCAAGCCTGGGGTAAGCATGATTCGGCGGTAGTTCGACATACTGTAACACACGTCGCAACGTAGTCTCGTAGGGCCATGGAGTGAGAGAGATCGATGTGTATGAGGCCGTGTTACGGGACCCACTATGTATGTATGGCTTTACCTAACAGTTGGGTTTACGCCAGACCTCAGTAAAACGATAAGCGGCAAAGCATACATTCATACCAAGCCTCTAGACTGAACTTTGGGTGCTGTAGAGTGACGCTTCTTTGCCCGTGTTGCCTTGGGCAATGTGCTTGGCGTTGGGGAATTGAAACAATGCCATGCACAGGATAGAGAGAGAGGGCGTCGCATTCGTCCCAGGCCCCCATTTGGAATACTTATAGAAATATAGGTGCCCTTTTAACGCCCGGATTTGGAATGTCCACGCGGTTTGAAGACGTGGGGAACACGCTTGTTAGACGTTTACGCCCGTCGCACGAGCCGCTCGCATCGCGGGTGCACTAAGCCATGTGCAACGACAGCCACAGGAGCCCATGTCAGTGCCTTGGGTCGGAGGGCTGAAAGGCCTTGGCTGGTTGGGGCTCTCAGGCGCTTATGCCACCATGATGGCGCTGCTGCAAATCCTCAAACAAAGTCTCGGCAACTGGACCCGACGTCTGAAACGGCTCATGTATGGGAGTGTAAAATGGGCCGATATACGCATAGGGCCGACTGGGCAACGCATCAAGTAGGCCTTCAGTTTGAGAGTCGAAAAGGGCGCAAGTCGACTTATAGGGGCTGAGTAGGGCGCAAATGGGCATGTGAGGAGGCAAGTGATGGACGAGTTGAGGAATGCCAGGACTACAAATAGCGGAAAGGGTCTCGGCGATGTTTGCCCTACTGTAGTATGTCGTAGTCCTGATGGCTGCTGGCATGCCGTGTAAGTAAGGTGTCGAGTACAAAGCATATGGATCCAAATGTGTAAGTAGATACATCGCTAGGGCCATGTTTCCTCGCATCGACCTGCTCTATGTATGGGGACTAGGTTGGTCATGCTTATTTGCATTAAAGGTGCGATACCACACGCATTTCAACAAACAACTGAGATGCCAAATTGCCGGGTATGACTTGGTAAAACACGATGCAAACGCATTCAAAGTGGCTGAAAAGAAGCTTCTCGAAGCGCACATTGCGGTTTATGCTGCATACAAGACGGCACTCAGCTGCCGGAGTACAGCCTTATATCCTCGCATGGCTATGCACAGCCATGAACGTGCTTGTCGATCCTCGCAGGGCCCCCTTTCAAGCACTCTTTCCTTGCGCCTCAGGCTGTCATGACACGCGTCCCGTGTTGTGCTAAACGTACAGGCAAGGTGAGGCAGAGTTTGACTATTATATCTACCGAAAATATCCAACTCGCTCATAGAACGCCAGTACACCTCCCCAAGAATAGACAACTTTTATCGTCATAATCATCGTTAGAATCTTGCCAAATTACTCCAAACACATCGTTTAGAAACTAGAAAATAACAACACCCGAAAACACTTCAACTAGCCGCGTTTCGAATCTTGGCGGCCTCGACAGCTTTCTCCCAGCTCGTCCGCCAGATGAAGACGCCTTCGATTGCTGCGACAATGGTGAGCGCAATTGCAGGTCCCTAGGGGGCGTTAGTTTTACAATCCACTCATTGTAACATGGGTAGTCCTTACACTCCAGAGTCCGTACAGCCCCCAATGAAGCGGGCCGAAGCCCGTCCAAAGACTCCACGGGATGCCGACGGCGTAGTATGCGAACAGCCCAACATAGCCGCCAATCTCTTGACGGCCCAGTCCACGAAGGATACCATTGCAGTTGGTGGCCAGGGCGTCGAAGACTTGGAAGGTGGCGCAAAGAGGAAGGAGATGCGCCACCATGTCAATGACCTCTTCATCAGGCGTAAACAGACGCGGGATAGATTCGCGCAACAGAGAAAGGAAGAGGAGGTTGAATAAACCAATAAAAACAGACGCAAAAACCGCCACCTTGGCAGCGGTTTTGGCGGGCATGGCAAGCGTGGCACCAATCAGATTAGCAATGCGCGTTGACGCCGCAACGCTCACGGGGAAAGGTATCTGGAACGTGATTCCGGTAATGGATCCGAGGACCGATTGTGCAGCAAGCGCTGTAGGTCCCAGCCAGCTCGACGTCAGCGTCAAAATCTCAAAAGCGAGGAACTCGGCAAGAACCATGACCAGGCCAGGAAGCGCGAGCTTAATCATGGGCATCCAGTTCTTGAGCGCTCGTCGGTCGAAGCCGCCCCAGCATTGGTAACCGTCAACAAAGTAGACATAGAGGAACAAGAAGAGAGGCATCAAGTTCTCGGTGATGACGATGGCAATGGGTGCTCCGACGAATCCCCAGCCGAGATGCCAGACCATGAACCAGTTCAAGAAGGCATTGAGAGGTGCACAGATGAGAAGGATGTACATGGTGGCGTTGAAGATGCCCTGTGCTTGGACATAGCGCTTGCCGCTCTCAAAAGCGGCGTAGCCAGGGGTGCTGGCAATGAGGATCTTCAAGTACAGCCCGGCTAGGCGCGCAGTCTCTGGCTCGGGACCAATTACAGCGAGAATGTGCTCAGCAAACCACCAGACGAGCGAGATTGGAACGGTTATGACGAACAAGAAGCAAAGCATGCGCTGGAGTTGCAGGCCCACGAGGTGTGGACGTCCAGAGCCGTATGCTTGTGCGCAGAGCGTGTCTAGTGAGGTTGCAAGGCCCTGGTACACGGAATATCCTGTAATGGATGCAGTCATGCTGGCCAGACTCACCGCTCCGAGCTCCGTCTTGCCAATGTGGCCAACCGTGAAGATGCTGGCTACTGGCAAACTGTACTGCAACATGAAGGTCAGAATGAGCGGCGCCGAGGTTCTTGTCAAGACTTTTGCTTCACGCCGCCAGCTGGTGCTGATTTTGCCCGCGGCAACCGCCTCGTCCCATGTCTTGTTAATTGTCTTTGGCGAATCGAGACCGCCGTACGGCAAGCTCTGGTTTCCACGGGAAGCGCCAAGCAGGGCTGTTCGCTCAGACAGTGACTCAATGGCGCTCTCCTCGTCGGGCATGGACTTGACCTTGCGCAGTCCAGACATGAAGGTACCCGTCGACACGCGATCAGATGGACCCTGACTAGCCGCTCTCGGGTGTTTTGGCGGCAGCAGATTGTTATCGCGGAGCAGGCTTCTTTCTTCATTCCGTACGCTTTCCCGTTCTTTCTTGGACAAGTAGCTGTGCTTCTTCCATGATGTGGACGTGTGACTGCGGTCGGGAACACTGGAGGAGATGACGGCTGCAGAGCGCGGGCCTGGGTTTACCCAAGAAGGCCGGCGATAAGAATTGATCATGGAAAACTGGCGGATAGTCTCTGAGCTCGACGAGGAAGCGTCGTCTTCGGATGGCGAGTTGTCTTCCTCGAGGTCTCTGGCAATGGCTTCTTCGGCGACATCCTGGGCGTGTGTCAGACTTTCTGTCTGGGCTAGCACGTCGCTTGCAAGCCCAGTGACAGGAAGTCCTGTCGGCAGCGATGGCGGGGCCATGATTGGAAAAAGTGCAACTCAACGAGAGGGAAATAGACGGGAAGCCTGTGCAAAGCAGTCTTTGAAAAAAATGGAGGATTATAAGAGGGTTAAGAGGCAAGGTCAAGAGTGGGGCATGCTGCATGGTCTGATGCGGCAGCCCCAAGCGAACATGGTGATTTGCGCTAGCCGGCGCCTTTTCACCCGCGCCCTTTGACGGACTGACAGGCGCGGCACGTGTCGATGCACGCCGTGATGATTACCTGCCGGAAATAGCGTGCTGTTGGTTGGAAGAGCACAGCGGCACGGCCGCATGCGGTGCGAGATGCGAGTAGCGTGGAGTTGGATAAGGCGGCCGAATCAGTGGTGGAGGGTGGCAATGAGTGGCAGCAAGAGTGAAGGTGAAGATGCGGCGGCGGGTGGTGGAAAGGGAAAGCCGTTGGGAGGCGCCGAGTGCCAAGACATTGGGAAAGGGCGCAGAGATGCAGGCTAAGCTCAACGCCACAGCGTTCCTGATACAAGACAGTCACAAGAGGAAACGGCTTTTGAGGCGTGCGTCAAGGCTGGTATCATTGTCTGCTGCAGAAATCTATCCATCGTCATCATCCTCCCCAAACAAAGCATTATTACACAACTACTCGTCGGAGTCCCTCGGTGCCTCCGAGAACTCTCCTGCCCGTCACGGCATCGCGACCCTTTCCGCTCTCCCATCTGCCTTCTCGGCTGCCTTCTTCCTTGCCCCAGCCCTCGTCTCCCTCTTCGCCGTCCTGTCCGTTTCTGAATCCGGCAGCTCCTTCCATGAAGGCAATCTGCCGCTCGTGCTCGCCGTCTACCCAGCGATGGATGCATGTGTAGCAGTAGACGAAGCCCGTGGGCGATGCCGTGGGGTTGACAATTGGGGTGACGCAAATCGGGCACAGCGCCGACGAGGGTGGCGAGGGCACCGTGAAGATGGGCAGGAGGGTGATGGAAGAGATGGGGGGATCAACGCGCGGGGGCTGCTCCGCCGATGATGACCACGGGCGCGGCTTGTCCGCAGCATCGGCCTGCTTGGACGCCTGCTGTTGTTTCGCCGAGGGTGGAAGCGAGGGCAGGATGGGTGGCGGCAGCTCAATGTTCTCGGCAGCTTTTCGTGACAGCTGGCGGGCAAAGTCGGAGGCGTACCACCACTCGAGGAACTTGAGGGCAAAGATGCTGGTCGGGAGCAGGATCTTGAGCGAGCTCAACAGGCGCGGCTGCATGCTGCGGGCGAGGTTCCGGGGCGAGAAGAGAGATCCCCCCTCTCCAGGCCGCGCAGGGCCAACCTTGGCCGGGGCCGTCGCCAGCTCAATGGCCTTGTGGTCGGCCTCGCCCAGCCTGCGTATGCGCGTGCCGATCAGCCACATGAAGGGCGAGTGGTACTTTGTGCTGTCGAACAGATAGGCCATGTTGAAGACGAGCAGCGAGAAGTAGTATGCGGCGTTGACGCTAGGGTAGATGTTGCGCAGGAACCACTTGTAGTAGTGCAGCAGCCTTTGTTTGATAGTCGCGCCGGCGGGCAGTCCGTCTCTTTCGCGGTTGTATCCCGGGCCCAGCAGGTTGGCGTGGGCGGCGTGCACGTCGTAGGCCTCGTCCAGCTTCCGCTTGAGCCACGGCAGCCCGACCAGCACGGCGAGGTTCTTCCACACATGGCCGCGCCCCAGCTTGACGGCGTCGCGCACGCTGTCCGAGGCGCCCAGCTGTGCGCGCGGCACCTCGCCGCCGCGCACCCGCAGCACGCGCGCGCGCTTGAGGCCGTAGAAGTTCTCGGTGAAGGAGCCGCCGTAGGTGCGCAGGAAATGGCGCTCCACCAGCAGCATCAGCAGCGCATACACCTCATCGAAGGAATTGAGGACCGGCAGCAGGTAGCGCGGGTATCGCGGCGTGGCGACGGCGAGCAGGTAGCGCAGCGACGGGGGGAGGAGGGAGGCCAGCTGCTGCTCCGACAGCAGCTCGAAGAGCGAGGGCTTGAGGTCGTCTATGCCATGTTGCAGCGCGGGCAGGAACTCCATGGCACCCGGGGACAAGACGACGGCAGACGGTCGTGATGCGTCTTCATCGATGGTGGTGGTGGTGGTGCCAGCGGTGCATGCTAGTGTGTGATGCGTGTTTGGGGGCGTGGATGCGGATGCGCGCTGCAGCCGAGGCATGCTCGGATCTCGCGCACGCCCGCGCCGACGCGTGCGTCACGCTGCCACCACCGACTGCCCGACATCAATCCATCATCACGACCGCATACATACATGGCCCCCGCCCCTCGCCTTGCATCCCCCAGAAACACCCAATTCACCCCGCCGCCGCAGCCATGGAGGCCCAAGACCCGCGATGCGCCGAGCTGGAACACCCAGAGCTCATCAACTTTGTCGTCTCCGTGTAGGCCTCACTGCTCCCCATAGCACCACACAGGGCTGACCACGACTCTCTACAGCCTCATCGTCATCGGCATGCTCGTCTCCTACTTGCCGCAGCACTACAAGATCATAGCCCACCGCTCTTCGCGCGGCCTCAGCCCCATGTTTGTCCTGCTCGGCACCGTCTCGGGCACCGCCAGCATCGCCAACATCCTGACACTGCCTGAGAGCACCAGGGACATGGACTGCTGCCAGCATATTGGCACCTTCCCGTGCACAGCAGCCATGCTGGGCATCGTGCAGATCGCTGTGCAGTGGGCTTGCTTCTTCTTCATGTAACGCACCACCTTCACCGTCACCCGCAATGCACCCACTGACACCGCCACCAGCATGCTGTTGTTCCTCATCTTCTTCCCCCGAGGCCCCTCGCTCGCCGCAGAAGACGAAGACCAAGACACCAAAATCCCAACCTGGAAAGAGGCCGTCCTCGTCCTGGCCGTGTCGATTGCCTTCTTCGTCGTTGCGCTGTTTGGCTCCGTCTTCGTCGTATACGCGCTTCCGTCCCATGTCCGCGGCTGGGCCAACTTTCTCGGACTGCTCGCTACCGTGCTTGCTGCCGTGCAATACATACCCCAGATCTTCATGACTTGGAAGCTGCAAGAGACGGGCAGCCTCTCGATTCCTATGATGTGCATACAGACTCCTGGCAGTTTTGTCTTCGCCGCCAGCCTATATGCCCGCTTAGGTCCAGCAGGCTGGAGTACGTGGGGCCTGTTCATCCTCTCCGGCATATTACAGAGCTTCCTACTTTTCATGGGCATTTCGTTCATCCTGAGGGATAGGAAGGCCCAGCAAGCCCAAACCGCAGGTCATGTCAACGGAAATGGACATGCGGAAAGCAGTGAGCGCACGCCACTGCTAAATGCAGAGCACTAACACTGTCAATCAATTACCATGTTTTGTTTCTTGAACTCCTTGTCCCACCCTTGTGACCTTGGCTCCGCCTCTGACATTCAGGTACTCGTGGCGCGGATACTACATAAGCTGTGCCCGCCGACTTACCGTCTGCATCTCTTGTACTTCTCGCATCCGGTCTGATATATCCAATCGTCGACTCCCTTTGAAATGGCGTAATGCTGAGATACAATAAATGGGTGCAGCGCCATACCTGTACACCTAGTACACTCGATGTCGGATCGGAATGGCGGTGCCGGCAAGCCTGTGGAACGTGCAAAGAGTTACTGCAACCACAACTACCACGCTCTGGATCGGTTCATCAGCTCCGCAACAACAGCCGCAGCTACTGGTCTTTTGCAAAAATACGCCAACGTCGTGGCAATGAAGACCTCGACGCCAAGCTAATCTAACGTTCTTTTGGAAGGTATCTCAACGTCGGCCTTGGCCACTTGGCAAAGAAGGATCTACTTTCTTATGACCTTCTTTTCCGGACACAGCCCATGCGCGGCTCATGATAAGAGTGGACCGGAGACAATGTTGCACGCGCATTTATCCAAGAATCCGGTACATACCAAGAGGTGGGGCAAATACTATATATGAAGATGCCCTGCCGCCTCGAGAAATGGCGACGCGCTGCACACATCCGAGGGACTCTGGTATTGCAAGAGCCCAAAGAGACAAGTCGTCAAGATGAAGTTTTCTAGCGCAATCGTCCTCGCGGGCGCTGCCCAGACATTTGCTGCACTGAGGCCCCGTCCCATGGTCTCGTCAGTGGCGATTCAGGACGAGATCAAGACGGACAAGTATGTCTCGCCCCAGCGCTCCAAAGAAGCCACTGACGAAGAGACAGGTTGATGGCCAATCTCGAGGCATTCGACGCAATTGCAAAAGCCAATGGTGGCAACCGCGCATTCGGCCTTCCCGGCTACGCAGCTTCAGTCGACTACATGCTTGCCAAGACACAAAACACGCATTTCAAGACATGGACCCAGGACTTTCCAGCGCTGTTCAACCGGGTTGACTCGATTGAGTTCAGAGTGAGCAACACTTCGTACCGCGTCGTTGGACTGTCGTATTCTCCCTCCACGACTCCCGAAGGCCTGACGCTTCCGCTCGCCCTGGGCGCCTCAGGACCCGAAGGCTGCACGAATGAGGCATACAACAATCTGGACGTAAAAGGAAAGATTGTTCTTGTTCAGCGCGGCTCATGCCCCGACGGCACTACCCTTGCTGGACGCATGAAGCCTGCCGCTGCTGCCGGTGCCGCCGCCGTCATCATCTACGCCAGCGACAGCGCCAACGTTACCGGTGGAACGCTCTCCAACCCCAACCCTAAAGAATACGTGTCGACAGGCTACATTAACCTTGCCGATGCCGAGCCCCTTGTTGCCCGTCTCCGTGCCGGCGAGACCGTGGAAGCCTACTTCCAGCAAACGCAAGTCGTTGAAGAACGCATCACACAAAACGTCTTCACCGAGACCAAAGACGGCGACCCAGAAAACGTCATCATGCTCGGTGCCCATCTCGACAGCGTCCAAGCTGGCGCCGGTATCAACGACGACGGCTCCGGCAGCACGCTGATTCTCGAAATCGCAAAGGCACTGCGAAAATTCAACGTCAAGAACAAAGTCCGCTTTGCATGGTGGGGCGCCGAAGAAAACGGGCTCCTGGGCTCCAAGTACTACACGCAGAACCTCAATGCCACCGAAGCAAACAACATCCTCACATACCTCAACTTCGACATGGTATCCCGCGGCTACTTTGGCGTCTTCGACGGCGACGGCAGCGTGTACAACCTGACTGGCGCGCCCGGCTCTGCCGCCATTGAAAAGCTCTTCGTCGAGCACCTCGAAGGCAAAGGCATCAACGTAACAGCCGCCCGCTTCACCGGCGGCAGCGACTACCAATCCTTCATGAACATCGGCAAGCCCGTCGGCGGCCTACACACCGGCACAGGCGTAGCCCAGGACCCTTGCTACCACCAAGCCTGCGACACCATCGACAATCCCAACCCGGAAACCCTGACTATCAACGCAAAAGCCGCAGCCCACGTCCTGTCTATCCTAGCCACCCGCGGCGAGGAATTCATTCCAAAGAGCCCCGTCAACGCGAGCATGATTACCGCCAGGGGCATTATCGGTGTGGAGCCCAGATGGACATTGCCCGAGGAGGGCGACATGCATCTTGCGACGTGTGGACATGATGTTTAGACTCGCCTGTGCATACTCTCGGTAATCCGAGCGTGTGCAAATGTAAAAATAATGAGATTTACCTTTTTTTATGGTATACATTGCCATTTCCTCTGCTTCGGAAATAAGTGACGACCATGCTATGTTGTCTAAATAGTACGTTAGTTTGTTGACGCAAAGCAAGAACCATGGAAATGCCACCAAGTACATACATACATAGCATTACGCCGTACTTGAGCACACAACACTGAGTTTACGACTTACAATTCCGCGTTCTAGTCTTGTACTCGACATTCATACCGTTCCTCTTTTCTTTTTTTTTCCCCAGGAGTGGTTCCTGCCAGAACCAATATTACTCAGCCATACATGGATAATTCGAGTCCTTGATTCCTCCTGCTTCACAAGTAGTTTTTGATGCTATTCGCTTCAGAACAAAGCTACTAAACTAGCTAGTCTCGCACACCACTTCTTCCATGCCAATGCCAATACCCCCCGCTCCAAACAATAATGCACTTGCTCATACCTGTGCCCCGCAATTTCGCCCCCCACACCAGGATTTCTGACTCGCATGTCATTTCGTTACACGCTAAAGGTCTTCGCGCCACATCCTCACCCAGCCCACCCATATCTCAATCAGAATATAAACATGCAGTTTTCACTTTCTGCCATCAATTCGGTTGCATAGTGTAGTGGTTATCACTCCAGATTTTGACTCTATGTTCAAAAGTTTTCTGGTAACCCCGGTTCGAACCCGGGTGCGACCTCTTGAAGCTAACTATTTTTTTCTTTTTTCTTTTTTCTTTTTGTTGGATCTGAAATCTGCGGAGCGTTGGGAGATTGCCGGACATCTGAATGTTTAGATGTATGTATGTAGCTTTTTTGCGCTTGGAAATCTGCTTGCTGCTTTGGAGCTTGAACTTTTAGTTGGTGTCCTTCGCTTCTAACTAAGCATAGGTAGGTAGGGTCTTGTATTGAGATTTATCACATCCTTTTTTGTTGGTACGTCTTTGCCCTGCTTCATTCCGGCTCGTTGGTCTACGAACTGCACGAATGCCACTTCGTTTGTCTCGTTCGTTCCAAGTTGGCGCAAGAGAAGTAGCTTATTGACTAGGCTGGATAGGTACTTTTGGATTCGCTGTGGGTAAACTTCCATAGGCAGTCGAGATCTCGCAAATGGCCATATATTTACTTTCAACGTGGGGGGGGGGTTTTTTGCTTCGTAGACGCACTGGCTTCTTTCCCATAGGATTCTGTCCATGTACACAATACGCCCAAAAAAAAGTGCAGATATTTTCCTGACGGGGAGGGGGCGAGAGGCTAAGGGAAACATTTATTAGTTATCGACAGTCACCATGGAGAGAAAGCAAAGAAGCTGGCGCTACAAGCACACTGCAAATTGTTCTCATTCAAACTGATAGCCACCTCTTCCATATCATAATATGATATATGCACCCGGCTGTATGACAGTCCCGCATCGCATCACTTGCTCAAGTAGCTATATCTCCGACTGCGCATGGTGCCATGCAGAAAATGTATGCCCTGGCCCCTGAATCGCGCCGTTGTCAGAACGGCAGCTTCTTGCTTGCAAGTCGCCGCGTCCTTCTTGCTCCCTTTGAACAGCGTCTTGACCCGGTCTCGCAGGCTGCGGCTAGTTTTCTTTTTCGGCGTAGCCGGACATGCACAGGATTGATAGCTTGGGGGTGCTGGGCTGCTTGTGGGTTCTGCCATGGCTGCATGTACTGTCTCGTTTGGATGTAGTGGTTTTGGGTCTTTAAAGGGATTCGATAGTCGGCGTTGGGTTCGAAGCAGCGGGGAAGAAGGAATGGATGGGGATACGGTTGTTTCGGACCAGACGGCTGAGTCGTGGTGTCTGGCAGTATCGCCATTGGGCAGATGAAACGTATTTGCTGGGTTCGGTGCGGAAAGCGAATGTGTTGGAGGTTGAGGGCGAGTCCCGGTGTCCGGAGCTTCTCTGTTATTCAGAGCGTCTGTGGTGGCAGAGTCGTCGAAAGGATTGGCATGTTCCACATTGGAGTGAGCGGCGCCATGTACATGCATTCGCAACTTGCACTTTGTGCACGGCATCAGTGCGGTACTGCGCTAGTCAATCGAGAGCTAAAATCTGTTGCCCAGGAGCTTACATGAATTGATAGGGTACGTGATGTGGATGATTGAATGAAATGGTGCAGTAATTGCCAATTGCTGTACTGTGCGAAAGAAAGCTATCTGGTTGGTTTTGAATGGTGTCTTCAACAGTAAATCCGAAGGAAGCTTCAACCACTTGACTACAGCAAATCATGAACCGGTTCCTCACCTCCCTCGTCCTCGCCACTCCAGTCCAATTTCATCAACAGACGATCGATTCCGCCTACCCTCAGCGGCTCATAAGCACCTTCTTCCCGTGTGGCGGAACTTGCGGTGCCAGGTGCGGAAGCACCGATCCTTTCGCTATCTATCTCTCGCAATCGGTCTACCAGTGCCTTCAAATCGCTGTCCAGCCTTCTTCTTGCGCGATCCATTTCCACACTGACCTCTCGCTCTTCCTTTTGGTAGTTTTGCGCGTAGTCCTCCACGCCCTCATCTTCTTCAAGGTCCAAGTTCTGTTGAATCTTGGTCAGACGCGTGATGAATGCCACCAGTTCGTCTACATGAGTGCACATTGTACGGAGTGCCTTGGTAAAGGTCTGGTCGGTCAGGAGGAGCGAGTAAGCGACCGAGGAGAGGAATCGGCGATGTGCCGAGGCCAGCGCTTCTGGGTCGTGCTGCTTCTGGGAGTCACCGTCCGTCATGGACCTGCGAAACCTCGATGAAGAAGGGCGGCTTGATGGTGCGGTAGGTGGCTGGGACGAGGGGTTCTGCGCCCCGGTGACCCAGGTGATGAAATGACGGAAAGATTGCTGTACAACGGTGCCATGAAAATACGCCTCGCTTTCTGCCAGGAAGAAGATTGCAGCTGCACATGTAGCCCATATCCTGCGCATTTCTTGCGATCTCTTAGTGGCACGCTGGCGGCGTCTTTTGAGAATTGCCCTTCCATGCGCAGAATTGCTGTATTGATAGCCAGGGGGACATGGGTAGTCTCTCCGTATTGAGCTGTACCGCCACAATTCAGCCAAGTGAAGATGGGCCCGTCGGACTGCGAGTAAGCAAGAGTTGATAGATGAGTAGACATCCAGGTCCGATTTGGTTAAAAAGAGATCGAGCGGCGAACGGATATCCATTGTGAGGGACGTTGGCACAGATAACAGTAACTCGTCAAAGGAGAGATTGGCGAGCTGTGGGAGCATAGAGTCTGCGTCCTTGGCCCGTCCCGGTGTTCCGGGGCGATGGGTCGAGGAACTATTCACACTGAGGTGTAGCAGTTGCGTCGCGACATCCAAAATATCATCCGTGTGCTCATCCTCGCTGGACAATGTCGAAAGAATAGAGAATGAGCGGGCAAGAATGTGATTAATCTCCGCCTCTTTGAGCAACACACCCCTCACTGACTCCCTAGCCTTGGCTGCTGACTGGCTGCGATGCCGCGATGACATTTTTTCGTCTGCTTCAGCAATCAGTGTCAAAGCGAACTCACCCCTGCCAATGAGGAAGAACTGATGCAGCACAGTCAGAGTCTCGACAATCTTCTCCCGCGGCAGCAAGTGCTGTAGAAGATTTCGCGATAATGACAAGCGAATATTTGCGATGGCTTCGGAAAGTTTTGCTACTGACACTGGCGCAGTCACTTCAGAGAGTTGGTGAACATGCTTGGGTAGCAGATCCAGCTCTGAAGACGAGTTCTTCGCATTCAACGCCTTTACAGCTGATGGCAGCGACCGGATCTGATTGAGCGACTTTCCAACAAACAGAATTGAAAGAGCCGTCTGTCTTGTTACAAACTTTGGGAGCAGATTGCTCTGCAGAATGAAGACTTGCTCCTCCGCATCTTCGTCATCTTGCTGAATAAAAAAGTCGATTCGGCAGGAAGGAAGGCGGCCGTACAATAGCCATGTCGATAGCTGCCGCAGCCATGATGTTTCGGCGACCTTGCTTAGACCATGCGCAGCCTCTTCGATGTCGGGAAATCCAGTTTGGGCCTCAGCCCGCAGTTTGTCAATGATCCCAGCTCCCGAGGCCGACTGGCTGATCATCCTCTCGATTTTGAATGCAGCTTCTGCAGGGATCATATGATTGGTAATGTCCCACAACCATTCCATGATCCTGACCCATTCGGAGAATTCGCTCACGATCCCAGCAAGCGGCACAATATTGTACGCACCGACAGTTGAGGCATCTTGCTTGAGGATGCGACTCTCTACGTCAAGTATCTTTTGTTGAAACTGCTCCAGGTGATGCGATGTGATTGAAGTGGCGACTGCTCGGCAGATGATTGAAGGGTGCGAAGCAGCAATCCTAGAAGTATGGTCGCGCAGCTTCCGATGCAGCTGTGAGAGATGGCCGATCGAAGACAATAATTGTTCTTCGGATGGAGAGAGCAGTCGACTGGCGGTCGAGGTCACGTGGCCGGGGGCATCGAATAGCGGGGACGGGTGTCCGGAGAGCGAGAGGAGCAGTTCGTGGAGCATGGTCGCGGCAAGCCACCTGTCTGCTTGCGGGATCGCGTCTTCCGTTTCGCAATGCGCTGGCAAAAGACTATGAGTAAACTTAAGAGCTCAAATCGACACATGAACGCGTCGCGCTGCGCGCAAGTCTCAATGTGGATGAATTGGGTATGGCGGAATGAACGTCAACAAATCCCGCGCTAGCGGCAGACGCTCAGGCACCGGTCCGCGAATGCCGTGCAAGGGCAATCTTTTGAAACCACAATGTGTCGGCAATGCAATGTACGAATCCATCACGCAACCGTCTAGCAATCGATATTTCTTGCGCAGTATCAGTCGTGGAACATCACCTGATCACCCCAGCTTCGTCACACTTCGGACTCGACAACCTCGGTGCGAAGGAAACCGTGCTACCTTTTCCACTCAACGAAAGTACATCGTACTGCACACCATTTCGCAGACTACGTAATCACTGTTGCTAGGATTGAGAGAACCTCATCTATTTTTCCTTTGCGTTTTAACAATAATCAAACAAATGTCCTTCCACTGCTGTTCACGCACACTAGGTTGTCAGACTAGCCGTTCATTCTTCCATTCATATATGCACTACCCATCGTGAATGCAAATGATAAACCCGGGTCAGAATGAACACAAACAACAGAAAAGGGAAGGTTCGGCATATTGAAAGACTATCTGTATCAAGACTGATATGGCCCATCACATTGCATGAACGATACGTGACACCCGTCTAGTACGAGTACGGTTCGTGCAACATTGCGACTTTTGTACATGGGTGAAGAAAGTATGAAAGCTTCAAATTCTGCTTTTCCTTGACATGAATTCAAGGGCAGCCTTCAACTTCAACCTCTGACAACATGAACGCACTGGATTTCCTAATTGACTTCGCCACACTCATCGGCACTTCAAGCCAATCGAAGACGCATCAAGATGAGAACACTAGCGTCTTGATTGATTCAGGGCGGTATCTAGAAGCAGAGTCAGTAGCTCAGATCCCTCACTCCGCTCTTGAGCAATACCATTTCATCGACAAAACACCAAGAGAAACTACAGACACATCACTTCCACAGCCATCGTTCCCTGCAAGCCATTGGCCTGATCAACATGCCTTTGAATACGAACTCGATGGAAGCCCGTCTTTTCCTGTTCAACACGACAATCACATCTGGCAGGATTTCAATCGACATGTACAGCAAGACTGCAGCTCTGGCCTCCCCTACGAACTTGTTCCTGTCACACAATATGGATGGAGCCAACAGACCGAAGACTTCCAACCATGGAGCATGTTCTATGACGATAGTTATACCCAAAGTCCCGCTCCAGATGTATGGTACTATCCCTGGACAGACCATTTCTTCCAGCCTACGCAGCACCCAGACACACGCTACGCACCTATTTCAGAGGAAAACCTATCCAGCCAGCTCCCATGTAACGAGAGCGTTTGCAGGTGCCAGCATCTGAATTCACAGAGCCACTACCAGACCGAGGACATGCAGCAATACTGGGATATTGCCGAAGCGCCGTTGGCCTCGGAAACAATGCACACATATAGCAATTGGGCACTACAACTACCAGAGCCACTACTTCCAACCCAGGATAGCAAGATACTCATGGAAAACTGACCACGTCCCAGGATACCTTGTACGTCGTCTCAACTACACATCAGCCACCTCATTCGACAACTTCTCACTTATCCTTCTGAACCGGAAACCCCACAGCCTCCAAATTCGTCTTTCCCACCTGTCTACCCTTGCCGCAGTAATCAGCCCGTCCAACCAATCCTGATGTCCAAGTAACATTGAATTCGGTGTCTGCGCCTCCAACTCCTTAAAAACGGCTCTAATCTGGCTTTCCCGGGTCAACACCCGGACGCGCTGGCTCTCGAGATCCTTGAAGAGCCACGCATGGTACACCTCGAGCCCATCGGGCGTCTTGGTGCACCAAGAGAGGCGGCCCGCGCGCCCATTGCTCTTTGGTGCCTCTGATTCTTGCGTCGTGCAAGCGAGAGGCCGGCAACCGAAGGTGGAGAATTTGGACACCTCGTCTTTGTGTAGAAACTGACTATTATTGCTACCATCATTGCTATTGTTATTCTTGTTTTTTGTTCTCAGGCGGAGTAATCCATGCACAGTTTTTATCATACGATTCCCACGTTGATATGTTGGCAAGGAGACTCCAGATCTGGGTACAAGTAATATATTTTGCTATGCGCTCGTTGGAAAGAAAGTTGTTGGTTATTCTGGGTAGGAATGGTGGGGGCCAGATGACGGAGGATTGAAAGTTCATTTCCACCTCCTTCATTTTCTTTTTTCTTCTTCTTCTTCTTCTTCTTCTTCTTCTTCTTCTTCTTCTTCTTCTTCTTCTTCTTCTTCTTCTCTTAGATCAAGCTTTCCTTTGATCAATGTCTATCTGATTGAAATCCGGTTTGGCGGGGTAGATGCAAGGAAACAATGGTGTTTTATCATCTCGGCAAGGTGACTATCGACGCATCATCAATAAGACTTCATTGACGTTGGTACACGCTGCTTACAAACCATTGAATACGCAAGACAGCAAGCTTCTTGCGCACTACGTGCGAAATCTCATCAGTTCGCTTCAACGGTACTCTAGCACATGGCGTTTTGAGTCCAGTTCCATGGATATATCTGTATTGGTACTGGTAGTAAAGATACGCAGGGACTAGTATCTAAACGTCATCTTGAGCGATGGGATCTCAACAAAAACGAAGCGCGAAATCTAGAGTGTGTCATTCCCAGATATTGAGCAAAGCCTTATGCTCTATTATTTATCAAAACTTCGTGGTCAAAGGAGATCTCCGTTTCGATCGTTACCAACCTGTCTGGAGCTTGTATCTGTGTTGATCCATGACCCCCGATAGCTCCTTTGAGGATAAAGTGTTGAAGATATGAAGTTCCACTACAATGTTCCCATGCCTCTTTATTTTCATGAATGACTTGACGCATTTCAACAACTTCCAAATACTTCTTCTCTTGAATCCAGTCCCTCAGATCCTCTAGCATAAAGTAGTCAGCCTCAGCCTCCAACTTGCTGTACAATAAGTAATCGAATCCCTCTTCTCTGTTCCAGTATAAAGGAAACCTCGCAGGCCGGCGCATGAAGTCCAGTAGGTGCTTGAAAACATCTGGATCCGCGTCGATAAGATACGACCCATCGACTTGACGGTCTGCACTGTCCTCCCATCGAGCAAAGAGATTCTCAAAGTAAGGTGATGTCGAGAGCACAGCTTTGCTACAGCGGAACTTGCGGCCTGAAACATCAAGTGTGAGAAAGTTGGATGCCATGCTCAAAGGTTGGGTGTTGAGCTTGCAGGGCGGCGGGGTAGCACAACCGCAGTGCCGTTGTAAAATAGGAGGTGTAAGGATAACTCAAACCTCATCGTGATGTCATGATTCAGCATCCAATCATATCACATTGTCAGCATGTCTGGAGCCACCATGAAGTTTTCAAAGTATTATTAACAGTACATGAATGCTCTAATTCGTCCCACTACCGCATTCACGAGGTCATGTCCCGTCGTACCGATCAATACCCATACTCGCGTCCAGACGCCCGTTATGGCAAAAGGAGATGAACGAAGGTCCAAGAAAACCCCGTCAGGTCCGAGAATAAGTTTTCATGTAAAACAAGAGTGAATGTTGAACAACCAAAAGAGATGAGAAATTCGGGAGTACACTGCCTCCCGGAAAAAGCGACCTTGTGCTCCACTCGAAGCGTTGTGGTACAAGATGCCGCAAGTTCTACTGTTAATGAAGAAAAAGGGCGGGATGATGTACTAGCCACAGAAGCAGCGTCAAACCAGTACAACAAGCCGATGAATTTATCAGAACAGTCGTATGTGCGCATGAGCGCTCTAGTGTTGATCCCGTTGAGTGAGCGTGGCAACACATGCCGATTTCTGGACATAGATTTGGAGGCAAAGATTTGCTGCACAACGAAGTGACGATGCCAAAATCATAAAAGAGCACTTTTAGGCGGCCGCGAGTTTCGCCCACGTCGTAGGCTGGTGGGCTGCCGGTGCGCGCGCGTTGCTGTTGCTGGTCCACGATTTTGCGCCGGATGGATGAGTAGTGCTGTTGCTGTTGCTGCTGTACGAGCGATCAGCCTGACCTTGTTGAGAGGGCTTGCGTGGCCGGTCTTTTGCTCCGTTGGGGAAAGCTGCGCTTGGGCTACCTGCCGCCTTGGGCTTGACCTGTCGATTGAGCTTGGAACCGTAGTGCTTCCTCTGAACCGACTTGGTCACAGGCTCACGCATGTTCGCAATGCGTATAACCACGTCGAACTTGCCCTTGTTCTGCGCCGTCTTTTCAATGTCAAACGCCTCCAGTCGGCGAATCGTGAATGGATTCTCAAACTTTTTGTACTTGGGATACTGATCCTCCTTGGGCGCGGCCTTGACGGGCTGATTTGCTGCAAGATGAGGGACCTTGGAAAGCTTGACAGTGGGAAGAGAACCAAACTCCCGATCTTCAAAGAGGGCCTCGGCGCCCTTGCGGGTAATCACTTCCTTACCACGGTCGTTCGCGAAGAACTTGGTTGGTGGTGCGGTAGGGAGCGACACGGTAGCCGGGCCGGTGTTTCCACGAACGTCAAGAGCAGCCTTTGACAGGGCTGCGGGAGCAACAGCGCCTTGCTGCGGAGAGACGACCGGGACAGCAGGGGTAGCAACATGCGGCGATGCGCGAGTAGATCCGGGTTTGTCGAGGAGCTTGTTAAACCGAGCCTGCCATTCCGGGTTCATGGCCAGGGGCCTGGCTCCCAGGGACTGTCCACGCGATGGCATGTTCACATGAGCAGGAGCAGGCTGGCCGCTACCTGCTGCCGAAGGAGGCAGTCGTACAACAGGTGAGGGTTTCGGCAATCTAACCTGTGGGTGTCCCGTCTCGCTAGTGAAGGCAGGGTGCGTCTCCGTCTCCGGGGGAGGAGGGGGCGAGTCGGCCTTGCTTGACGCAAACGTTGTTGAAGATGGCATTAGCTCCGTCGAAGGCTCAGCCGGGCGAGGGAAGAAGCGGGATGCACGGGAACCAGTAGCTTGTTGAAGGGTGCCTTGACCGAGGCCTTGTTGTGGCGATGAAACTTCAATTACAGACTTTGAAATGTCGTCCTTCTTCAGGCCTTCGGCGAGGGCCATGTCGGCAGCTATCTTGTCATGCAGCGTGACCTGCGCTTGGCCTCTCTGGTCCTTGTAGGTTTCTCGAAGCTCGGGGCGGAAAGCCTCGCCCTGACGTTCTCGTTCCTGCCTGTTTCTCGCCTTGGCTTCGTCATCGTCCTTTGAGATGAGCTCCCCAAAGGTGTCCCAGCCGCCGCCAGTGATGGCGGTGACAGGTCGACTCGACATTGAGGCCGCGGGTGGCTGCCCATGCGAAGATCGCGGCTGGAAAATTTGCTGTGACGGAGGCATCTGCCTAGCTGTCTGTGACGCAAGACCCGGTGCAGCGATGGTGGTGCCGATAGGAGCTGTCGCAGGTGCTTGGACCGGAAGTGGCTGCTGAGCTCCGGGGCGGGACTGGCCTCGATAGCCCGAATCAAAGGTACCGTTCCCGAGAGCGCGATCTTTTGCTTGTGGCGGTCCCCAAACTTGCGAGGTCCAGGGTCGGGGTTGGGGCGCTGTTGCAGACGACCAAGCGACTGGAGGACCCTGCGGTCTGGGCCCGGGAGGAGCAGTGCCATCTGATTGGTGAACGGTGACCTCTGGCTGTGAAGACAGCTTTGATTTGTCGCTGTCACGAGCAAAGGTGTCAAACGGCTGCGCGGGTTGCTGTTCCAGTGAAGGCGGGGCGTTTGCCGGTGCTGGGCCCTGCTGTCCCGGTCGAGAGACGTGGGCGTGCTCAGTCTGAGGCGATTTCCTGACCGGGTGAGGCTGGTGCACCTTCATCATGCCATACTGGGTAACCTCCCCGTCTGCAGTCGGGACAGGCGGTTTCGGCGGCGACTGCACCGAAGCAGGAGTGGCCTTTTCCTTCTGTGGGGACTTTTCAGGCCGCGAGGGGGATGGGTCCTTGGTCTTTGACTTTGTTTCAGGCGGGCCCATGGCAGCAAGCTTCTTGGCGATACGCTCTTTCCTCTCTGCTTCTGCACGCCTCTCTGCCTCCTGGTCTTGTTGCTTCTTGAGACGAGCGCGCTCAATCTTCTCAGCCATGAGGCGCTTCTGTACTTCAACAGGATCCTCGACAGGGGGTGCTGGTGCGGATGGCTGTGCATCCTGGACGGCGGGCGCAGCGGCGGAACCGTAGGGCGAGGCCGGGTGTGCGTGAGCGATGTTGGGGGACCTCATCTGCTGGAAAGGCGAGTTTCGAGAAGCCACAGACTCGGCATGGTCGAAACCATTGACGGAATGGGATTCACGGCGCTCCATGTGCATAGGACCGGTGGGCATGTCGGGTGCTCGGGGATCTATCGACATGCGTCTAGGCATACCGCCACTGACGTTTGACGAGTTCCTCCGCCTGCCCCATGTCGGCCCGTCCGCACTTGCTCTCGAGGTCTGGAACGCAGCTGACGGTTCTGCTGGGCCGTCTTGAGAGGGCCTCTGCAACAAAGATGGCTGCTGTCGGAAGCCACTATCGCGCGGGGCACCTCTCCGCGCATCGTTGTGTACGGGCTCATAGCGGCCGCTCTGCGAGTTGAAAAGCTCTCTGCCATCTCGGTTGTCTCGGCCACCGCTATCATTACGCCACGATCGGTTGAAGTCGTCCGGGGCAATCTCCTTGGCGGGTAGCGGGGGCATGCTATCGTAGGGATGAGAATCTCGCTGTGAATACCGTTGAGGAGGTGGCTGGTGAGCTGGAGGATTGATTTGCACGGGTGACACCTTCTCAATGGGAGGTAGCGGGGCCCATGGCGACTTCTTCTCGGTCGCAGATGGCTTGGCCACAAGTGTTGGCTTCTCTGGCTGGCCCTTGAGAACTAGGCTTGATTTTCCAGTAGTTGGCTGTGCATGTGCTCCTGGCTTTAGAATGGTCTTGTTGCCCCCGGTGACGCTCGGTTTGGGCGCACTCGCAGTCGGAGACGGGGACGTTGAAGGCTTGGGCGTCTCGACAGGCGCTTCCGGCTTGAGTATCGTCTTTGGCTCTTCTGCGGGGGGCGGGGGTGTTTCTTGCTGCGTTGTGACCGAAGACTTTGTTCCATCCATCCACTGCACAGTTTCTGGGGCCCAGTCGTCCTCATCATCGTCAATGTCTGCCCACTTGGCTTCTTTTCCAGCTTCATCTGCCTGTAAACGCGTCGCCAGGTGAATTCCGTACTGCTGCTTCAATTCCTCATCGGTAAACTGCTTGGGCGGGGGTGGAGGTACTGGCTGGTTCTTATTCCAGACTTTGCTCGCATCTGGGCCCGCGCCCGCGCCATTGGCCTGTCCGAGCGTACGTGGGGTATTGCTTGTACCTGATTTCGCTACGAGTCGAGGCTTTGCCGAAAGCACGCTTGAAGCCTTGAGGGGTGCAGCGGGGGTTGCTTTATCGCCAGGTCGCGCAGCAGAGGCCGAGGGAACCGTTTTCGCCAGAAAGCTCTTCGTGACCGATACCGATTTGAACGGCTGTTTCTTCGCTGCCGAGCTGGTGCGCACGTGAGTTCCGTCGCGCTTCGACTGGTCAACGCTGCCGGGACGGCTGATATCTGTGTCGGAACCGCCACTCGCGTCAGCCACAGCCTGCGAATCGGCCATCAAAAGTTCGCTGGATGCCCCCGTAAGGTGGGGCTGCTTATTCTCATGCTGCGATGCGCCTGACTGCTTGTTGTCCGTCTGACGCTGTCAATGCCACCTCTGTATCCCAGATCGTCTCTACTTACAGCTGCCGCGGGTCCTTGGGCCTTGTCCAACACGTGTGCACCACCAGTCGAGGCTGAATCTGTGCCGTTCATGGTGGGTTTGGTAGAGGGCGCTTCGGGAGGAGTCGGTTTCGTGGTCGCTGTGCCCGAGGGCGGGTCGCCGTTCACGGCGGGGTCGTTGGTAGTTGACGCAGAGTCGTCGATGGGCGCAGGACGTCCCACCGACTGTGCTTCCTTTACCACATCTTTGGCAACCTGCTCTGCCATAACAGTTTCCGGAACTGCGGTGGCGCAAGGACCAAAGTCAGAATCGTGCTTGTGCTCAGACTTGAAGGAAGACGTCGGCGTGCGTGGCGTGGACTGCTGTGAGTCGAATCTAGCCGGATGCCCGCGATCGTCCTCATGCGACATCCGAGCTAAGAAAAGTTGGAAGTAATCACCTAGTGTCAGATGCTAAGAGTCGCCACGGAGGGAGAGTGGGCGCTTCCGCAGAGGTGCTATCTGCAAGTTCCTGGCTTTACGCGGTCGGGTGACACCGTGTTTCGAGTGTTTCGAGTTGAGGCGGGCTGAGCGGGCTGGCGAGGGCAGTCGCGAACACGGGCAAAGTCGCGCTGGGGGACCGGACGGCGTCGAGTCGTGGCCAGGTGGGAGGGAATGGGTAGAGGGGGCCCTTTGGTGGTGGGGCAATTTGCGGGTGTGGATCGGTGGTGTATAGGAGGTTGAGGCGGGCAGTAGCCACGATGGTGAGAGGCGCAGGTCTTGGCACGGGCTGAGGCCTTGGTCGTATGGGAGTCCCAGTATGACGAAAGTTGGCACACGTCACGCAGCTAGTGCAGCGTGAATGATACACGCTTGTTATACGGCGATGGGAGTCAGGCGAGGCATGGCAAAGTCATAGGTGGCGGCATCGGGCAGGGCGAGAGACACATGCCGCACCCGCCACGTGCGAAGCTTTCACCACTCCCAAAAGCAATCACTGTGCAATGAGACATGTCGCGCATTTCAGGTACCAGGCGCTCTCGGTCGCCACACTGGCGCACAACGTTCGGATGCCCTGTCCAGAGGAGTGTCCGGGGCTGCGCAGGTCCTTGTGCGAACTCAAACGGAAAACATGGAAAATGCAATAATCAGACAAGGTGTCTTGGTAGAGTGCTTGATTCCATCTACACTTTACATATACACGTGCTGCCTATCCACTCGTGATCATACAGCGCATTCAAACGAGCGTCTAGTGCTCGTTGTTCTTGTGGTGGCCTGCGAGTGGTGAGTCACAGCGCCTCAGCGACAACCGCTAATCAAACTTACGGAGATGGAAGTAGTAGTTCTGGGCGTAGCCAAGCGCAATCAGGAAGCCAATAACGTGCACGAGCGCTGTGCGTGGTCAGTCGCATGTTCCATGTGCCATATTTTGTCTGCCTATCCGCAGCTGTCCTCTTTCACAATATCGCCGGGGATACTCACGCCTTCCTGATGGGTTCTTGCCCATGTACTTCTTCTGGTAGCGTCCAAGGAGGCCCTTGGCCTCGGGCTCGGGAGCTGGGCCACGGGGAAGCTTCTCGTAGAAGTTGACCACCTTTTGCATGCGGACGGCATTGGGGGAAGAACCGATAGCCTGGTGGATACATCAGCTCTGCTCCTGGTTACGACATGTCGGGCTTCGGGCGTGCGATGCAGTGTGTTCGGGGAATCGTAGGTGTGGGTGCATTTCGTCGTGCTCGGAAAAGTGGGTCATGACGGTCGCGGGTGCTCGGAATATCCTGGCGATTCTTGGGGAGGGGGCTCTTACACTGGGCGAGGCAATCTGCAGAGCATTGTCAGCGCGCTGCGCAACAGGAGGGGCGGGCAGAAAGCGGTACCTTGGGGGGGATGAGGGTCGAGAGACCGCGCTTGGTAATGAAGCTCATCTTGGCGTCTGGCACTCAATTAGCTTCAATTGCCCTCTTGCTGCGTAGTCGTCGGGATCGGGAGGCGTACCAGGGCGGGCAAGACGATGGAGTGGAGATGGAGGTCGTGCGGTCGGTGGTGAGGTTCGAGAAGAAAGCTGCAAGACGGATTATGCCGGGGCGCTTTTCGCCAAGGAGCCGCCCCAGCTTCACCTCGTCGACATCACCACCAAGTCCTGCCCGCCACACCGACACTGCCGCCAACATGTCCGCCCTCCCCAGGTCAATTGGATCGCGGCTCCTTGCGCCTGCGCTGCGGCCCGCCGCCGCGAGGGCCGTTGCCCCTTCATTCCGCGCCTACTCGACCAACGAGCCGACACCGCACGCACACAAGACGAGCCCCGAGGATGCGCCCGCCGTCAGGCTCACGAGCTCTTCGACGCAGATCCGCCAGGAGAGCGCTGCCGAGGGAATGAGGCACCAGCCCGACTACAACGTCGCCACCGACTACCGTGTCTCGTGCGTCATCTGGAGCCCGTAGCAGCATGCATACGGCTGACCTGTTGCTAGCAACTTCTCCCCCATCCCGAAGCGTGTCATGGACGGAAGCGAGCCTGGCGAGGTTGTGCCGGCCGCGGTTCTTTCGGGCGCCCCAACCGATCTCCAGGCGCGTACTGTCCGGTACGCCAGCCCCGCTCGTCTGATATCAAGGCGCCATGCTGATGACCCGTAGCATCTACAAGCCCACCAAGACAGCCACACAGTCTGGAAACTGGAACTCATCGCACTGGCTGATGGACTGGGACGTCCTCCCCAAGGGTCACCGATGGGAGAACCCCCTCATGGGCTGGCAGTCGTCCGCCGACTACATGAACGGCATGCGGCTACCGTTCAAGAGCAAGGAGGACGCCATCAACTTTGCTAACAAGCAGGGCTACGAGTACTTTGTCCAGGAGCCCAACAAGCGAAAGGTTGCTCCCAAGGCCTACGCCAACCTCTTCACTCACAGCCCCAAGAAGCTCAAGGTCATATTGACCAAGTAAGAGGTGGATTCGGCATGCGAGAGACGGCACATGTCTATACTGCATTGAGTTATATTTCCAATATCTTTCATGCCGATTCCCAGCTGTGATGCAACACTCCTTTTATCGTCTAAAATGGTCTATCACTATTTGCACGGAACAGCATGTCTCTATTGTACTCACATTTGCATGTCCCCCTTTCCATTGTTCATGTGTCTTTCTGCTAAACTTTTCTCTTCACTCTTAGCAGCCTCGATTGGGCATACTCGGATCTTGGCGCCTTCAAGTATGCTTTCACCGTCGGATGACGCGCTGCAGACGCACTGCAGTCGCACTTTGCTCAAAAAATCCGACTATAGGATTTGTGAAATTGTCTCGAGGCTCACTAACCTTTTTCTACAATACTAGCTACTCTAATCTCTACCCTGGCTCTACATTGCCTCAAAACTACTAGCACTGGATCTATCCCACCGAGCAGCCAACGTAATAATCGCGCAAAGATATCGAAATCCCCAAGGCGGCCAAGTGTACACGACCAACCACCTAAAGAATGGGGCATGCGGGCTACGACACCACCTTTGTCTGTGACGACGAGGACAACAACAACAAAAACAACAACTTCGCAGCCGCTCTAGCCGTGGCCATGGCCGACGAGAAGCGCACGGAAGAAGCCGTAGGGAGATCCGGAGTTTTACAACGAGGAAACAGACCATGCAAGCAAATGACACTGACACGCCCGTTACAGAAAACAGCCGCCAAGAAAGCAGCCGCGGCGGCCGAAGCTAAGCTGATTGAGAGCAAGAAGTCGCGAGGGATCATGGTACGTTGGGGGAAACCAGCTAGCATCTCCTTTTCCGTGTTACATCGTATTGGGGTCTCATTGGGGACGGGGGGGTGTGAGCTAACTGGCTTTTGATACTGGCCGCGCGACGGGCCGCTAAAGACGACAAAACCGCCGATGCTGCAGCTCCACGCCCGGACCAGTTCATGCGCTTGTGAAAGAGAAGGAAAAAATGGGCCAGGCAAAATGCGACGGCAACGACGACTGACGACTCGCCATCACGGCTTGGATTTCTATACATGCACTCGCAGTAACGGTCTAGCCATCCAACCAACCAACCAACCACAAAAAAGAGAGATCAATACCCATGCCAACATACCCACAAAAGAAGAAAGCACGTGTTTTAGAGAGATCGGCAGTGGCATGGGAAGACGCCCGGACGGACTGCCGGCCATTTTCTTTTATTTTCCTTTTTTGGGTTCTTTTACGGCTATGACGGCTGGCATGGCATGGTCTGGTCTGGTCTGGTCTGGCATGGCATTTCCTCGGGACTCGGGGGATCACGCCGCGACATACATGTGTACATACATATGTCAGGCACAAAAAAACCCCCACAAGTCAGGTGCGGGTTTTTTTTAATGCATGAGAGGGCCGGAAGAATGAGGGGGGCAAAAAGGAAAAATGCAGAGCAAAAAGGCACATGGGTGGAATAATGGCACGAGTGGGATGTTGAAGAGGAAGAGGAAGAGGAAGATATTGATGATGATGATGAAGAAGGAGAAAAAAGTCATGAATTCGTTATTTCGTACATGTGCTCCCCCTCACATTAGTGTTTCTAACTACTAGCACCACAGCACTGCTACTACTCTCACTCGCTCTACTGCTGTTGTTGTTGTTGTTGTTGCAGCTGTAGCAACCTCCTCTTGTGGAATCCGCGTCCCAGAATATCACCGACAACCGAAGCTTCGGAAGCCGTACTCGCCGCCACGATAGCATCGGAAGTAGGATCCAGGAACCTCGAGGCCATTTTCTGGATGCCAGTGACGGTATTGGGGTGCTCGCCGTCATCTGTGTCCTTGACGGCGTCGAAGCCGGCAAAGTTGTCGACGAGGACAACGGGGCTCTCGAGGTTGCTTTTGCCGGGGACATAGGTCTTCAGTGCGTTGTTGAGGTCGACTATGCCCTGGACGGCGGCGGCGGGGAAGCGCGCGGGATCCAGGGGCAGCAGGTTGGAGAAGACGATTTGCATTTTTGCGTTTTTGGCGCGCATCTGCGCAATGAGTGTGTCGTAGGCGGCGAGGATGTCGCTGACGGGCTTCTTGCCGATGAGCACGTCGTTTGTGCCGACGAGCATGAGGACTACGTCTGGCGTGTTCTTGTCCAGCCATACGGTGAGGTTGCCGTTCTTTGCGTAGTCGGTGGCCAGCGAGCCAGGGTGGCCCTCGTGGTCTTGGTCGATGTTGGTGCCAGCACACTTGCCAGTTTGGCTGCCGACGAAATCGAAGTTGGTGACACCAGCAGCCCGCAGCTGGGTTTGGAGATCGGCGCGCCAGCATCGCTGTGGATATGGTTAGTATCAAAAAAAAAGTGGAATTTTCGAGGGGACAAAGTCGAGCGCGGGTGTGACTTTGAGAGATGGGAGGCTTACTGAGACAATGGAGGCGCCAAAGGGCATGACCTTGACTGTGTTTTGCGCGCAGACTTGAGTGGCAATGCTGAGAAGCCCAAGGGCTAGAGCAGCGAACTTGACCATGGTGAAAGACGGGTGGAAGCCGGGTAGAGTGTGTGTGTGTGGGGAGGCTACGAGGCTATTGTTGAAGGGACTTTTGAAAGCAGTTGCTTTTGGAGTTTTGGGAGTCCGGGCCCTTGTATATAGGAGTTGGAAGAAGCACACACTCGAATTCCAAAAGCCGATGGTGATCAATGGGCCAGATCTCTTTTTATTTTTTAAACGACGCCCGGTCTTTTGCTGGGTGATTAGGGATTTTGCGGCGACGGGGGGGGGGGGGGGGGGGCGCTCGGTTGACAAATTACCGCGACGCGGGAGGTGGTGGTCGATGCGGCGGATAATTTGATTGAGTATGTATATATATATACGATTCACAGGGTCTAGTGGACTAGTCCCTGCTGCCGATCCGGTAGTGAAGGCGACAAAGATAGACGGATAGATGAATTGATGATAGGGTATCTCAAAGCGGACTAGAGCGGTGATGGTACAGTGGATAATTATGTACAAACGGGGTTGAGGAGTGTCGGACTGGCGGCTGGAGGTGAGTGGGCCTGAGCGAGAGCAGCCAAAGGGCCTTCTTATATTTGCAGGCGGGCAGGATGGCGATGTGGTCGAGGGCGCCCGATGTTTGTGCTTCGACACAGGGCGGAGGGTGCGGGCGGAAACCTGTTTCCAGGGCCGGCGCCCCAAGGACAGCGTCGCCTCCATGGCAGGTTGGGTCAAGAAACAGTGACGGCGTATAGTGTGAGGGTGAAGGGGTGTGGTGAGCCGGGGGCGCGCTGAGTGGGGCGCAAGAATAGGCGGCGGTTCCTGGGCGTGCTGCATGCAGGGCCGAGTGAGAGAACGCCAACCGCCAACCGCTAACCCTGCCCTCGACCGCATCCTCGCCCGCATCCTCGCCCTCGTAAGACTCCAGCAAGGCTGCCGCCCGCGAACAGCTGTGAGACCCGGCAGCCATCGTCTGACGTTGCTGAACCGCATACGGAGTTGCTGACAAGGGCGGTGCAAGCGGAGCCCACAGCTTGACAGGCCCACACGCCCTCGACTCGCCGTCCGACACTGTAGGTCTCAGTGTGAGATATCTGACAGAAAAGCAGCCCACCGACAACGGAGCCCGTCCGCTATGCACACCCACACGCATACCGCTAGCAGTGAGTGTGTGTCGCCAGGTCGACCGAGAACTGACAGCGTACAGGGTCGGCCCACGTCTGGGCCGCCGGCGTGCATTGAGCAGGCCAGCGAGCCTCGTATCTCGCTGCTCTGCCCTCTGTCGCTGCACGCGTGCAAAAGCTTGGCCGTGTTGGCAGATGAGCTTATGCCTTGTGCGTATATGCAGGGCGCCTCTCTGGCAACGCAATCGACTTGGCGCCTGCGTGGCCCTATGGTATGGGCGTATGGGCGTACGGCGGGACATGGCGTATGGGCGTCCGTGGCACGCGGACGCCAGGGCGGGAGAGCACCAGAAAGAGATGGGAGAGTGCAGTACGCGCAGAGTGGTGGCCGCTACGACTTTCCACACGACGCCCTACCAAGGCCGCCATTGGAAACACGGCTGCGGGCGAGGGGAAACGTCCATGACACTCTGCTTGATGGAACGCCCGCTCCGGCATGCGCACGCCAATGCTAGTTGAAACTTTGCGCCGTGTGCCTAAGGCCGTGGCCTTGGTGCTGCTTCTTTGCCCGACCCGGCCCTCGATCCCAACCACTGTCCATCCCCGCGCTATTCCCGCCCATTGCAAACTACTACTGTCGCAGGCACCGTCGCTCTCCTTTGCCGTTTAGCCGTTGCCGCCAACACTCGCCTTGCCCACATGGCCGCCGCTGATGCGCGACAGGGGCGTCGAGATGCGCAATGGCGAGAGAGACGATCAGCCGCAAGGTCGAGAGACGACCATGATGTTGAGGCTATTGACCGGCGTGCGGTTAAACTTGCTCGCTTATCCAGTCCCAATACGTCCAGCCCTGGCCCGAACAGGAAGCAGATCCCCTCTGGCCACAAGCCACAAAAGAAACCTTTACCCTTTTGCTCGGGAGCCTGCAAATATTTGCCCTACCCTGTCCGCTGCATGCACAGAGCCCTCTCAGCAATTGGCTGCCCGCCTTACAACCTCCAGCCTACGCCCACTTCGTATCCGGAGCACAAGGCCTACAACACTCTAGAACGTGCATGCTTCAGCCAGCCAGCCGGTCAGCCTTGCCTCGCCTCACCGCTGTACATGTCTCTCTCTGGCCTCCTCTCGCCACTGCAAAATATCACGCTGGCACTCCACATGCAGAGGTGCAGAGTCAGGGAAAAGTGGAGTGAGACTATTGGCACACTGCCATGTCGCTTCCATCATCTTGTGATCAGATGCTTGAGGATCCGTCTCTGCCGCTGCTCTAGCATCCACGCGATCCACAACGACCATCTCGACGCCTATCTTCAGGTACAAGTCGCACGTACCGTCTTCCATGTACGGAACACAATATCGAACATCAACTTGCTTTTCCGCATTCCCAGAGTCTGATACATCGTACCGGCAATGACAGACTTGGCAGGTACTCCCATTTACCATTTCTAGCCCTGACGACTAGAGGCGAAGTGGTAAGCGGCATCTGTGTGAGACATGCCGCCGCTAAAAAGTGACTTCCGGTACCCCAAAGCTAATTCTCTAGTCTACCATTGACTCAGACTATCTATGATTTCTGATCTGCAGTGCCGATAACTTTACTGCTACACCAACAAGTGGTTGACTTGTTGTTTTCTTCCCTTGGGCACCTCGACTCATTGAACTAGCACCTTGGGAGAGCCACCGTCCATATGCCACGACACAAGGACAAACCCAATCGCTCCTGCAGCGGCATTTTCACAGCAGCAATGTGAGTCGTGCAAAAGAGCAAGCGACGATAGACGGTGCAACTCGCCCCGCACGCATGGGTTCTGCGTTTCCACGCGATGTAACAGTTTCGCGCATGTGGCGTACAGTAAGCCTTTGGCCTGACACAAGGACACACAAGAGAAAAGGAAACAACACGCACGAGGTCAACATTGACAGACGTTGAACAAAGGTTTTGCTTAATCGCAATTAAGCATTGCATCCTGTGCCGTGTGATCCGATAGACGGACGAGGCCATGCACGGATGCTACACACAATGCTCGAGCCGTTATCATAGCAACCGCAAAAAGCAGGGCACCATCGATGCCCTGTGCGGCGGGGGAGAGGGGCTCACGCGCATCATCTTCCCCAGTGTGCGTGTCTTGCATGCGCCATGTCAGCACGTCATTGCCGCATTTCTCTTCTTACATGCATGCTTACTTGCAATATTGGTCTTCCCACCACCAACAAGGAAAATGGGAAGATGTCGGAGAAAAGAAAAAGAAACATGGCAGCCTAAAAGCTTGATTCTCGTCTGGTCTCGGGAGAGAAGAAATATCAGAGAAAAGGAAGTGCATTTTGATGTTGTTTTTCCAGGGGGGCTGCATAGACATCCTTTGTGCCCAACTCCATTTACCCGCAAACCACAGGTAACCATGTCCATAGAAAACCGACACGTCCCCACGCAGTCAGTCCATCACCCCATTTCCCTATTCCGTTGCATACATACAGAAACACCACAGCCTAGTACAGCACAGCACAGCCCCATCAAACACAGCTACTACTAAAAAAAAGCCGTTGAAAAATTCAGGCGCGAAACACAAGCACCGAAGAATACGCCGAGCACGCTGAACGCCTAAGCTTACTGAGATACCTACAAGCATTCGTCTACTCTAAGCCACACACATACACACGTACTCGGAATAATCCTAGTACTTCTCACACCATATTGAAGGAATGTGTATCAAGCCACGTACATGCCAGCGACACGCACACATGCATGTATGTATGTATGTCATGTACTTACAACAACGCCCCGTCAGCACCGCCAAAAACAATGTAAACCAATTTATCCGGGCCCTGTGTTAAACACAGCCTGTGAATTGCTTGTAGCTGTGTATGGGATATCTCATCACACCATTTCTTACATCACATCACATCACATCATGAGACGAGATGAGATGGAAGGGGAAAGGTTGCTACCTAACCTCCCTCGCTCCCCCCCCTACTACTGTACTAGGAATATGGTGATGACAAAGGAAGGTTAATCACAGACATGTACACGAACAGCCCGATCATGGCCACCAGCCCTGCATCACCCTCTCCATCTCCACCACAAACGGAAATCAACAAAAACAGCAACTTATCCGACGCCAAGACAACGTAACAAAATATCCCCACCGCGCTGCAGAAACGCGCGTTACAAATCTACGTATGAACAGGGTAATGATAAACGCGAATATGAACAAGGACAAAATACAAGTAACCAAGGTAAGTAAGCAAACAAGGGGTAAAAAAAGGGCGTTAGATCACGTAAGTACATAGTACATGTACATGCGGAACGTGAAGCACACTTTATCCCCCGTGTTTCATAGACCTGTGGGGAGGTATTTTTTTTCCCCTGGGAGAGTTGGGTGTAAGTGGGCCGGGGAGGCGAGGAGATGGTGAAAAGTCTAAAATGTCCATTGTGTCAAAGTGTGCAAGTCTAGCATGTGGAGCCTGGAATGTGTGCGAGTACCGTACACATGCACATATAGGTCATGTGGGTAACTAAGACGAAGACGAGAAATAAGCGGTAACTAGACACGAAACAATAGGCAAGAAAAACACCCAACCAAACCACCTTACTGTACTCTTTGAACTATCAAAATCCATAAAAACTATATGTACCATAAAAGCCACCAAAAGGAAAATAAAAAGTACAAGCCAACTACGTGTGTCTATATGCGAGTGGACATACCATGTAGGCAAACCCATGTCTGTAATACAATCCTATACGTATAGTATGCATGCATGTATGCATATATATATATGTGTTATACAAAGTCAGAAACACAACGACAATGACGAAGACGAAGACGATAATTGTTCAGCGCGTATCAGAGTTAGACTCGCGAATAAATAATAATAATAACAATAATCACTAGATGTAAATATGTGAATATATGATGATATATGTAAATATGATAATATATGTGATGATATGTGATACAGTAATATGTGAATGTGGATATAACACGCAAGGAGAAGAGAAGAGAGAAGAGGAGAGAAGAGAGAAGAGGAGAGAAGAGAGAAGAGGAGAGAAGAGAGAAGAGAGAAGAGGAGAGAAGAGAGAAGAGGAGAGAAGAGAGAAGAGGAGAGAAGAGAAGGAAGTAAAAAGCGGGGTAAGAAAATAGTTTCTGAGACAAAATAGCGTTTAGCATGGGTACTTACTTACTTACTTAAGTAGTGATAGTCGGGGTTTCGGTTTTGCACTTTCACAACTTCGCACTTTCGCACCAAGAGATGGGAAGTACTGGGCGGGGCGGGGCGGCTAAGTAAGGGGAACATGTTGGGAAATGGTGAGGCAGGATTTGTTTGTTGATGTTAAGGATTTTGGAAACACGCGTTGATTGGGTTTACTTACATGACCTATGATAATTTGCCAACAAGTATACACATAGACAGGCATGGGTTGTTTGTGTTGGAACATGATGATTAGGATTATTAACTCGATGGACATATTGACTTGATGGACATATCGACTTGGACTAGGTTCTAGACTTTTTTGTTTCGCTTGCACATTGACTTTTTTCTGGTTTTCTACATGCTTGGTATTTTTGGGTGGTGAGAATTGCTACATTTGGTGTAACATCGTGACAAGAGGGTTGAGTTTGCTGGCACTCATGTGTTAAGTTCTTCGGACTTTAACATGCGGCGCAATGACTATCCACAGTCGTAGAAGCGATGGCTTCTGAGAATGGTACTACAATCATAGACGATGCTTACCACAAGTCAGTATTTTACACACGCTTGCTGTTATGCTCACTCACTTGGTCTGGTACAGATCATATCCAACCATATCATCCTTCGGTCGCCTCGTCTGATTTCCAGTGACCGAATACCGAGTCCTGAGAAGAGTCCGGCTCGGCCTGTGCTTGTTTCACAGGCACACTCCTACCAAACACGCGTACGCTCATGCCTTTAGAGTGTCCATTGGTCTTCTCAGAATCACTGCAGTAGGCTCCATCAAGACCGTAAGTCTGTGGAAAAGGATCACCGTAGAGCGCATTGTTAGCAAGAGCGCTGCAGGAGGAGAATTGGCGGTCTTCACTGGACGGCGTATATTGCGATTCTGGGATGATAGAGACTCCCGCATATGTTTCAGATGGCGGCTCCGTGTCTGCGGCGTTGTCGGTTGCGTTTTCCTTGTCATCATGCTCGTACTTGAGCGGCGAAGCAGCCGACGCCTCGCGATGCAGCTGATCTTCAAGTTTCTCGTGATAGATTTGGAATGGTTGACCCGGTGAGATTGGCCATGCGTCTTTTTCGGGACAAAGATCTGGCTCCCCTAGAGAGAGATGCGGTGAATCAATACAGTTTCTGCCATGCTCACTACCCTTTGGGCTGTCTAGAACGGGAGATGCAGGCAGGCTTTCAGCAATCGTAACGGCTAGCATAGTATCAGCATGTAGTTGGGAAGGAATTGGAAAACGGTTCGCATCATACCATCGCTTTCAACCTCTATACCTGAGCGGAAATGCTCATCGCTAGACTTGAGTCCATCGGATTCGGAATCGCTAACATAATCTGCATGCTTTCGACGTGTTGACTTTGGCGGCGCAATTCCATCATTGGAGCCTGAACCATCTACACGACATGTGTGTTTGGACTTCTTGGCTTTCTTCTTTGGCGCAGCCTCCCCGTCATCGCTCGATACACTCAGGAATTTGTCTTGGGGGTGGACATTCATATTGTAGGAGATCTTCAGTTCTGAGACCTTGCGAGAAGAGCGACGAGTCGGTTCGACAGACCGTAGCTGTGACTGAGTGAATTTTCGCTTCTTGCCCCTGGGGTATTTTCTTAGCTCTTCCTCTGCCTCGCTATGTTCACTCGACTGTTCCTCATCGGAATCGTTTGCGGTAAATGCATCACTCAGGTCATCCGAGGCGAAACAAACTTGCTTCTCCCCATGAGCAGACCGAAGTTTTGCAGCTTGAGTGGGGCGGATAGCGTCGTCCATAGGATGGTACCTTGCATCATATACGAGCTTGCTCTTGTTTCGGCTGCGCAAGCTGTAGAATGATGTGGGAGTCGATGAAGTTGGGGGTGTTGGATCCGACTTTGCAGTATCCACGTTGATTCCATCAGAATCAGACGCAACACCTGGGTAGTCATGGTTAGATGAGGCGTGTTGCTTATGATGTTAGCAGGTTAAATTCTTTGGTTGAGCAAGTGACTTACCGACTGATTAGATTCGGCAACTTCCTCATCAGAGCCACACTGACTCTCAGCGTCATGCTCATCCAAGCCACGATCAACACCGCACTCCATTATTCCATGTCTCTCCTGGTTAACCTCAGTCGCAGTCTCCTGTATCAGATTAGCTCTTTCCCTATCCTGCACCCTCAATTTATACTCACCGCATTCCCCTCTCTCTCAATCCCGTCATCATCTATCCCCCCCTCCTCGATAAACGAGGCAAAGTCAAACGGCTCGTCCATGCTCACTGGGCATGTGCTGAGAGAGTTGAAGGCAGTACGAGTAGGTTGTTGAAGTGAAGCAAGCTATGTGATGGGTTGAGGTGAAGCAAGATAGGTGAATAGAGGGTGAGTTGAAAGTGGCAGGAGCGAGAGAATGGCTTGGCTTGGCTGAGGCTCCTTCCTTGGTTTGCAGATGCGTTTCGCTTAATGTACATAGGCAAGCAGTGAGTGAGGGAAGGAACGATGAGGAAGGAACCCGCGAAATACCCATCGTGGCATGGCCTTGGGCTAGGTAGGCAATAGATACCTTACCGACAGGGCTGGGTATAGATCACGGCCAACACAAGATTAACCAAAAGTGCACGCGCAATTCAAGAACGCATGCGAACAGAAACAATGCTATTCAGAAGTAGAAAGTCAAGACGAAGGGCTTGAACGATTGCACTGATTACAATACTATACAGGCTCGTTGACCACAAAACAAACATAGCGAGCGAAACCGCTTCCACGAAAAGCGTTTTGAAAACCTCTTCATAATCGCCATTCCTTGAGAAGAATATTCATGAGCGAGCGCGCAAAAGAAATGCAAATACTGAATGCGCCGTGCGTATGGTGGAACGCTGTGGATATATGCCCCTTTTCATCCCCAACATGATGCCAAGCCAAGTGTGGCTGCTATTCTTTCAAGTATCCCGGAAACGCCAGACGGAAAACCAATCAAATGAAACTCGCTTGAACGCACTGCAAATAACGAACGTGACTAGGAAATTGGATGCTCGGTCTGATCAACGAAGTCGTGATGTCAACCGTACTGGGGGCAAGACAAAGTCGTCGTCAGAGCCTTCGTCGTCGACCTCAAGGTCGACGATTTTTAATGGTCCGGAACCAGCAGCTCCGGCTGGGTGGGCAGACTTGAGGTTTGGATCAGACAATGGTAGAGGCGCTTGTGGTGTGTCTTTTCGGTACGCCATGTCTGGCTCTAGCGAAGACATGGACGTGTCAGAAGTTTCGTGGGCCTGTAGCTCGGGCGGATCTTGCAACTTGCGTGCATTGTACTTGTCAACTTGGGTTGTGGCTGTGACTAGTAGGGTGTCGAAGCTGACGCGTACAGCTGCCAACTCCTTCCTACAGTCGCCTTCGCGTAGCGTCAAGTGGGCCGCCTTTTCGCATAGTTCTTGTGCTTGTTCCAGTGTCTTGTCGGTAGAGTCAAAAAGTTCAGCTGGTGTTTCACCACTGCTGACGCCCAATCGGCCGCTGCGCCTGGCTGCCGATCGTGCGCGCAGTGCCGACATGCGTGCTTTGTAGTTTACTCGTGTGATTGTGGTTTCCCGGTGGCCGTGGTCGGCGTCGTCGTCTTCTTCGTCGCTCGAGTCTGCCATGGTAGCCATGTCGTTCATCCTGGCCTCCATCTTGGCTTTGCGCAGCAGGTTGCGGCCGGTGCCGATCCCGCGAACAAGCAATTCAAACGACTTCTGCATGTCGCCGTCATAGTTGGTAACGACCATGATTCGAGGGCGCTGACGAGTGGACTCGGAACCCCGGGCCGACGAGACGGAAAGCGACTTTCGCTTCCGATTGGCAAGGGCGTCGGTCGGCGTCGGGTTGGAGGGCTCAGCGTGCTCTTCAATGGCGTCGAGTTTGGCGGGGCGTATCGAGGCGTTGGAATCGGTTTTTTGCTTGTTGAAGGGCGACTGGGACATGGGGACTTTTTCCAGGTCGGCCTGCATGGCCGTGACCCTCTCGTGGACGGTGGCGATGTCGTGCAGCCATTGGGGAATGTTGTCGTGGAGAAAAGCAAACGCCTTCTCAATGTCAGACATGGTGGCTGTTGCGGCGGGCGGGCGGAGGCGCGGCACTAAGCGATGCGGGTGCAAAGGCGGATGACGACGAGCTGTCGCATGCGAAAGCGCGGGCGGGCGGGGGGAGTCGTAGAGGACAGAGGCCGAGCGGGCGGGCGCGTGGTGGCTACTTGGGAAAGGGTGGAAGGGTGAGCGAGAGAGCGAGAGAGCGAGAGAGCGACAGAGGGCAGAAGGCGCGGAGAATAGTGGCTCGCAGCGAAGCGGGCGGGCCAGAGGATCAGCGGTTAGTTATGGGGGAGGAACGGGCGGTGGGCAGGGGATAGTGCTGATGCGAGGGACGATCAACGGGGCCAGACGTTGACTTGACTGCCGGCACGGGCAAAGCGGGACTAGAGCGGCGCATTGCATCGACGACAAGGACAGGAAGCAGCCGAGTCGCACGGCGGGCGAGGCGTGAGGGGTGGGCGAGGCGTCTTGTTGTGCTGGCAAAGCGTAATTGCAACGGGAGGGGGGGAGAGTTCCCACGGGAGCGGTTCCCACACGAGCGCACCCTTGGCGGCCATGGAACCGGACGCCTCGGCGCTGATGCGGCCGACAGCAGCACGCGGGCAGATTGCAGCAGCACTCCGGCCGATTGCCCGTCTGGCGCGCTATGTGGCAGAGTCCATGGGGTGTGGGCGGGGTGGCCGTGGTGGTGGTGGCCGTGTGGTGATGGCGGTGGAGGTGGTGGAGAGGGCGGAGGAAAGGGCAGCAGCAGTGGCAGGGAGATTAGCGGCAGAGGCAGGTCCGATTGCCGCATTCTGTGCCCTTGGCGAGCGAGCGCGCGCATGTCGGCGGCTATCTCCCCCAATCAGCGCCCGCGCGCGGCGCCCTGCACCCGTGCCGCAGCGCCGCAGCCGAAACAAAACAAATGCTGGCTTTGCGATGAGCTGTATGTATGGATGCATGTATGGGTGCATGTAGTGTCTTCACGTTGGGAAACGTGTGTTGAGAGGAGGCTTTATCCGCAGAGCGAGAGCGAGGCATCTATTTCGGTCGTAGGGTTATTTCCCAGAGAGGCCAACGGGTGGGGGGGGGGAAGTGCTGGGGTGTTCCTGGGGCGCAATTTGGCAGGGCTGCTGGCTCGCCTCGCCATGTCTGTGTGGGTGGGTGGGTGAGATGGGCGCGAGACGGCAATGGCGGTTGGTGTTGATTGCATGGAGGGATGGAGGGATGGAGGGACGGAGGGATGGAATGGTGTCGGATGTCGTCGCACGGGGTAGCGGAAAGGCAGTGGTGGTGCGTGTGTCGGGGGAGAGAATAGGGCAGCGAAGGGCAGTGAGGCCGAGCGCGCCTTCCTACTGTAGTCTGGCACGACACGACACGACACGTTACTGGACTGTGCACGCCCGCCAGGTTGATGGAGACTTTATGGGCTGCGGCAGTTTAATATGCTACTTGCTACGTACATGTAGATGGTTGCATGCAATGGCGAGCAAGCCTATGCACGGCGTGTGCAACCGCACGCTAGCCAACGGCGTTTCGCGGCCTTGCTCCCCCCCATGCCTCCGCCTCAGACGCTGCACCGGCCGATTCCCGTGTCATCCGCCCGTTGACCCTCATCCCCAGCTGACCATCTACTTACTATGCACGCATTACTGCCTACTTAGCAGCCGCGCATTGGGCCGTCGCTCTGTCTGCACATTGTCGTCGTCGTCGTCGTCATCGCAACAATTGCTGCAACCGGCCACCCATCCCTTTACAGACAAGCCCCAACAAATTTGCGCATCTGGGCGACGAGTCCAGGTGACATGGGGGCCTTTGACAAGTCGCCGACCTGAACCGTTCGCTGGGAAAGGCTGCATCGGAGCCATGCATGTTCCTTCAACAAGTGCCAGCCCCGTCGCCAAAGCCTGTCTGCAGCCCGTTGCACAGCAGGCCCTTTGCATACACGCACACGCAACCCGCTCCCGCCCCGTCTACACAAACACCAAAGAACCATGCATCACTGCCATCCATGGTCGGCGTGTTTGAACATTTGCATTTTCGTGACATGTTCCTTTGTCTCAGAACCATGCCCTCGGTGGAATTGCTAATTGCTGCTCGCTTCGTCTATGGCCACAGCTCCTCGGTCCTCCACCCCGCATTCGCTTTCGCACTCTCGTCAAAAGTGTACCGATATCTCCGCGCCTTGTCCGGGTTGCTGAGATCAGTCTGCTCCACCGACTCCGGCACAATGACGACAAGGCGAAAGTGTTTGCGCGCAACAGGGTCATCGAGATCATCCACCTTGGAACCAAGCCCAAGGCTCTTGTCGTCATAGGCCTTGGACGTGGGCTGGCCGGGCGGCGGGTTCTTGAACGAGCCTACAACACGCATGTCAGCCGAAAATCATAACCAGCCCCAGCGACTCGTCTTACCCTTGATACCAGGACTCTGGTTGCCAAAGAAGCCTTTGATCTCCCTCTTCCAGCTAAACTCGCCCTGTCTGCCCTCATCCACCACCCTCATCCTCTTGCCCACCTCGCTCTTGACCGTCCTCACCCCGCTGCTTTCCTCGCCGTCCCCCTCAATATCATCTGCAACCACAAACGCCCTCCCCTTGACCCGCCACTGCGTCGCCACATCTGCATTCCAATACACCGCCTCGACGGGCCCTCCGCCTCCACTGCCCAGCACCTGCTCCCTGCTCTGCGCATGGCCCGCACTCGTCTGAAATATCTGCCCCACCTTCTCCATGCGCACATCCGTCGTCAAAACAGGGCAATCGCTCTCGTACACGCGCGGATTGCGCTCTGCATCGTTATGCCGGTTCTCAGGTAGCTCGGCCCAGAAGCCGCGGTGGATGCAGTATCGCACCCGCGGCACAAACGGCGTCGGTGCACCTGAAGGCGCTGCGTCGAGCGTTCCCAGCACAAACTCGGGCGACTTCATCTGCGACAGATGCGAGCTGAAGAGCGCTTTCCATGGTGCGGGCGGCAGCGCAGATGCAGATGGCGTCGTGGCAGACATGCTGTGGACGAGGCGCGTGAGACGGGCGGCGGTGCGTGACGAAGCTATGGTTGCGGATTTAGATGTTGTTGTTGTAGTAGTATTGATTCAAGGCATGGAACGAATATGTAACTTCGTACCTACCTCCCTACCCAAAAGTGATGTCGTCATCACCCAACCAGTCCACCACGCTTTCTGCGCAATCATGCAGATTCAATGAGGTCAGTTCTCATTCTAGTGCACCACCAACCTCTCTCTCTCTTTTTGCTTTTTCATCGTCCCAGCTTATTCCAACTGCAATCGAGAAATCAGTGCTGTTGGCGCATTTCCAAGATACTAATAGTAATCCTTACGAGGGGAACATCCCTGGTACGAGAGTTATACTGAGTTTGGCAAAGCTCTAGTTTTTTTGATATATTTCACCAATTGTATATATTATATTTTACATTACGTTACTTTACCCCGCTCCTCACCCCTCATCATCATCATCATCATCATCATCGGTCTCTCCGTCTTGGTCTCTCTCTCTCTCCATACACGCACACACACGCACACACCCGCACAAACATCAGCACCCAATACAAACCCACCTCGGCACAACCCCAAACCCCAAACCCAAAACACAATCACAAACATTAAATATCTCACACCCCTCCCCCCTCCACCAACGCAATTCCCCCCAACAGCCCTCCACCAGCAAACTCAAATCCTATTCCCGCTCTCTGATAGACGGACAGACAGACAGACTACTCGTAACTTACTCGCGACCACACAGGCGTCATGGGCGGATTCCCGTGTACATGTAGAGTATCGATTATCCATGTAGAGTATCCATGCCATGCATGTATACGAGCTGCGAGTAAATAAACGTCATGAGTCACGATATATACCCACACACACACACACAGATACACACACAGATACACACAGAGATAGACAGACAGATAGACAGGCAAGAATGCAAGAATGCAAGAATGCAAAGCTACGTGTCACATCGCATCCCCACCATGAGCCCCTAACCATTACCTATTACCTATTACCTATTACCCGTTACCCAGTTGATCACATGGACATGCACTTACATATACCCCTGCATATGTATGCATATGCATACGGTATGCACTCACTCCACGGCGTTTTTTCTTTCTTTCTTTTCTTTCTTTCTTTCTTTACTTAGTTACTCTGGACATACATACTTACTCTGCACATACTTACAACTTACGTACTGACGGTTTTACATTACCCCGCACCCGCACCACGACTACCACTACCACTTCCAATCCATATTGGTATCAAGATGTACGTGCGACAAGGGCTTTTTGTTTTTTGTTTTGTTTTACTTTGTGCGCACGTATTGCTTTGTGTGACTGCATCTGTCAAGGGATATTTCCATTTCGGCGATTTGGATACATACATACTTAATGTTCAATGTTCAATGTTCAATGTTCAATGTTCAATGATCAATACTTAATGTTCAATGTTCAATGTTCAATACTTAATGTTCAATGTTGGTGGTTTGCGATTATTACAAACGCGTGCGTGAATGGTGATTGCTAGACTACTACTGTCGTTACTTGCTATCTTGTTGGTAGAGTAGAGCTACAGGAAAAAAGGGCAAACAAGGTAAGACAAGTTTCATGAGGCCTTGTGTTATAGTTTGTTGCTTATTGTGACTATACTTACATGCATGTAACAAGTACCTCTCAAACGTCTCATGCTGGCAAGATACGAGCAAACACACCAGTCCCGTACCGAGTATCACGCCTTCTTGAAGAAACTCGCAATGCTACCCTGTCCCTTCTTACCAGCATTCTTGCCCTTTGCCGAGCTGGCTGGTTTCGGCACAACTGGCTTGGCCTTCTTGGGTGCAGGCTCCTCTTCAGAAAACGATTCCCACACAGCCTCTTCTCTGGTGACTGGGATATCTTAGTCAACTGCTGTGATGCGTAGGAGAGAAAAGAAAAACTCACCCAGATAACCATCCTCATCCTTGACCTTCTTCTTCTTCATCACTCGTCTTCGCCCGCGTCTGCGCCCGTTGGATACGGTCACGGTGGCCTCGCCTTCGGTCGGCTCAGAGGCATCTGCTGCAGCTGCAGGGGCAGTCTCAGCCTGTGATTCTGCTGCGGCTGGCGCATCGGTCATCTCCTCGTCTGCACAAATTAGACTGGAGCCAGAATCTGCCATGGGAAACTCACCATCATCTTCCATCATCTTGCGCAAGCGCTCAGCTCGCTCCTCACGAGCTTTGCGAGCGGCTTCATTCTTTTCTTCATCAATTTTCACCTCCGGCTCGTCATCTGGGTCGCCTTCGTCTTCCGACATGCCTTGCATTGGTTCTAGACATGTCAGCCAACAAACGCGAATCAACAGAATCCAGACTTACCGTCTTCCACAGGAGCGGGCGTAGAATCCTTTGACTTTTCAGCCTTTGGCTTGGCTTTGGCAAACGACTTGAATATGTCACTCGTCGCCTTGTCTTTCTTTGCCCCTGATTTAGACTCAGACTGCTTCAGTGCACTCGAGCTCGCAGGAGGCTGCGGTGTTGAATTTTCCGATGCATTTTCTTCAGACGCACTCCCTCTCCTTGCAGCTGCAGCCTCCTTCTCCTTCTCCTTTGTAGGCACAGTTATTGTAGACTTGGCAGCAGGCTTCGCAATGGGCTTCGCGGCAGGTTTCGAAGCGCTGGATGCAGTCGGAGGAGCGTACTTGGCAGTCCTTCTCTATAGCGACATCAGCTTTGCAATCTAACGTACCAACCAAACCATACCTTGATGTGCTGGTTTCGAATCGAACCATACGTCTTCCATCGCTGCAGAGGATCCTCATCTGCATATTGTGTCACCGCCTCGTGATTGCACAACGACAGTACTCCGAAAATCTAACATTCTTAGCACCGTCTTGTCGAGCCCAGTCGAGGAGCATACCTCGAGCGGTCCAGGCTCCAAGCTGTAAATATGAGCTGATGCGCCTTCCTCAAACTCTTCGCGAGTCTCTGGCGCAAAGTCAGCGAAATCTCTTGAGCGACTCTAGGCATAACGAACCCTCCAATTCCTCTTCTCGGACTAGCACCACCTGCGTCTCTTTCACGCCTTTTGGTGCAGATGTATCCTCATCGTCAGAGCCGCTTACATAATCAGAGTCTTCCGCCTCTTCGGCCTCGGGCATGGAGCTTATGAAAGGCGAGCTGCGCATGTCGTTGTCATCGCCCTTTTGGCGTTTGGCGCCATTCGCATGTTGGGACCGTCGGGGTGTACCGGTGATGAGATAGGTGGCATGGACAGAGTTTGGTTTGCGTGTATTCTGTTTCTTGTGGAATTCAAAGAGCATCCTGTCTGGTGTGAGCCAATGTTGCTGTCTTGCGTAGCTGTACTGACCGTTTCGCCGTATTGACGTTGGTCTTGAGTGCTCTGCTGAGCAGCCTGTAAGTCACAGGTTTGTGCTCAGCAAGAATCCGTGTAGCGAGATAGTCCTTGTATGTTTCCTCAGCCATTGCGTAAATGGTCGTGGTGGTTGCAGCCGTGGCAATGGTCGTGGTGAAAGAAGTGGGAAGCGCGTCGCGGGGCTGACTCGGGCTCACGCGTCTGGCGCTCCCGTTTAGACGAAAATGACTCGCACGGCAAGGCACCCGTTATGCCTACAAGCCAGCCAGCAAGACTCATCATGAACAAAGATGAGCACCGGCGAGGACGAAGACTTGAAACTGCAGCGAGCCTCTGCTCTGCTTCTATCTGACCTTGAACGGCTTCTCCCACGGCTCCTGCGAAAACGCCAACACGGCTCAGCGCCAGGCCCTGTTCGCCATAATGTCAGAATCACCGACATGCACAAAGCATGTGGCTTGGTATGGCATCCCGGAGCTATGCCCAGCCATATCCGGCTGACAGTCCCTAGATTGAGCCCTTTCAAGAGGACCCGCAACTGCTGGACGCACACCTCAAAACTTTTATCCCGCCACTCGTCGCTACTTACCTGGAGACGATATCGACGAGCAGCAGAGAAGAGCCCAAGCAAGGCTTTGTACCCCTCTCACACGCCATATGCTACATTTTGAATATATTCTGCAAGGTCCGCGGCGAAAAGGTCATCAAAGGATTCTTCAACAACGAGCCGCGCTATCTCGAACCCATCCTGGCAGAGCTCGAGGCCAGCAAAGATGTGGCAGCCGACGGTCCCGAGGCTATCCAACGCCAGGGCGACCGACCATGGGTTCGTCGTTACATGCTACTCCTCTGGCTTTCGCAGTTACTATTAGCCCCCTTTCCTTTGGAATCCATGTCAGGACTGCAGTCGTCTGCAGACGCCTCGATTGCTCCTGGACTGAAGCTGCCTGCCGAGTTGCCTGAGATCACTCTCCGCGTTCTCTCGATATGCATGTCCCAACTGCGAGCTCCGACGAAAGAGAAGAGCGCTGCTGCGAAACTGTTGGTCCGAGTTTGCGTGCGTCCCGACATGCAGAAGCTGGGCTTACTCGACTCAATGGTTCAGTGGTCTTTGTCCTTCTTCTCCCAGGTGAACGAGGAGCAATTCGACATACACCAATGCCTTGGTGTATTGGCGTTTGTCTCTGGACTTCTTGCGTCTGCTACCAACGAGGAGCTCGGTCCTTTCCTCGCTGCCGTCTACCAATCTTGCCGAAAAGTACTGGACCAAGACAGTCTTTCCTTTGTCAAGTCATCAGCTGTGGCGCGTAAACTAATTGTGAAAAGCCTCCGTAATATTGTGATACATTGTCTACAGACGTCGTCTGTTATACCCGGACTTGATCCAACGACTGTTCTAGAAGAGGTCATCGAATTCCTTCTCGAGGCGCTTGCAGATGGCGATACTCCCGTCCGATACGGGGCAAGCAAGGCACTCAGCATCATCACGCTCAAGCTCGACGCAGAAATGGCCGACGAGGTCGTCGAGGCTATCCTGGGCTCCCTCACCGAAAACGTCTACTGGCAGGGCTCCAAACGCAACCTGAGCAGCGTGAATCCATTGCGATGGCACGGACTGACATTGACTCTGTCCCAGCTACTATACCGGAAAGCCGTCCAAGCAGACCACCTACCAAACGTGCTCAATGCTCTTCTGCTTTCCCTAGGATTCGAGCAACGATCACCTACCGGCGGATCCATCGGTACAAACGTACGCGACGCAGCTTGCTTTGGCATCTGGGCACTGTCACGACGCTATCCTACAGCCGATCTGTTGCTCGTCGACACAGCGTCGATCCGGGCTTCAGAGCACCTCAAAACACTCAATGTTCCCCAGGTCCTTGCCCTTGAGCTAGTCGTTGCCGCTTGTCTCGATCCCGCAGGCAACATCCGGCGAGGCTCGTCTGCAGCTCTGCAGGAACTCATAGGCCGGCATCCGAACACAATCGAAGAGGGCATACCGCTCGTGCAAATGGTCGATTTCCACGCTGTGGGTCTGCGCCAACGCGCAATGTGTGACGTGGCCATCAAAGCGGGCGACTTGAATGCGCTGTACTGGGACGCGCTGTTTGAAGGCCTGCTCGACTGGCGCGGCACGGGATCTCTAGACTCGGAATCCCGCTTGTTTGCAGCAGAGGCGATAGGCTCGTTGTCTAGGGGCCGGTCTACGCCTGTCGTGCAGAGAATGTCGGAGCAGGTCCGCAGTGCTCTTTCGGCGCTGCGACCCAGACAGGTAGAGGAGCGGCAGGGTCTGGTCTCTGCTCTCGCGGCACTTGTGAATACCACCAGAGCGTCACACTGCCATGCCGAGGACGAGACCTTGTACGCCTCTCTTTCGGATCTGTGGACACTATTGTCAACCGACTTGAAGCTTGACGACAAGGCGTTTACGTCGCCCGCGCTACGGCCTCAATTCACAGCATCTTCCATATGCGCACTCATTGGGGCAATGGCCACCTTCACAATTGATTGTTTCAGTAGTGTCATTCCATCCAAGATACCCACGGAGGAAACATGTCGCCTCTTCAACCTGTGTCTTACCCGGCACGAGCCGCCGGTGCTAGAAGGCATCGCAGACACTGCGCCGGCAGTCGTGCTCCTGCTGTCCAAGCTACCAGGCGCCAACACCATAACCGTAGCATCATCATGGCTCACACTGCTAGAAAACGAGGCTTCGTACAACGGGCTTCGGTGCTCAGGCCACGCAGTCGCTCTGGGAGCCGGGTATGCCAATCTGGGAGCTCTCCCGGCTGGTGCAGAGCGAGAAGACGTGCAGCGCCGCATTATCAAAGTGCTTACTTTCCGGTGCACCGCTGCTGTCGCCATTGAGGCCCGCACCGTGGCGTTGCGGGCGCTGGGCGATTTGCTCAGCAGCAAGGCCTCGAGATCGTTCCTGGCTGCACATGCAGAGACCCACGTGGGTCGTGCACTGCACATTGCACTCAACGACTACACCATCACGGAGCGAGGCGATGTCGGGGCCCTGGTCCGCCTCGAGGCCCTGAATACCGTGCAATTAGCCTGGGCATCCGCCGTCCTCAGCACGCAGCACGAACCCTGCGGTCCGGAAATCTACGCAGATGTATTGCGGCTATCGCTCGAGAAACTGGATAAGATGCGAGTGAAAGCTACACAGGTGCTTCGTAAGAATACATTCGATCCCAGCGACGTCGAGCACGGCGTCTCCTCCAGAACATACTTTTCCAACGCCCTCACATACTTGCAGTCGCATGCCAGCCCCATCATCAAGGAATCCATCTGCGTGGGCTTTGTCAGCTCCGCAGGCATGGGCTCCGAGTCTGTAGTGCAGAATTCCCGCATGGCACTCCTGACGTTTATCGATGCACTACCTGACGAGACTGACGCCACCAGTACGCAGTATTCTCTTTCCCATCTTGCAACCTGCTTCCTGAAGCTGCTCAAAGACAATCTCGACAATGACAGGATATTGCTGCCGCTGCTCGAGGTGCTGGCTTTCCTATTCGACATGCAGGTTCTGCAGCGCCTGGCGTCGTCGTCGTCGTCGTTCAAGTAAGTATCTCGCATTGATTGTTGGAATTACACCTATATACATATATGCTAACCGTTAGAAGCTTCCGCGCCCTCCTATCTTACACGCAAAAAGCTCACTTCAAATCTACGCACATGCAGAAACTGCATCTGGCACTGGACATGTACCGGGGTCTCGGGGTCGTTGCAGCGACGCGCGCCGACACGCTGAGTAAAGTCACAAGCATGCTCTTGCATCCGTTTCCAAAGGTAAGTTGCAATTGGGAGCGTTCATGGTATTAGTATAATTGTGTGAAGACGATGCTGATGTGCGAGTAGATTCGCGTGGCGGCGGCAGAGACGCTATGGTTTCTGGTGCAGGAAGAAGGGTTGAAGCGACATGATTGGAGTTTGCCGTCCAAGAGCCTGAAGCCTGCAGTTGATGGGATCAAAGCGGCGCTGGGGGCAGCGGAAAAAGCGTCGTAGCAAGGGGGGATTCCACCATAGCCGGGCGGCGATTGAGAGTCTATGCATCGTATGGTCTATGTGCAGTTCTGGCTTTACCTAGAGTTTCGCTCTTGTCTTGTCGTCTAGAATGCCCAACACCAGCTGCTCGGCCTCCCATGCACTGCCCCAGCCGCTCTGGTAGCCGTAGCCGGCATGTCCATAGCTGTGCACCACCCACTTGCCGTCGATGAGTTCCTTTTCGATTCTGGGCCCGCCGTTCCTCATGGGCCGCAGACCCACGCCGTGCCTGATGACGCTGAGCTCCGTGACTTTGCCCGTCTTGGGCACGAGTGCTGGACACAGGTCGACACAGCGCTGCATGATGCGCTGAGCGAGGTTGGGATCAGGCTGGCTCTCCCACGAGCCATGCTGCATGCATCCGCCGAGGATGGTGCCTCCGCCTGCTGCACGTTGCATAACATAGGTAGCCTCGTCGCCGCCGTCGTCAGTGCCACTAACCGTGAGCATGATCTCGGGCTCGTTTCGAACCAGCACAACCTGGCCTCGGCCCGGGTACACGTTGGTGTCCATGACGCCGCCGAGCGTGGCAGCAAGCAGACCAGTGCAGTTTACCACGACGTCGGCATGGCCCGAGGGGTGGAAGCTGGCGGCTTCAGAGATGTGGGAGAGGATGCCACGCTTGAATACCACACCGGCTTTTACGCACTGGCCGACCAGCCAGGGCAGGTAGACGGCTGTGTTGATGCATACCGAGGAGAAGTGGGTGCCAGTGTCGCAGCCTTGTGGGAGTTCGCTTTTGGGCAGGACACGAAACTGATAAGGGTAAGTATGTCAGCAAGTATGAAGCACATGAATAAACGGCACCACGTGAAGCTACCTACGTTGGGAACGACGTCCTTGAACCACGCATCCTCCTTTGTCAGTTCCTCGAACCATTGACCGGTAGCAGTGCCGAAATCCTTGGCTCTCCCGTAGATTTTGGTGTCCTGGAAGTGGATGCCGGCCTCAGGGACATGGCGACACAGGCGGTCAAGCTCGGCCCAGGTAGCTTTCTCCAAGCGCTGCAGAAGAGAGCCCGGCTTCGCTACTGGAAAGTAGTTTGCGCCAGCCCAGGGCGAGGCATACTCTATGTCATAGTCGCCGGGCATGTGCTTGGCGACGACAGTAATGGCCAGGCCGCGGTGCTTGGACAGCACGAGGGCCGTCGACAGGCCGATTACGCCGGCTCTGCGAAAAGCGAGGAGGGGTCAGTGTCAGCTTGGACTATTGCAGGCTACTGTATGTAATAATGCTGCGTATGTGTGTATGCAGCTGGGCCTGCAGCTTCGGCACATGGGGGGGCGATGCGGGTCGGCACACAGCAAAATTTGCCATGGGGCTATTGTGCTAGTAGGGAGTAGTAGCTGGTAGTCGGAGGGGAGGGGGGCTGTAGCAGCTCTGGGCATTGGGCATGGGGGCATTAGAGGCAGAGGCAGAGGGAGAGGGAGAGGGAGAGGGAAAGGCATTGGGGCGGTGGAGCGAGACGACTTACCCCACAACGACGACGTTTCTGGTGGCCATGATGGCTGTTGACACTTGGACACTGGGACTGGTGATGTTGGGTGTGAGCACAGGAGAGGGTGGTTGGCGGGGTCATGCTGCTGCATTGCCCGCTCGCTTATTGGCTGGCGGGCGCACACGAGACAAAACGCGTGCGCACATGCAAGAGGGCAGAGTGAGGCTTTGTTTATTTGCCATGTTCTCGTGCTTGCCCTCTATACAAACACGCGCATTCACCTGGGCACGCGGAGTCACAATCCCCATCTCTCCGTCTCTCCATCTCTCCATCCATCTCTCCATCCATCCATCCATCTCTCCATCTCTCTCTTCACCCGTCCCGTCCACACTCAACCACACACACACACACAGCTCAGCATCGCCTCTGCTTTTTGCTGCCCCTCTCACCGCTGCTGCACGCACGAAAACCAGTCGGGCCTGCAGCCCCCCAGCGCCTCGCTAAGGGAGCTCTCTGCGGTGCCTGACATCATATCATTGCTCGACTCCTCGGTATCTGCCTCCAGCTAGGCCGAAAGATTTTTCCCGCCGGCCAGCACATACAAGAAGGCTGCGCGCCCTGCCCAATACCCATCCTCTGCCTGGCTGGTTGGCTGCCGCCGCTTTGTCTGTCTCGCACCGCTCGTTCTGCTGGTGCGCCAAAAGGCGTTGCTGAGGCCGGGCCGTGTTCGTTGTTCCTGCGACTCGCCAAGCGCGCCCATCCCTGCTGCCTGTGTCCCTTTACCAGAGCTTCACAGGTTCGGGCGCGTCACTCGAGATATTCTTCCCTCGACCTCTTCCCCCTCACGCCCACCGCCCCCCTCCCCCATTCACCGGCCACGACCTTCACCATTCCTTGCGTGGCGTGGCCGGCCCCATCAACCTACCTCTCCCCGTCGTCTGCCTGCAATAGCTACTGTCGCTCCTGAAAGAGAAGCCCAGCATTCATCCATGACCGCCTCACCCCACCTGTGCCTTCGTCTCTGCAAATACAATACACCAACACCTCCTGTCTCGCCGCCCCCCGTGCTCCCACCGTCACCATGGCTACCCGGAGACAGCGGCCAGGCTCGCCTGAATTTCCCATCCTAGACGCCAATGCCCTGTACGCCAGCCAGATCCGAGGCGATGGTGAGCTTGCCACGATTCAACTCCCTGTTGGCCCAACACTGACTTAGTCAAAGGCAACTGCCTGTTCAACGCCCTGTCCGACCAGCTCTACGGCAACCAAGACATGCACGAGGTGCTGCGCGCCACCACCATTGAGCACATGAAGGACAGCGCAGACTTTTACCGCCAGTACATGGCCGTCAACAATGTCCGCCGCAACCCCAAGCGCAAGACGGCCGCCGCCGCCGCTGCAGCAAAGTGCATGGACACAAGCTACTACACCCAAGAGCAGCTGCAGCAGCAGTTCGAGCACCATGTGGAAAAAATGGGCCAGCCCGGCGAGTGGGCCGACAACATGGAGGTCTCCGCCTTTGCCTCGGCCCTCAATGTCAACGTCCGCCTCTGGCAGGCCGACTACACCTACCTCTTCTCCCCACGCACATGCTACTCGCCCGACGCCGACCCGGCTGCAGACGACTCCCGCCAAACGCTGCACATTGCCTACCACGTAAGTTGTCGACTGCCCCCTTTGCTACCCCGCCCCTTTTCCATACTGATGTACCATGTCATAGACTTGGGAACACTACTCGTCTGTCCGCAATATCGCCGGCCCCCACACCGGCATTCCCAACGTCAATGTCGTGCCAAAGGCTATATCCAAGAAGCGTCCAAGTCCCAGCGTCGACGGCGACGACGACGATCAGCCTCAACGCTCACGCAAGCGCCGCTCCCCCTTACCCCTATTCGACTCGGACTCTACACCAGAGGGCACCGACAGCTCGTCGGACGAGTCACATGGATTCTCGGCTTCACAACAGTCGACCATACAGATTCCCCCGCCCGAGCCACCCAAGCCAGTCAAGCTTACCATCAAGCTGCGTGGACTCCGTACCTGTGATGCCCCCTCGACCGACTCGTCTCGGGAACCCACGCCCGCTCCCAAACCAATACAACATACCGCAGATGCTAGAGCCCTGTCGGTTGAAGCACCACCGGCGGCAAAGACCGCAACTCCCTGTTATGACTTTATAGTGTGAAAAAAAAGAGATAGAGGTGGCTGACTTTACGACGGTTGAACAGTTCACGGTTGATGATGACGAGACGATGATACCCTAACAGCATGCAGTGGGCGCTTTTATTATTCTTTCTTGGTTGCATTTTAGCACTATTTTTTCTTCTCTTCTCTTCTTGTTTGGATTCCAACCTTCTTGCATAGCATACCAGCATGGGCATGGCACGGCTGTCTCTATAGTATCCATCGTTGCATATGCCAGCATGACCGACCGACGGGGTGCCAAAGTGCTTGGGCCTGCGCTCGGTCAACTGGCTTTGGCGTTTTGAGGACAATACACATACACAGATTTTACTGAATGAAATGAAATGAATCATGGAGAGGTCTTTTCATCGTTGAGAGATGGGGGGGGGGGCCTCGATCACCACAATGTTTGCATCTTTTAATATCAACTGGAATGTGCTTACTCCGTTACGTCTATACTGAATGAGATGATTGAATTATAGAAAGGCCTTCTTGTCGGTGAAGACATGATGACCTAGATACCAATGTCTGCATGCTCCAAGTCCAACTGGAACGTGTATCGCGTGCATTGCTTCGTCACCATTACATACATACATGCATCTAATCCCTCTCTTTCCCTCCCTCCCTCTCTCTCTCTCTCTCTCTCTCCCTCTCTCTCTCTCTCTACTCAAACCCCTCCCGTTCGGCATCCACCTCACCCTGCGTCCTCTCTCCAGCCACACTCAGCGGCGACACGAGATCAGGCGGCGGCCCCTTTGCCGCAATCAGGCTCCTCCTCTGCAACCGGGGACTCGCATCGAGCGTCTCAGGTTCCTCCTCCACCTCTGGACTCTGCATGCCCTGCCTCCTCACGTTGTGGTGGTCGTCGTCATCCTCATCCTCATCGCCCTGCAGATTGCTAAACCCCTGGTTCGCAAGGCGCAAACCCATGATTTGCTGGCGCAGCTCATCGATGAAGCGCTGCATTTCGCCGTAGGGCAGGCGGATGGCGCCGCCGTCTGCAGCTTCCGACGTGGTGTTGTAGAGGCGAAGCGCCGTGTCGAGGGCGCGCTCCGCCTGCTGGGATTTCTGGAGGCGGAACCAGGTTTCGGCCGCGAGGACGGACCAGAGGGCCGCTTTGCGGCGGCGCGACCCCAGTTTGTAGGTGCCGATGCCTGTGCGGATGGCGTGGCAGGCCGAGATGCGTTCGGTGACGAGTGCGTGGCCCACGGCGCCCATGAGGTTGGTTTCCAGGATGCGTGTGGCCCAGCGCGCGGCGTCGTCGGCGGCTGAGGAGCCGCGTAGGCGAAGCAGTTCTAGAGAGAGCGCCAGTGTGCGGAGTGCATAGTACGGTGCGGCGCTGCGTTGGCGGTCAGTGTACGAGTACGACGCCGCCTCGATCCAGGCGTCGATGTTCTCTGCGCGCGACTTGGCTGACAGCGGCGAGGGCGCCATGAGCGCGGAGAGCGCAGCCATTTCCGCCGCGCCCGCATAGTGTCGCCATGCCTTGTCGTTTTGGAAGTCAGTTCGCAGAATGTCGTAGGTGCTCAGCGCCAGTTTCCAGTCGCGCAGCATGAAGCAGTAGTCAGCGAGGCGGCGCATAATTGCCTCTGGGGCATCCGGGCGGTAGAAGCCCTGCAAGCTGTCGTAGTTTGAGTTTCCCGAGACTGTCGACGACGAGCCGCTTGTGCGCGAGCTGCCGAACGGTGTCCAGCGTTTGGATAGCGACATGAAGCGGCCCGAGAGGCCGCGGCGTCGCGAGAGAATCTGCTCGTTCCATGTGGCGACGCTGCGCTCCATGTTTGGTATTATCGACTGAGTGACGAGTTCGCGGATAAAGGTGCGCAGGCTGCTAATGTCCGACTCGGGGAAGTAGGGTGTTGGGTCTGTGATGTCGTCGGTGGTTTCTGCGCGTGTGCTGTCAGTACATGGCGGTCCGCCATTTCACACACACACACACAGCTCGTCGTGTGCCTACCTCTTCTTTGGATCTCTGCCAGTTCCTCTGATGCAGACATCCACTCGCAGCTGGGTAGGCGCACGCTATCGTCGTCGGACGCTATGCACTGCTGGCTCTTGAGCCGCAGCAAATGGCAGTGTAGGCCAAAATGTCGCTTCATCGAATCAAATGTCTGGTTCGACTTTGCAATGTCGCCCGTCTCTTCGTCGTGAATTAGAATATAGTACCGTAAAAAGTCGTTTTCCACCCATTGCGGGAACCGCAGATCGCCGTCGTGCTGGCGGTTGTAGAGCCGCCTGAGCTCTTCTATCGGGTGTGGATTGCGCGAGCTGATTGCTATTATGCCGGCCACGGGGTGCGAGAAGGTCTCGTGCGGCACGACAGGCAGTCCTGACAGCAGCCGCCGTAGGTACAAGGTGTAAAACGGCGACGAGGTGCTGTCTACAGACTGTGCCGGTGTCTCACCCTTGTCCATGTAGCCAGACACGGAATCCTGCCTGTTGAACTCGGAGTACTGCAGATGGCGGTTCACCAGCTCTTCAATCTGCGACACATTGCCTCCTTGACGCCTCGGCCGCTGCGTCGACGTGCCCTGGCCGCCCGTCTCGACACGCAGGTCTGGATATGCATCCTCGACGCCTATAAAGCGCACGCCAAAGTCCTCCCAGCTCTTGCTTGCCCCATTGCTATCTCTTATCGTTACCTTGCCCGGAACCGACTCGCCAAACGGGCGCAACAGCTGCAGCAGGCCGCCCTCGAGGCCCTTGGATTGTATCAGCTCCTCGGTCTGCGCATCCGCGAGCACAGCAACGCTAGGCACAAAGGCCCGCTGGATCAGCGTGCGGTACTCATCCGACACGCCCGGCGGCAGGCTGCTAGGCGTGCCTGTGCCACTCAGGCGCGGCCCCGGGGAGAAGACGGAGCCTTGTGTGAGCGTGGGCGTGGGCGTGGCGGTGCCGGAATTAGGTCGCGATGTGGAGATGGTGGTGGTCGACTCAAACAGCTTGGACAGGCTGGGGTTGGAGCGGCGGTAGGGCAGGCTTGCGATGGAGGATGTCGACGATGCGCGCTGCTTGGGCAGTATCATGGACGCCTCTGGGCCGGCTGGGTAGTTTGGCGGTTTAGGCGTGGCATCCTGAGGCGGCGTCATGAGAGGCTAGGGCGATGCGCCCGCGGGGTTGTGACTGCACGCGGAACTTCTGAGGCAGCCGGCATGTATCCTGGTGGTTTTGCTCACGGGATTCGGCGACAGCGGGCTGTCTGGGGAATTGGCTCTCTTGCTCTGGCTCGGGGGCGGCGCGTGTGTGACGACGTTGGGTGACGCTGGATCGCCGTTGCGGCCGCTGCGCTTTGTGACTGGACGAATTGCGGCATCTCCAGAACCACGCATTTGTCCCCCCCGGCTGCCTGAGTCCATCGCCGCAACCACTGACGTCTCCTTGACTTGTGCTGCTACGCCTTCTTTTCGCTCCTTACACTGCTTCTCACATCTACGACTATCCGCCGCCTCATCCAGACTCACATGCATGTCGTTGTTCAGTCGAGCCTGCCGCATCCGTTCACCACCAACCTTTTCACTGCTGCACAAACGTGACTTGGCTGCGTCACCTGCACGCCTCCCTTTGACACGGGTTTCCTTTCACAGACCCATATCCCTTCTCACTGCATCGGCACCTCGCATGTCCAGAAAAAGCTCTCCGCCTCAAGCACAAGAGCCCAGTCCCAAACGACGCAAAATTGGCACGCCTTCACCCCAGTTCATCCAGCCCTACGGGACCATGTCGACGTCAGAAGGCGCCAAGTCAGCGCAGCTGGAGCTGACAGAGGTCGAATCCAAGCTGCGACAGCTGCTGCTGGATGTGGCTGCCTACATTGACGAACACCCCTCCAACGGAGACGTTACCGGAGTACAGGTGCCAGCTGAGCTTGCAAAAGAGAAGGTCACGTTGCGTTGGACGGGAGGATGGGTTCGCGACAAACTGCTCAAAGTCGGCAGCAACGACATTGACGTTGCCATCAACAAGATGACTGGCGAGCACTTTGGCCTGAAGATGCAGGAGTACCTGGAAATGCCCGGAAATGCAGAGAAACACGGCCTGGTTGACAAGAGCAGCAAACGGAGTGGCGCAGACAAGACAAAGAAGATTGCACCGGGCCTCCACAAGATCGAGGCAAACCCTGAAAAATCAAAGAACCTCGAGACGGCCACGACCAAGATCATGGGCATCGACTTGGACCTGGTCAATCTGCGCAAGGAAACCTACAATGAGGTCTCGCGGAATCCGCAGATGGAGTTTGGCACCCCGGAAGAAGACGCCATGCGCCGGGACGCTACTGTCAACGCCATGTTCTACAATCTGCACACATGTCAAGTCGAGGACTTTACCGGGCGCGGGCACGACGACATGGCTGCCAAGATCATCCGGACGCCGCTGGAGCCCTACCAGACATTCAAGGACGACCCGCTGCGAGTGCTGCGGCTGATTCGCTTTGCCAGCCGTCTGGACTACACGATTGAGCCCGAGACGGCAAAGGCCATGGGGAACCCCGAGATCCAGGATGTGCTGAAGGTCAAGATTAGTCGAGAGCGCGTGGGCACAGAGCTGGAGAAGATGCTCAGGGGTCCCAGGCCGCGCATGGCCCTGGAGCTCATTAATCGATTTGGTCTGTATCAGACCATCTTCACTGATCCGACACGCGAACTGCCCGCTGGGCCCGAGACAGAATACTTCAAGCCTGCATATGAGTTGATCGAGTCGGTAGATACAAAAAGTGGCGACGTGCCTGCTGTTATTCCTGCTACATTGTTGAAGAACGAAGAGGACGAGTACCTGGCTTGGATCTGCGCTACCACGATGCCCTGGGCTGATGCACCCAAGGTGCCGCATTCGAAACCTTCGCAGCGGCCCTTGTTTGCGGCATACCTTGTCGCCAGAGAAGGCTTCAAGGCGCCGAACAAGATTTGCGACGTGGTTGCTTCGTCACTGAGTAACAGCGAGAAGATTCGCAACCTTGTAGCACAATGCGCCAAGGGTCTCCGACGGCCAGACACAATCAACCCGACGAGCGACGCTACAGCTAGAGATACGCTGGGCATGGCTATTCGGCAATGGGGATCTACATGGCGGACGCAAGTCTTGTTCAATCTTTGCTACGAGATTGTGCTGGGACGCGTGTCAAGAGACGGTAGGCCTGTCTAATGCAAAAGCTGCTTTACATCTTACTAAGACTGTAACAGACACGTTCCGTTCCTATGCCAGTTTCCTCGGCCGCGTGACGGAACTCGGGCTGCTCGAAGCCGACACGTTCAAGCCGCTGGTCAAGGGAACCGACCTGGCCAAGGCGCTCAACACCCAACCCGGGCCTTGGATGAAAGACGCGCTGGATGTCGTCATGGCCTGGCAGCTGCGCAACCCCGACACGATGGATACGAAGGGTGCGATCGAGGCCGTGGCGGCTTCGAGAAGCGAACAGAACGAAAGTGAGCTTCCCCTGCGCTTGGCCTCTCACTTTCTCCAGCTTACCATGCCACCTCTCTTTGCGCAGAATAAACCCACGTCCAACGCACTGGAAGCGTCGCGGCAGCCGGCTCCGTGGAAAGAGGCCGGGAACCAGTATGCTCTGGACCTGTTAGCATGGGCGATGCGTAGGCTGGACAAGAAAAATATCGAGGCACAGTGGCAGTTTCTGATGCCCCCCATCCTGAGGATGATGGATGATATTCACGTCGAGTGGAAGGCCAAGGGCTGCCATATGCTCAATCTAGTGCTGGAAGGATTGCGGCCGCCAGCGAGCAGTGGGAGTGTGTCGGCAAGCTTTGTCCAGCGGAGCGGATATGACAAGATTTTGGCTGAAGCATTGCTGCCCATGTTCACCTATCTGCCTTCGATTACGCCCGAAGAGGAATGCGTGACTTTGCTGCGAGAGGTGTATCCTGCTGTGATTTCGCTGGCTTTGCTCCTCCCTGAAGCGAGCAGCAAGGGCGACAACCGAGAGGCGTTTCTGGATGGCATCGTGCGCCAAGGCATTGTGTCGCCTCTTGGGCACTTTACTACGCCTTCAGCGTACGCCGAGCTTGCTACGTTGATCATGTCCTATGTGCCTGTTACGCTGGGCCACCTGGGCATTAGTACGGTCAAACACGTTGGGGACATTCTGCCTCTGCTTGCGGCCGTTCTACAAGAGCCGTTTGCGCTCAGCCATGCCCCACTGCTTGGATCGACGCTGAAGGCTCTGCAAAGTGTCCAATTCTATCTCTCTCCCTCTCTCAGCCTGGAATCGCGCCTCAGGCCACCTCGACTGCTCACTCCCACTCCCACTCCCACTCCCGTCTCTCGCTAACCGCCCCCCCCCCGCACCGCACCGCACCGCCACGCGCCCTGCCACGCCTGCGCCTGACGTCGCCTGCTGATGCAACTCTTCGCGAACCCATGCCAATGCCATGCTTCCGCGCTCCGAAAATGAAAAGGCTGCTTGCGCACTTCCACCATGACCATTACCCACCACACATCGACACCCTCCCATTGGCTGCCGTCGTATACCCCGAGCCCATGCAATTTCTGCTTTCGCCCTGTGCTCCGTCAACACCCTACACCTCTGCCTGCTCCACACACTCCCCGAACATGTCCCCAAATCCTGGCTGCCGCGCAACCAAATCCTGTTTTTCCCGCCTCCAAGTCTCCACCACGTCTGCTTGCTCTGCGCTCTGCATGGCCGCATCCAGCATGCCAACCGTTTCCTGCACCGCCGCCTTGATTTGTCCCGCCTGTTCGCGGCCGGCTTCTTCATCTTCTTCGTTGTCTTCTTCTTCCAAGCACATGCTCCACAATAAGCACAGGCCCATCATGGCCACACCTCGATGGCCCGCTACTCGCGGCCAAGCATTCAATACGATTGAGTTGGATTGGATTGCTTGGGACGAGGTGGGCGGTGCACTGCTTTTCGTGGACGTGTATGTGTATGTGTATGTAGGTGTAGGTGTAGGTGTAGGTGGGAGAGAGGGTGGGAGCAAGTATGTGGCCGGATTGGGCTGCGCCTCGCCAGGGCCAGAGCGGGCCGCACCCCCCCTGACACGGGCGGGCGCTGTCATTGGCCGCGTGTTTTAACGGACGCGCGTCTTGGGCGTGCAATCCGACTGATGCAGGCCGGGCAAGTGTGTGCGGACGAGTTGACGCTGCGTGCGTGATATCAGCATGACGACGTGCAGAGCGGATGCGCTTCATCTTCGTCTTCATGGCAATCTCGGGCCTGGGCGTCTTCCCGTCCGTGGTCGTGCTGGCACTGGCGCTGGCACTGGCGCTGGTGACAGCAGCCAGGGCGGAGATTTAACGGGGTGCAAAACACTGGGCCAATGGCAGCCATGGCGCGTCAAGAGCCTCACCACTGCCACGCCCTCGGCCCTAGTGCTAGCAGAAAACAGGCGCAGGCGAGGGAGATTGCGACAATGCCCCAATATGCCTATGCATCACCACCACCACCACCACCATGACCACACACCTCGACGCCCACACCTCCCATGTCATGTCACAGTCGCAGCCGCAGCCGTCTGGCGCATGCAAAGTCTCGACGTCAGGACGATCGGCGCCGCCTTCTCAGGCCACGCTCGGACTCAGCCTCGTCTAGCGGGCTCGTAGTAGGCAGTGGACTGCGCGCCCTCCCCTACCCTCTTTACCCCCCTTGACATGGGCGCGGCCAATTCTTCCCGCCGCGCCCACCGCACCTCCTCTCTGCTGCCGCTGTTGCTACGACTACTACACTACCACCCTCATGTGCTCGGCGCCTGTCGCTACTCCCCCCACCATCTGCTGCCGCACTCTTCGTCGACGCCTACACCTCGTCCTCGGCGGTGCGCGCAAGGCATAGCATCTCGTCCCCGATCCCCATAGACCATGGCCAGAGCTTACGTCGCGTCTGCAACAACCTCGACCACCACCACCACCACCGTCGCCTCCTCCTCCTCCTCCTCCACTACCACCACGACCTGTCTGGTCGGCTCCAACGACGACGCCTTCACCATGTCGCCGACGCCCCAGCCCTACAGCCCAGGCACAAAAGACGCCGGTGCCGCCTGCCGCTTCACCAGGCTGTCCATGCCTCTCGAACTCGCCATTTCCTCGCGGGCGCATTGGCTCAGTCGTCTGCGCTCATGTCTCCGCCTGCTCATCATTGTCCTGAGCGGCGCCGTCGTCTGCATGCTCATGCACACGTTTGAGATCTACCGCGGCAACCGCTACATCGACCTGCGCAAAGGAGAGCTGCCCATGATCTGGCCCGCCCGCACCAACCTCGCCCCCAGCATCGTCCTCTTCTGCATCGCCGCCGCCAACTTTCTCGCCTCGGTCGCCATCCTCACCATGTCCTTCAAGCGCTCCTTCCGCCGCCCCTTTCGCTCGCGCGACGTCTACCGCGTCGTCGCCGGCAGCTTTGGCGTCGTTACCTGGATCACCGCCCTCGTCGTCTTCTACCTGCTCAACAAGGCGAGCAAGGCCAGCCTCGGCCGGTACTCGTGCACAAACAAGAATATCCTGTCCAATGGCCGCTACCAGTACCGCGCCGTCTGCGAGGAGCAGGTAAGCCCACGCACCCGCAGACCCTCCCGCACGTGGCAACCGCTAATCTACCATGTAGGGCGTCGCATTCTATACAGCCATTGGCGCAGCCTGTGCTGAAATCCTCACCCTCATCACGCTCGCCATTTCGGCCGCCTTGGCCGCCAAACACAACCAAGATCCGCCCCCGACGATACAGATTCGCGAGAAGAACAACTCCATCAGCGCGGGCTCAAAGCTCATCAAGCCATTAAAACGGTAGCTGTTGCTTTACGAAAAACAAGATTTTAAAAAAAACCAGCAGCCAACAAGTCGCCCAAGCGCCCATGATCGCATCTGGCCTGTTCTACCCTGCTTTTCCTTATTACGTCGCTGCATGATACCCCGGACATCTTTGTTTAGCGACAATCAACCAACTGAGATTTACAATGGCGTTAACTGTCTTATCGTTTTTCCTTTCCTTTTTTTTTCCTTTGTGCAGGGTCTCTGGCATATATCATGACGGTTTTCTTCATCGCCTTTGTTTTTTCTTCTCCGTTTTGCATGGCATAGCGGCATCAGCATATTGCGGGAGTCTTTTTGCGGGCGCGGCCTTTTTGCATGGTGGCATTTTTTTTTCTACCAACCAGCACCGCGCGCCACTAAGCAACATAAACAAAGTCAATACCAACGGGCCTATACTGAGCTGGGATGGGGTTCTATCGCATTTTCTTGGATCGCGGCCTAGACATATAGTCGTTGTAATTGGAGCCCATGGCGGGAGATCGCCTTAATTCTAGCCCACCGCCTAGCACGTAGAATAAATAGATGAACAAACGTAAACAAGAAAGCCACCTCCGTGCTAAGTGCGCCTAACTTGGGGCTTGATCGAGGCTTGTCCGTCTTCACGAGTCGAGGGTCCGTGCTCGACGCTCTAGCCTCGGCGCTAGTGCTGATCCCTGCAGAGGCCCGCCGAAATTCAGATGGTCGAACTTTTCGACATGCTGAACGCGACATAGCATGAGCCATGGGGAAGAGGTCCGCGTACGACGCCCATGCCAAAGGCGCGCATGCTGATCGCGACAACAAGCGCCAGAGGACCGACGCCCACCACGAGCGCAATTCACCCCGCCCACACGGCAATGCCGACGACGTCACCGCTGCACGCGACTTGCAGAATGCTCTGTTCTTCGACCAGAGCTCCCACGCCAGCTTTCGAAGCGGTAAGCACGTCTTGAGTCCTCACATACGAGCAGAGGACTGACTCCATCAGGCCTAAGCTTGTTCAAGCGTTTCCTCGACTCCATCCTCTACCCGGCCGACGAGCACCATCTGCCACGCAAGCGAGCTATCCTCCGCGAGTATCTGGATACACAAAAGGGAAGAGGACGGGATGAAAAGGACAAGACATTTCTGCAGAATCTCACACAGGCATGGGACTATGCCGTTGAAACCAACAATAGCGCCATTGTTTCCCAGGTCACGGCGGTGCTGGCGCTCTTGTTCAAGGTCTTTGCCAGCCACGCCGATTTCCTAGAGTACGGCACCCTCTTGGCCAAAACACTGTTGCAGCCGTCCATTACTCGCCGCTTCGTACGGAGTACCTCGGCCGCGGCCAAGGAAGAGAACGTCATTGCGCCCGCGCTGCGCTTGCTTACCGAGCTCACACGCTTCAACCAAGGCGCACATGCAAGGGCCGTCTACGCAAAACGAGACTTTACCCTCGAGCCCAAGATCCTCGGGCGAAACATCAACCTGACCAGAGAGCAATCGGCGGCCGACCATGTCAAGAAACCAAGCATCCGAACCACGGCCGTCAGGTACCTCTTGACGCATTTGCGATACCAGGATGAACGCGCCAAAAGCGAGATCCTGTCTCACACCAACGTTGTTCGCACTGTGTTCGATCACATTCGTACAGATCCGCCTTTCTTGATATACGAAATACTGGATGTATTCAAGAGTCATGTTTTCCAGGACAAGGCTATTGCCCGGCACACGAAAAACAAAATCTTGAATGGCAAGGTACTTTCGCGGATAGCGAGCTTGTACAGCTATGAAGTAGAAGAGGGCTCGCTTTCTGAAGGACAAAAAGCGCCGGATCAGCTCGCTCATGAGTTCTTGCGTCTGGTGTGCACGGATCCCGCATACGGTGTGATGCTGCCTACGCAGGGCTTTTACCCATCTACATTCGACGACGACGAGGGCGAGCAGGACGATGCAGCTGACTACGGCAATGACCTTGGCCTCGAATCGGTTGACAGCTACAGCAAGATAACAAAAGTGCGCAACATCATTCTCTCAGAGTTCATCCAAAACCAAAGACCATACGCGAATACGCTGCATCAGGAGCTTGTTGTGGACATTTTCCGAGCTTGCCCGGAGCTCATTGCAGACTACTTTGTCAAGCGACGCGACTTCAGCTACGACCCCAAACTCACGTCAACATGGATAGGCTATTCGGCATTCCTGTACCAGACCATCCAGCTGCCAGTCCCGAAATACTTTGGTGCCAAGAAAAATTACCGCGACCACCCTCCGCCGGTTCCTGTGCTGATGAACAGCATCTTGCCCCAGCCTTTGAATCAGCAAGTGCTCACCAAGTGCCTGAATCACAGCTCGGATCTCGTACAATTATTCGCTATACGCGTCTTGATAGCAGCACTCCAAAAGCTGCGAAGCGTCCTCCAAGAGTTCAGCAATGCCAGCGCTGTCAGGTCGTCCAAGCAGTGGGAGCATGCATCTAAACGATTGATATCAGAGGTTAGCCGGCGTTGCCCAGCGATACGGACCGTCTTTTTGGCGCTCAAGAAACCGGGGCTGAAGGACATGAAGCGAGAGTCAATTACGAGGTTGCTGCGGCTCTACTACGAGGTCACGCCCCAAGTCGCGCTTCAAGAGAAGTTTGATGTGTCACTGCCCCTTTGTAACGCATTGGTAGAGGCTGAAAAGTCCACGGCATCTCCCGAGGACAAGGTCTTCCGTGTCATGGAGCTTGAACACTGGATACAGATGGCACGGCTTTCGCCAGCAATGCGTTGGTGGCAGAAACAGAGTAGGTTGTCCTCACCCCTCGCCATGGTTGATTTTCTAACACGGCGCAGAAACCCTTTCGTATTCGCCGTTTGTCACACTGTTGAAGTTGCTAGTAACGTCGAAAGAGAGTGAGCTCTATGCAGGTATCCGGTCTCTGCTGAGTGACATCTTGCAAGATCAAGAGATGCTGCAAACCAAAACTTCACCTGATGCGCTCGATGCGCTCATTGCAAGCTTGGGGTCGACATCAGGGTCAAGTACACCTTCGACCGAGGTGCTTGACTTTGTGGATGACTGCTGTGCGCGCTTCACAAAGGTGCCTATCAAGTACTTTGATGACCTGGATGCCATGTGCACGCGCAATGGGCAGTCTGCGAGTGAGATTGGACCGTTTAGCAATTTGCTGATGACTCTAGTGGAGCAGTGGCCGTTCAAGGGCGGAGAGACGGCAACGAGCAATGCTGCCGATGCGCTTGCACAGTGGTTATCGCGACTTCTCTATCTCCTCAAGCTGATTGGCGAGGACGAGAAGATGCTGGGTCACGTGCGCGACGCCCTGATGGAATCGGCCAGTGCAGCATACAAAGGGGTGCTCAAGGATGCTTTCCTGTGGAAGATGGGCAAGGAAAAGGCCAAAGAATCACTCAAGTTGGCAACCGGTGCAGACTTTAGTGGCTCAGAACGCTCGTCGACGTCGCCAGTGCCGGTACCAGCGCAGCAGGCTGAACATCAAACTAAGACGAGGTTTGCAGTTGACCTGGAGCCGCCGCCGACTGAGGATGAGAAACATATGGGGCTGACGCGTTGGAGGAAGAAGGACCTTGGTGAAGCGGTGGAAGATGGGGACGTTGGAGAGCTCATACTCTGTCTTTGCTCTGAGCATGCCGAGATCCGCAGACAAGCCATCAACAATATCCGGCAGCTTACAGCAACGATCAAGGTCGGTAGTCGAGGGGATGTGGCCGAAGGTCAGGTTGGAAGCAGCATAGACTTTGACCTTCAGCAACTCTACCTCCTTCTTGGTGAGCTACTGGAGTCCATCGACACTACTGGCGCGGAAGCCTTTCCCTATGTTGGCGGCATACTGGCTGCACGCTGCGCGAGCATCGTGGCAGACCCGACTCACTCGCTCTTCAGCACAGTCAACCGATTCCTCACTGCCTCTCCAGCATGGGATGTCAATTCTCTCTTGCGCTTCTTCTGGCACCGCATCGTGGCCAGCCAGCCTGACGACGATACTACCTATCACAAGGAGGTGGATTGGTACCTGGACTACTTGATGGACAGCCTGCGGACGCCGGCAGACATGGAGCTGTTCAGGCGGAGCAACGTATTCGAGCAACTACTCAGCCACTATGCATCTCGGTCATGCTCGGCATCCGCCAAGGACAAGACGGTCAAGCTCCTGTTGCGAGCGACACACGTAGGCGGAAGCACGACTCTGATCACGAGGTGCGGGCTGATTCCTTGGATCGAAATGATGCTCGACGGCCATGACGCTCGACAGAATGCTCTGAGGGTATTGGCGGCACGCGTCTACGAGACGTGCGACCAAGACAAGGTGGCGATGTGGAGCAGCGGTAGTTTGTCTCGGAAGATAAGCACTCTCACGAAAGTATAATGTACATTTAGATGTATTTCATCGGGTTGGGAACGAACATGGTTGGGCATGAGCAAGGCGAACAGAGCATTGCCGGGGTTATTTTGGATCGCACCCTCTTCCACATGTAGACGGCATACAAATGAACCTGATGTTGCATGCCATGGCCGTGTCGGCGTCACATGTGGTGAGCCTGAACCGTAGAATGACGCATCTCCCTTGTGCCCTCGCGAGGTCAGGGCAGCGCCGATTAGCAGATGGAGGGCGGGGTAAGCGTGATGCGAAGGAGCTGGAGCTCGGCGTCGTGGTCCGGGGAGCGGGTGGTTTGGTTTCGAGCGTCTGGCGACGGCGGCGAAGGCAGCTCCAAGGCGGCTGAGCGTGTGGCTTGCTCGACTCGCTTGCAATTGAGAGAGCAGCGAACTCTGCACAGGGCGAGTGTGCGGGCGTGGGCGGTGGGTGCAATGATCAAGTCGAAGGGCTCAAACGTGTGATGGTGAGCGCCAGCAGAGTGGCGATCGGGTCGGTCCAAGCGCGCGTGCGTGTCGCAAGTCTGCAGAGCGGAGTGAATGAGGTCGAGGTGGGATGCAACGTGGTAAGGGAATAGCGCACCCTGGCTGCAGTAGCGGCGACTGAAGTGGGTGTGGGATCGGCTGCAGAGGAGCTCAGGTCATGCCAGAAGCGGGTATGGTTGGGGGGTTGGGGGGGGGGGGAGCAAAAATGTCTGCGTGGTTCAAAGGTCCGTCGGGGGCAAGCGTGGGCGTGTGAAGAATAGCGCGTGTGTTTGTTATGGGAAGTGTGTCTTAGGTCGCGAGTGGTGCGGGCCTCTACGAGAGGGCCTTGCCAAGACCAGCTGCGATGCGGGGGCCCTCGTACTCGGAGGCTCAATTGCTAGCTCTGAAGGAATCTCCACTGGTGAAGAAACCCGATGGCCTGCCCTCAATCTCACAATGGATGGACGTGCCTGCCGACCAGACCGCCAACAATGGCCACACCAACAATAACAACACCAACACCGCCACCAACAACGGCACCATGCGTCGCACTCGAGGTGCTCGGGACGGAGAAGGTGCCGCGGCAAACGAGCAGCGGCCGCTGCACAACCCCATGGGTCAATTTGGTCGGCGCCAGAGCATGCGTAAGTCTTCTGATGCCCAGGGCATCAAGGCCGCTATTAACGCGCTATTTGTAGAACCAGGCGAAGAGACTGTGCTTGGTCCGCCGAAGCTAGCCTTCCTCTCCGCCCGTACCCCGGCAAAGGCAGCAGGTGACGCAAAGGAGCGTGCAGGCTTCCCTTCTACAGACGCAGACAACGCTGGAGATCGCCTCCCCAAAAACGACCGGTGGACGCGGGACCGTGAGAACGACCGGACCCGAGACAAGGGCTATACCAATGGACGCCGTGCCCCGCGAGACGACGGCGAGGGCTGGACCAATGTCAAGGGCCGCAAGAGCCTGGGCCAGGAGGACTTTGAGCGCTTTGGCCGTAACGGCGACCGCAACCGTGATAAGCATGAGGGTGACCCGGAGGCTGACATGGCACCACGCCGCAACAACAACCGTGACCGGAACGAGCCGCGGTGGGGCCGCCGCGATGAAGGCAGAGATGAAGGAGCAAAGACTGGCGCTCCGGGCGGCTGGCGTGAGCGCGAGCGAGACCGAGAGCGTGACAGCGGCCGCGACTGGAACCGGGGCGGGAACCGTGGCGAGGACGACCCAGAATGGATGGACACCAAGGTGGAGAAGAAGGAGTTCAAGCCTCGCACACAAGAAGACTTCCAGCGCTGGAAGGAGCAGATGAGGGCCAAAGACACACCAGCCGGCGACAAGGATGAGTCGAGAGAGACGCCAGCTGAGATGTCCTCTGCCAGCGCTATTGCTCCCGGGCCCATGCTGACTGCGCCTTTGCACACGCCTTCTGCCGCCGAACCCACGCAAGGTATCCTTTTTGGGAACTGGGGAAGAGACAAATCGGCAGAGATGCCACCTCCAGAGATCATCTCAGCAAAACCACGACCCGACAAGAAGTCGAGGTTCATGACCATGTTTGCCAAACCCGAAGAGTCAGCATCTCCCATTCAGCCTCCTGAGCCATACTCTGGGTCCCCTGCGCCTCCAGTTGAAGCAAATGCCGACAAGGAAGGCTTTCAGCGTATTCTGCAGATGCTTGGCCAGGTCAGCACGGGCGGGTCTCCAGCTCCCCAACCTCAAACAAGCATGCCCACGCCACCAAATGGTATGAGACATGGCGGTGGCATCTCACTCGACTTTCATCAACAATCTCCTCCACCAGACCCGCAACATGGCAGGCCACCGCCCCCACGAACGCTCGAGCAGCAGAGTATTCTAGAAAACATTTTGGCTCCTCGCCCTACAGACTCTCGTATTGCGCAGCAAGCACGCTTCAACGGCATGCCATCAGAGAACACACACCCCGATCAGTTCAGACTTGCCCGTCCCGGCTCTGGCCACCCAGAAGAGCACTACGCCCACCAGCCGCCGCCGCAACGGACTATTTCTCAGGACGCCAATCTTACCGCTCTCCTCAACAGCCGAGCGAGGGAAGAGTCGCAGCGCGACCAAGCAACCAAGCAGCGTGAGCGCGACTTCTTGCTGAATCTCATGCAGCAACCTTCTCGCAGTACACCGCCCCAAGCGCAGGCTCATAATTTGCCTCGGCCAGCCCAGGAAAATCCCAACATGGCTTTCTTTGACCAACAAAGACAGCAGCCCCCACCACAAGGCCAGCAGCAGCCCAAGGGCCGTGGAGGTCCTCCTCCAGGATTCATGGAAGACCCTCGCATGTTTACAGAAAGCGAGATGCTGCGCCGAGATGCCGCAGATCGCCGCGAGCAAATGGAAATTCGACAGTTGCAGCAGATGCAACAACAGGAGGCTATGCGTTCAAAGAACCCCCGCATGCCCATGGGATTCCCCAACCCCGACGAGTCCCTCATGGGTCTTCAACGCCGTAATACAGGGGGCGACCCTCGCATGCCTACCAACATGGGTATTCCTTCGCAGCCCACTCCCGACATGCAGTACATGGGCGGGCGAGGTCAGCCTGGCATGCCGCCAACACCCCAGGAGCGGCCAAATATTGCCCCACCACCAGGCTTCGGCGGCCCGATGCGTCAACCGCCCGGTCTTGGCGGTCCTACTCCTCCACAAATGGGTCCTGGAGGACCGAGTTTCTCTGCTGGAAATACACCGCTTGGGCATCCTCCTGGCTTCCCACCTGGTGGTAACATTCGTGGACTAGGTTTCCCAGGAGGACCAGGAGGACCCGGGGGTAACGGAATGCAAGGGCCTCCAGGCTACTTCCCACCACCGGGCTATGGCGGACCCCCAATTCCAGGTATGCGTGGTGGAGACGATCCACGACTCATGTTTGACGGCCAATTTGGCGGGCTTCCTCGACAGCAGCCAGGTCGTCCAGGACCACCAAATATGTACTAAGAGGAAGAGGAAGAGGAAGGTGTTGACAAGGATGAAGATGAAGAGAAGTGCGAAAGAGATTGGTACGCAAATGGCATTCAACAGAGAGCGATACAGGGAGAGAGAGAGCGCGCGCGAGAAAGAGAAAGAGAGAGAACCTTTGCTTGTTTACTCTTTTCTACTACCTACTACTTACTACTTACTACTACTACTACTACTACTACTACTACTACTGGAACTTTGCACAAAAAGGGCAAATATTTACGGGAGGCGAAGGGCGGCGAGCATGTGTTGAAGGGGGGCAATTCAAATCAAATCAAAGCAAATCAAAGCAATCAATCAAACAAGCATTTAAGCTGATGATAAAAACATTGACTTCTGATATCACATTATCGCGAATAAATACACTGTTGAAGTATTTAATGAAGGGGTGATGTGGATGTTGGTGTTTATAGCAGTATACTTGTGTATATACACATGTACACATGTACACATGTACACATGTACACATGTACACCCATGCATGCATGCATATATATATATATATATTCATACGTAAGTACGAGAAAGGGTTACAAACTCAAGTGTTGTTGTTTTTTTCTTTTTTTTCTTTTTTTTTAAAAAAAAATTCCTAGCTAATACTAATGCTGATACTCATACTAATTCTAATACTGATACTAATTCTAATACTAATTCTACTACTAATACTGATTCTACTACTGCTACTGATTCTAATACTATGTAGGAACTACATAAGAATTACAAACTAATGATTGTCAAGTTGTCAGATAAGTGGCAGAATCCGGGTGCGGACTCGAGCACCAGGATTCTGTGATCCCAACCAGTCAGGGCTGATCGCCAAGACCTAACCCTAGGCGAGGCTGATACTTAGCGGCCTACCTAATACAAAAAGCAATAGCGATAGCTCTTATAAGGGGCGCGCCCTCGCGCCCCTACAGACGACAGAACACAC